CCTGCCGCTGAGAGGTCTATTCGCTTCTTGTCCCTAGCCTAGATTAGATCGGCTGATCCGCTTGTCGACGATAGCCAATCGTGATGCGACATCTAATCTAATCTCCGAGTCCAGGCCCTTTGATGACGGACGCATTGGAACATTTTCGTTTGCTTCCATCATCCATCTACTATACCCTCCCAGTCGTCTCGTCATCCCGTCCTCACCCTTTCGCCTTCTTCTGTCCATATAAATCGTTCACTTTTCACTTGTACTGCTAAACTTTACCATCCTGGCTGGCCGAACACCCAAATTCATGGACGTTTTCAATCCAAAAATTCTCGATGCCTCCATTCGAGATGTTGCATACTGCCTTTCGGATAACCAGAAAGCGGATCTACTGCTCTATGCAATGACGAGTCTGAAGTATACTAGGTATGTGTCTTTCCCCTTCCCCCATCTGCTTCACCCTGCAATCCCCCAATCCCTCAATCCCCAATTACCCTTGGACATGTTCGCCTAACGACGACTTCTGGCAGACATAAAGTTGTTATCGAAAACGCTATCCAAGCTTGCCTATCGATTCATGCTCTTTCCCCGTCAATTGTCGCCAAGGCTCGGATCCTACGTGCACGTCTACGTTTGGAGGCCGGCTCGTTTATAGGTGCTCAAGAAGGTTCTTTACTGTACCTATCTGTCGGAATTTCGCTCACAGCTGAAATCTAGACCTCCACGCAGCTCTGCTTGCAGAACCGGATAATCCAGAAGCAACTGCACTCCTACACCAACGCTCCGTTGCCGTGGAGAAGGTGAGTACCCTATCGGTTATGAACCAGGGTAATGACAAATTTCCCCCCAGCTTCTCGCTCCCACGGAACATCGGATATCTAATGAAGTCTGGCGCGAAATAGCCTTATTCCTTCCTCGTCGTGATTTGAAGACACTACTCTCAGTCCCCCATCCTTTATCGCGCGTTGCGTCTCAGCTACTTTTCCGAAAAGTCGACCTGCATTTCGGCGAGGAGGAAGGACAGTTGTTCGACGAGGGAGAAGGCAGAGAATGGGAAAAAGAAAGGGATAGAGACCAACGAACGGCCGACATCCTCACCCGCGTCATTACCGACCCTTCCTTCGCCAGCGTCGTTCGCACCCTACGGATCTTCGCCACTGTCAACAGCCACAACTCGTTCCAGACAGGAATACTGTCGAATGCCCTCCCGAAGATGATAAATCTGAGGCGGGTTCATATATCTTCGAGCGCCGACGGTGTCCTACCCGTGCTAAAGATTCTCCAATCGTGTTCACCGAAGCTGAATGGTCTCTCGCTGCATGTCCCCGATGGGCTGTTCGAGCTGAGCACCCTCACTTTGAACCATATCGCCAACTTTGCTTATCACGGTGGTGGTAGTGGTAACGGAGGGGCACAGAACCCCCATGCTTTCCTTGCCCAGCATCGTTCGACGTTACGGACGCTCTCCCTGGAGAATCAAGCCTGGACATTCCCCGTCGACGCTCTTTCGCTCCGGAACCTCACTCATATCCATTTCCTCGGACAATTCCCTCTCAATAGCCAGGCCATCGGGACGATCCTCACCCACGGCATGCAACTCGAATCCCTTTCCCTTGCCTGCCTCCTCGACTGCGCTCCTTCTTCCCAATTTCGCGTCGCTCAAGGAGAGCTTCCCTTCCTCCGACACTTTGCCTTTTCAGTCCAAGCGATGAACCGACGACTGACAGACCGCGACCTCTTCCCCGCTATAGCAGAGTTCCTGCGAGGCCGTGTCGACCTCCGCACGCTGTCGCTTCTCGTCCCCGCCGAGCCTATTCAGAAAGCTGTAGGGTTCGACGCGTCCGTGTGGGGTGTACTACCCAGTCTGACGGGTCTCAAAGGACTGGGGATCACTTACCCGAGAGATCTCGCCCCTGGTTTGGCAGCGTGGCTGATCCCTCGAAGCGTCGTGAACCTCACACTGAACGGGCTGGTAGCCGGTATGCGGGATCTCCGTCTCGGGGTACCCCCAGGCTTGAAGTTCGTCGGGCTCGATACGAGTGGGATGGGAACTGGCGAAGTTGCTGGTATCGTCGAGCAGGGCTTCCCGATGGTGAGGGTCGTGAGGGTCGGGCCGTCATATTGGACCGTGCATAGGAAGAAAAGGAGTGGTAGGAAAGGTGAAGATGGGGGCTTCGAGTTGGAGAAGTGGCCTGCGAGGAGAGCGAGGTATCATGTTAGTGAGTGGCTTGAGTGGTTTGGTTGCGAGGATGCGTTGGGCGTCGAGGATATTTATGGTATCTGAATTTGCTTTGCTTTGGATCTACTCTACATGCTGTATCATTTGGGACTGAGCCGTTAATCGTAATCTATATGTGGAACCGTATCTGTTCACAGTAGCAGCTTGAAAGTTTGCTTGATGGCGGCATCTTTTCGAGTGGATTATGTGCGAGTTTAAGCTCTTTCCTGAACAGTTCATTTGGATCCTGGAGGAAACACTGATGTTCTTTGTACTATTTATGGGATCTCAATGGTGTTGATAGGAAGTTTATCAATTATGCTGACAGAATCGGTGATAAATGAAACTGCAGCACGTCAAACGGACTTTATTACCCCCGGCCGAGATGAACTTGCACATACCCAGGTCCAACCCGCCTTCGGCCCTCCACAGAACCTCTCGTCAAAGAGTCGTACTTCGCGTCCGCGGACAATCTTATTTCGCCCATGGCTATACTAGAGGAAGATTGTTACGACCAGCCTGAGCGTATACATCTCTTCAATGACCCCGTTGCCAATGATCACCGATCATCGCTGGGCTCCAGTTGTTGATCCACCATGATTCTTGTGTACCAAGGTGTCATTCCTCTCACGACCTGAACTTGGGCACCACACAGACGACTCCCCTAGTACCTACCGACCTAGACTTCAAAGTTATCCATACTCAGGATTCTTCACGTCCACGGTCCGCCTTTCAAATCCGGGTCTGGAACACAACAGTCTCGCAAGCTACAAGGATCTTAGTGCTACGGCTATATGGACTCGATATCGTCGCTAGCCCTTGACATGCTATGGGAAAAGCTCAGAGTAGTTCCGGCTGATCGGTAGCTCGGTCGGGAAATTTTATTAGTACTGCTCGTATTATAAAGTTTAATAGGTTAGTGGTCTAATGGTTAACATGTAGTCTTCCCATCAAATGCACCCATTAAGTGAGCGTGGCCATGTTCGGGGTTCGATTTCCTGTTAATGCACTGTGGAATGAGAAACGAAATTTTGCATTTTTAATGGTCTTTTTTGCTCAGTGGATTGTAGGGTTGCGCACGAAACCTCCAGGGGGGTGGTTTTGCTACGGTAACTTACTGTTACTTACCTTATCACGTGCATTATCACATGTCTGATGCGCTGCGATTGCCGAATTTTTCCAAAACCTTTGTCTTCGTGTTTTTATACATTTTCTTGATATAATGAAGGGTAATTCAGTTGTAAAGACTAATTCTCTGTAAATGTACAATCTACATTGAAATTTTCATGTAATAGTACTGAATTGTTCTGCTCAACTACCTGTCACATGACAGGTAAGTTACCTCGACGAAAACCCCTCCGGCGAGGGGGGGGTAAGTTACCAGCAACTTACTAGTAACTTACCGGAAATACACCCAGGTGTATAAAAACCTAGTGTTTCGTGCGCAACCCTAGTGGATTGCATTGATTATCCTAGGAACAACACATGAAACCTCCAGGGGGAGTAAGTTACGGTTTCTTCCCGACCCCTCTCTATGGGGGTATTTTGATATGGTAATTTACCGTTAACCATGCACCTTGTATCATTAATTCATGTTGGCCAAGAATCGAGAGTCATACTATCGACCATGACTGGGTAGGGCTTCGCACCGTCCCGTATACGGTATACGGCCGTATAGCCACGGTACAGTGACGGGCGACGGCTGGTCCGTATACCGTACCGTCAAGGCTCTTAGAACTAGGTTGACGGTACGGTACGGGTATATAGACGGCCGTGCCGGTCGTCAATACGGCCGTTGAATAATACATACCTGATATTTCGGGCTTCGGAGCAGCTTCAGGTCCTTCCATGGGCACGTCATCATCTGCATCGTGATAAACATTGACTTTCGAGGAGGATTTCAAGTTTCCGTTGGCATCGAGGGTGCACTGATCTGTCATGATGCCCAGAATGTGGTCGTAAGTCTGCGAAAAAAAGGACAGGACCATTATATAGTAGATAGTCTTTCGTGAACTTCTCTGGCTTAAATTCAGCCGTATTTGAAAGGTGCACAGACCAGCAGAGGCCAAATTATTGCGCAACATGTGCTTGTAGTCAAAGGATGAAACGGGAGTAGAATAGAAGCAGCAGAAGCAGGAAATAGAAAGTATTCTATGCTGGTAAGGATTAGAGCTTGAGTAGAGCGAGTGAAAAAAGATCGGGTGGTAGCATTGAAGAGCTTGCGGTGCCAGCACATCATGGTACAATGTTAAGTGTATGGCAACCACGCGTGCAGCATGATCTGATAACTAAGTAAGGCCGGCAAGCGGCAAGACCCGCTACCTTGTCACAGACAGACGGAAACGGCCGACAAGTCAAGATAGTAGTGAATTTTGTAGTTCAATAGTATATACAGATTCAATATATATAATTTTTTTTTTTTACTGCTAGTAGAACAAGGGATGCCAGTCGCCTACTGAATGACACTGCACAACGTCAGCGGAGGGTACACATTGAGTAGGAAGAGACTCACATAGCACCCAAGAACGTGTTCATGTTGGGATCGAAGTGAACCTTGTAACTGGGCCGGATGCCACGTACAATGTGATCTAGTACGTGTTTGAGCCTTTTCTCTCGGCGGTCGGGAGAGAAGCAAGTGCTTTCGGGGTGGAGAGGATCATAGTGGAGGGCACCCAAGTGGTTGTTGTACGAATCGTACACACGTATGGTAATGTTTGGGCGATTGGGACAGGGTGTTTTTCTGTTCAATTTATGCTTTAGTATCATAATACAGCGAGTAGAAGCAGAAACTCATGCGATAGTGCAAGTCATCATCTGAAACCCTTCGCCCTCCAATGCCTGCCGCTCGCGACTCAGAGCATCGATCAAACCATTCAGCCCTCCGCGCATGAAAGGGAACTCAGCACTCCACTGATTGTAGACATAAGCCATGAACGACATTTGAGCTAGAGGAGATGTAAATGTAAGTTATTGAAGGTGAGGGTGGGTACTGTACCAAGGTGATGATTGTAAAGAAGGCTTGATCAGGTATGCTTAGTCATCGCTGAGCTGTTCTGAGAGACCCGAAGACTCGGTGCAAGTAATATGAGGCAACCAACCAGCTCACTGCAGAACATAGAATGAAGGAAAGTACGCACAACTGTTAGCTGCATGTAAACACGATCAAGAGGTCATTACCTGAATATTACACACGAGGATTCTCTGAAGTACCGTAGTGAGGGATGTCAGTTTCTGAAGGAGGGGGACGTTGGACGATCGGAAATATACACACCTCTAAGGGAACAGTGTGTTAGCAGTTGAGGTCAGATATCGGGACCTTCGAACAGCTCGTGATAAAACCAAGGGAGCACTGTCTTGCCGGAGGAAAGCAGAAGGCAGGGTCAACGTCGTTAGCATGAACATGATCGACATGGATAATACAATGTACTCACTTAACCGTAAGACGCAAACGTTGTGTATCGGTTTTCCTGCTAAATACACAACAGGAGCACTCGCAGAGGTGGGTTGCGACTGATACAAGCAATGGTCTCCGAGGTATTTCAAAATGCATGTGGATAGAACAGTGAAAGCGACAAAAGTGTTTTTAAAGTGCAAGACTATCAATATATACACAACCTAACAAATATATAAGCATTCAACAGTGCGGATGATAAGAAGAGGTACTCATGCATACACTATATAAAGGACACAATCAGACCGGTCTTCAACAAGGATTCCCAACCAGGTGTTACGGGGGAATGAACCTTCAAGGGATTGGAATGGTGTAAGGTTAGCTTGGAAATTGTTGCACACCCGAGAGCTCGATGTCGGGACTTCAACATATGGCATATATACACGATATCCGCATCCTTCCGAAGATCCCAGCATAAGAACGTGATATCAACCAACCGCGGAAGAAACTTTGGATTGGATTGTAGCTCGCCAAAAAGGCGAGTGCAGAAGAATGGGCAAGTGAGATGAAGCGACTCGATATTAGGAAGATGGCGTAGTAGTCCAATTGACGCGTTATCATGGAAATCAAAATTATGCACGGAGTCGGTATAGGAAATTTTGAACGTCGTAATACCGTAATTCGGTAACGATATGCGAGGCCAAGCAGGGTCGAGTATATTGCCTTCGTATGACAGTGACAATGTACGCAAGTTATCAAGACGGAGGAGGGACCACACCAATGGTAGTCCATTGGAGGACTCGCCATATCGAAGAGTAAGACTTGCAACCGTGGGTAGCTCAATGATACGTTCGAACTGCTCGACGTCTGCATCACACGTGATGTCTAGTCTGCACAGGTTGTTCATGAGGGGCAGAAGGTCCAACGCGGCGGATGCTTGGTCGTACAGCTGAAAACGGAATTCCTCCAAGCGCTGTAAAATAGAGGGTGATACCGTCAAGGCATGGAGGGGGACGTCAAATACGGACAATGACCGGAGGTTTGGTGCGAACGATAATGACGAGAGTATAACGTTGGTGTTCGAATGCCAAAGAAGGGCATGAACACGTTAAAAGTTGATGAAGAACAAGGTGACATAACAGACAATTCACGAATGGTCTTCTTCATCTGCTGACGCAGAACTAACACACGGATGGATTCCAGCGAAGCGCTAAACGACTCCCTCCGAACAGAAGCGATGAAGTAATGTATCACCTTTTAAATTGAACAGCTAAGTCGACGCGAACAGTAAAATCACGTACCTTAAATGATACTAGACACAGAGAACCACCCACTGTATCCTCTGCGAGGGAACCCATGATGACTGACCACCCAGTATACGACCTGATATCAATAGGGTCAAGAGCATATCATCTGGTCGTCGCAATGTACTCCTGGCGATGCTCTGCAGGCACGATGTAATTCCTAGTAGCGGCATCCATGTCAGAAGTCGACTGAAAATAATCAGACATGATAAAAATTAAAAACTAAATTAGGACTCACCTTTGGCTTGAACATCCGCGAGGTCGTTCTCAGCTCTGCAGCCCCCAATTCATGAATAATTATCATATCATTGGGAACACCAGAAGTCTTAAGATGCTGCGCATGCTGAAGCACCGAAATCCCGGCATCCCAGTCCTCTTGAAAAGGCGTACCTCGAGAACGAGTGAAATGTAGTACCCATTTAAGTTTGGCCAACGGCTTAGGATTAGCCGCGTGATAATCACCGACGCCCGACAACTTGTTGAGCCGAGCAGCAGCGCTACTCGCAACCGCAACAAAAGTGAAAATGCCTGGAGTGGGCGAATTCAGCCTACGTCCACCACTGTCCCGAGGGTCCTGCAAACATAGATAGTCAACGTTGTCGATACGTTGCCATACCAGGATATCCTTCAGTCGGTTACATCCGACGTAAGCATCAGTACGAAGAAGAGCATCTCGTCGAAAGCCCAAACCGAAGGTATCGGTCATGATGGAAAGACAAGAAAGAGAGCACATGCAAAGAATAGATAAGCGAGCCAATCCAGTCGACAGACAGGGGGAGGGGGGAAAACACGGAGGTCATCGACCTAGTCCAAATATTGTTGCAAACTGCGTAAATTATACAGTGTAACCTATGAATGAGGGTAGTAAAACTCGGTTAGAAAATCAAGACAACCAAGGGGCACGTCAGAAATGAGTGTATCAACCCAAGATAAACAGTGTCTAAGAAACAAATGCTCCGCAATAGAACTCCTATACCCCTCAGGCCCGTCTCCATCGGTCATCTCGATGCAATGAGCTTTTGCAATGTCCACCAGTTCAGCCAAGGGCATCCTCTCAAACTCGGCATTCACTATACGGAGCAAGTAAGACGGCTCGTCAGCGAAGGACACATAACGCAGGCGGTCGAGTCGGTGCTGAGCCCCTACAACAGTCGATCATCTCTTGTTGCGATCGACGTGAGGAGCAAATACACGTGAATAACAGGACAATGCAGAAGGGCTAACCTGCTCTATGACGCCCGAAGAGATGACGGACGCAACACAGAATACATGAGGAAAAACCCGTGAGGTCCTGCAGACCTGCATATAGTCATGACAAAGCGAGCCTCTTCCTCCTGTGCAGAGTCCTGCCAGCATATGCTCCATGATCCGCTCACGATACAGTTCATGACCCCCACACGTAGTGTTAACGACCAACCCATGGCCAAACAGATTGCAGACGACAACGTCGTTGGACGCAAGCGGAATGAACTGAGCTGACGCGGGGTTACAAAGGCTATGGTATGTATGTATCCATTAACCTATGCAAATGCGTTCGATGCCCAGAGGCATCTAGAAAAGATGGCTTGAGGTAATAAAAGAAAATGATTAAAACGAACATACAAGGATGGTCGGTGGCATAGGATGCCAGCTGAGAAAACCAATCAAAACCAAGAACAATATCCGTTGACAGATCCTCCTCGATTATGAATGAAAGTGAACACTGATGAACAAACAGTTCCATATTGACTGTGACAGAAATTGGCATACAACCAGGAACATGCACAACTGGAGAACGCTGAGAGATGGGTGACTGAAGACATATCGAATAGGTGTATCGCTCCTGTTCGATGATGCAGGTGGGGTTCGCCATAAACGGGAGTACAGGCACCGCACCACGGGAAAAGTACATGCCAAATAAGAAAACAATTTCCATGCCACAAAAAAAATAGGGGGCACAGGAGCTGGCTGGCACACTGCTTTTTACCGCCAAACGGAAGCACAATAGGGACATACCCATAACCCACTACCAAGGTAGCGGGAATGACGGTTATTTTTAGATACATACACGGCCGTCGATTACCGTATGACGGCCGTGTTTATACGGTTGCTAACGGGATATGGGATGTCCGTATACCGTCCGTCTCTGGGCAAATTATTTCGCCAGACGGAACGGGTATGGTACCCGTACGACGGCACCCGTATAACCGTACTATACGGTAATGGTGCGAAGCCCTATGACTGGGATGGGACGCAGTATCTTGTGGGCAATTCTGTTGACGAGGTATTCAATACGCCAGACAAACAGCCAAGATAACATCTGCAAAACCAGAGTACTGCGGTATTCACCCATTTGGCTCGTTCGTATGAAATCTTTCCTTTATTATGCGCCCTAAGATCTACTTCGGCCTACCATTCTTAATATTATGAGTCATTCTGCGTGCCATGTTCAGCCGACATCGGCGGACTTACCTTGAAAACGCGGCGAGGTTTACTTGACGCCCACGTTCGTTCTCTAGTGGCGGTTCCACAAGGTTCCACAGTCAACTGAACATCTGCTGAGACGCTGGAGAATCCAGTGAGATCATGGGCCACAAGTCAAATCCAGTATATGCATCTTTTCTTCAGCAATACCTCCACACGTCATACATCCTTCAGGTGCATTCAGAATCACTGCTTGGGCTTGGAGTAAATCTCTCTCACCGAACGAGTACCGTCCTACGGCTCGCCTCCACTTTGAGTCGATTACAGCTTACAATTTCATGTAAGCGGGTTCATCATTGTGCTTCTAGGTCATCGCCTAACATGGATGGACGAAGTGCAGAGGAGCGCACCACGAAAGCCAGACCCGGACTTCAACAACCTCATATGCTTATCCTAGGTAAAAGGCTCGTTAAGGAAGAAACGAGAGGTTCCCATTTGACAGCCGAGTCTGGTGTAAGAAAAGAAGCGCCGGCGTGGTCCGACCAATCTATCATGGAGCTTCTACAAGACGAAGCAAAACCTTCTGGTTGTAGAGTCCATCCGTGCCGGACTGGGTTGGAAAAATGATAAAAGCTACCACGGACGCAGCGCCAGGTACTCGCTCGAGCCGATGAAAGGCTTTCGTATCCAAATGTTTGAGAATCATTTTACATGTATATTCATTGCATTAGTGGTGTAATGGTTAACATGTGGTCTTCCCATACTGCGAAAATTTCATTCCATGGCCGCATTCGGGGTTCGATTCCCAGCTAATGCACTAAGTAGGGACGTGAGGTAGAATGTTTTGGCAGGGCTTTGTTAAGAATCAGGGTATTTGTGCTAATACACGAGTTAATGAGTACTCGAGTAAAACCCAAGTCGTGAGCGAGGATGTCCGAAAGCCGAGTTCCAACCACCAAGAGGGATCTGTAAGGGTGCTAACAAGCGCTAGGCGTAGTTAACGAGGGCGTCAGCAAGCGCTAGGCGTAACTGACTGGGTCTCCGAAAAGCGCTAGGCGTAGTCGGAAAGCAATTGATTGGCAAGCGCTTGGCGTAACCGATCAGAGATGCTTAGTTCACACAATTAAGTGGACTTCGAAGATGAGTAAAATAGATCAAGAGATCCTAATACAACGGTAAAGACAATATTTATATGCTACTAGTAAGGCATTGAGTCATTATAATTCTACAATATTCCGTAGTATTCTAGTATCAGCAAGAAGAACAGAGAAAGTAAGAGAAAATAGTAGAAAGTATCAGTAAGCCGAGGTCAAGACCGAGAAGGCCGAGAGTAGGCATGTGTTGACTCATGTACAGGCTGAAAAATACACGAGATCCATAACAGGCTTCTCGATGGTGAGGGTCGTAAGGGTCGGGTCGTCGTATTGGACAGTGCATAGGAAGAAAAAGAGTGGTAGGAAAGGTGAAGATGGAGGTTTCGAGTTGGAGAAGTGGCCTGCGAGGAGAGCGAGGTATCATGTTAGTGAGTGGCTTGAGTGGTTTGGTTGCGAGGATGCGTTGGGCGTCGAGAATATTTATGGTATCTGAATTTTGTTTGCTTTCCATAGGATCTACTCTACATGCTTGTATCATTTGGGACTGAACCGATAATCGTAATCTATATGTGGAACCATATCTGTTTGCAGTAGCGGCATGAGCTTTGCTTAAATAATGTCAGCATCTTTTCGAATGGATTAAGTCTACATTTAAGCCCTTTCTTGAACAGTTCGTCTTCATCATGGAGAAACAGTGATGTTCTTTGTACTATTTATGGAACCTGAATTGTGTTGATAGGAAGGTTTATCAGTTGTGCTGACAGAATCAGCGATAAATGACAGTGCAGCATGTCAAGCGGACTTCAAACTTCGATACTTATATCTCTCTATCGACCCTGCCGTCATTGATCAGCGCTGGGTTCCAGTTGTCGCTCCGTCGTGATTCCTGGGTACGATAGTTTCCTTCTTCTTACGACATGGCCCCTCAGCTTGAGCCTCATGCCTACCGACCCAAACCTCGCTACGTATACTCGATATCGTCGACCGAGATGTCAATGCTAGGGAAAAGGTTCCAGTTGATAATCGGTAAAAGCGGAGGGCCGGATTGGTTTCTGTAATTCGAGTGTTGATACCATGGAATTGACTCCCCACCGTCATGGACTTGTGGTGTAATGGTTAGAATGTGAGCTTCTCATAAGGGTGTCGGGGTTCAATTCCTCGGTAGTGCAATGACATGATCTGTTTCCCCCTTAAATTTTTTATGTAAATGTATGATATAAGACGGCTTTAGGCCTTCGCAGTGCTCGGACGAAACCTCTAGAGGGCGGTGGTTAAAAGACGGTTTTGTTACATAGGGTTGGGCACGAAACCCCAGGTTTTGATACACCGGGGTTTATTCCCGGTAAGTTACCGTCACCACGGGTAACCCACGGGTGCTCAAGAGCAAGCCCGTACCCTTACCCAGTCATACCCATACCTCTTCTGTGGGTATTGGCAGGTATTTTGAGGGTATGATGGGTCACGGGTATATGACTCGTAAATGCAAGTTCGGTTTGAAATAAATGACATGATGAACTACAGTCTATACTCAAGTAACCCTCCTTCATATGAAATCATGCCGCACCCCAGGTCCTGCTTCAGCCTAGAATTATCCACAACGTGAGTAACAGAATACCCATTTTACCATACCGCGTACAACGGACATCGGTAGTCTTAGCTTGAAACACGGCGAGGGTTATGTTTGTTCTCTAGTGGTTCTCCGTGGTTGTACAGTCAACTAAAAATATGTTGAGACGCTGTAGAATCCGGTGAGAGACAAGACGAGAAATCAAACCAAGTATATGCTTCTTTCCTCAACCACTTCTGTACGTTCTAGACCCTTCGATTACGGTTTACAATTCCATGCCAGCAATTTTGCCATCGTTTTCCCAGTACATTTCCTAATATGGACGGACAAAGCGCAGAGGAACGTACCACAAAAGCCAAATTGAAATTTCAACAGCCTCGTATGCTTCTTATCCCCAGGTAACAGGATCGTCAGGAAACAGCGAGAGAAAGGTCTGGTACATTCCCATTTGACCTGAGCCGAGTCTGTCGAAAAGAAAATAAGCGCTGCCGTGGTTCAACCATCTGCCATGAAACTTCTACAAGCTGAGGCAAAAACCAAGAGACTAGCAAGAATAAAGGTAAAAACCTTCTGGTTGTAGAGTCATCAAGTATTTCTTGTAGACCATAAGTTATAACCTACGATAACGCATCTGTTCTGTGTCCGGATTAGCACATCCTTTTGCCCTTTAAAATGATAAAGGCCGTCACGGATGCACAGTGTCAAGCGGTAGGAAGAAAAAGACAGGTTTGATGTCCACTGAGATCATTTTACATAAGAGACAATATCCTTCATAACTTGCACTGCATTAGTGGTGTAATGGTTAACATGTGGTCTTCCCATATAGCTCACGAGTGTTGGTCTGGCCGCGTTCGGGGTTCGATTCCCCGCTAATGCATTTGCTGTGGGGTAGAATTTTGTTATTTTTATTAGCTGCTCGCTCAGTGGATTGTATCGAAGCGCACGAAGGGTAAATTACGGTATCTTACCGACCTCTCCCTGAGGGGGTGTTTTGATACGATAATTTACCGTTAACCATGTACCTTTTCTGATTCATTCATGCTGGCCAGGAATTGAGACTCGTACTATCAACCATGACCTGGACGAGACAGTATCTTGTGGGCAAATTTGTTGAGGAGGTATTCAATACGCGAGACAGACAGCCAAGATGACGTGCGAAACCCGAGTACTGCGGTATTTACCCATTCGGCTCGCTTCCTCCCGCCGGTAGCGGAGAAACTGTACGTCAAGCGGCGGTGGCGACAGACGCAAGTTATTACGAAAACGCTGGTAGATGCGCATTGCGCAGTGTATTCCCCAGAGCGCAGCAACGAAAATCCCGTCGATCATACATTCGGGTTTGAAATGCGATTGTGTAAGAGAATCCCTAGTACATTAGGCCCGAGAGATAAATATAAAGTAGGTATAACGAGGGGCTTTGCATGAATAAGCGAGGGGGAGGTCCATCCAACATTCATTTTCCTTCAATTGCGACGCGACATATCGAACAGAAACCCGGCGATTCTAGGCGAATATAGAAAAAGGGATAGACTAGAAGAATACGCATAGGGCTCCACCAAGGCCGGCGACCAGCGCTGCACCTATACCCACGAGAGCTCTCCACTCTACCAACGTTGGCAACGCACTCGACACAGCCGCAAAGGTCGTCACGAAACCCTGTGTTGGATTTGGCGATCCGCTTACCGTGACGGTAGGAGCGGCACTGTCTGGCGTGGGTGTCGAACCAGACGTGGAGGTAGCGGTACTTGAAGAATTGAGAACGCTAAACCGGGGAGAGGTGGTATACATGACCCCATGTGTAGAGTTGAGGAATAGTAGGAAATAGTCGTCGGCTGCTGGGATGTCTTCGAGGTATACGTTTAATGACGACGGCGAGGCTTTGTCGGCGGGGACTAACAGAAAAGTGAGGCTTATATGACAGGGAAACGACTTATTCACACGCACCTGTGCTGGCGATGTATGTCAGACCATCCTCACTGAGCCTCGTCATCTCGACATCGAACGAATCGACTCCGTCCTAGCACTCCCTTCTCCCAGGATATCACATTCACAGCGCCGTTCCGCCATTGCGCACCTTCCGTGGGCTCAGATATCATAAAATACGCTATTGCCACGTATCAGTAACAAAACGCATCAAGGCGGGCAAGCGGAACTCACCAGAGGCAGCGGTGGCGAAGACGAGGGGTATAGGCAAGACATTTGATAACCGCATCTTTGGTCTTTTTGCGTGGGGTCGTATATGGGTATGTCGAGGAAGGACAGAAAAAGGAAATCGTGAATGAAGGAGCGAGCGTCGGCGATTCGAGAAGGAATAGGCGGGCGCAGCAGCGTGGGCGGGATAGAGGGAAGGAGAAAAAGAGGAGAAACGTGACGGATTGATTGCCTCGACAGTTTGTTTGGTTGTGTTGTCGTTTCAGGGGTCAACTCCTAATGGAAAACGCCAAGCCTCATGACGTCGATTGGTACACATCTTCCACCGGCGCGAGATAAGAATCTGCGCTCGACGTCGACGCGGAACTCGCTAGGAAACTGGAATTTCTCGATTTTACTTTGGTTGAACACGACAGTTATCTGGTCAAAATGTATCCGCGGGGAGCTGAGACCGGTGAAACATCTGCGGTTGCCGGCGGCGCGCTTTTGCAGCCAATCAACGATGCGGGGCTGGAATCATGTTTCTAACTCTTCATGTTTCCTCCCATACGGTCAACTCGTCAGTGATAAGGATCGAACAGCACATTATCTTTGCCCGATTCGATGATCGATGAGGCGCTGACTTCTGCTTCCGCGCCAAAGCTGAGCGCTAGCGGGCGAGCGCAGGCTCCGAACCCTGGATGACCGCTTGTAGCTATGACTATCTGATCACTAGTACTATGGCTTGAGACCAACAGATATTGCTTCTGATTTTAATTCCCTCTGCGTAACTATGAGACTGTCCTGATGTATCCCTTCATATATCTGGGATGGCAGGTGTTCTTCTGGCATCAGCCTGACCAGCACCAGACATTACTCTTTCTTGTATAATGAGGGTACTGGCACTTCCAACAGCTAATACTTTCCAACCAGCGTCCAACAAAGACCCGGACCCATCATCCGAATCGCGGACTGCTTCTCTCGGGGATTCCTTCAGCCGACCGGACATTCGAATGGTGCGTCTTCCCTTTCCTTTGGCATCATTAATCCGACTATAGACTCCGAAGGCGACGCTATGCCGTGCCCAGAAATGAACGACAGGCAAAGCATGAAGACCCGGCACATTAGCTACCTTCAGTCTTTCCGGTCAGAGAACCATTTCGCTAACGCAAAAAGCAAAAGACAACGATATGTATCTGATGATACCTCGAGAGGGATTCGAACCCTCCCAATTTTGCCGCCAAGTCCACAGCGCGAACACTTGGTAATAAATCAATCATCAACTCATTATTCTACCCCACAGCCTTAGCCGGTGAAACGTACGCTCGTGCTCTCTCCGCCACGACCGCCAACCAACCGGTGACCACACCGATCCTCGCGGTAAATATCAATGCCCCTTGCTTTCTGCTCCAGATTCGAGCTGAGGCTCCCGAGCCATGGATGATCATTTTCTACCAGAACAAGGTCTCTTACTACCAGTGGCTTTTAACCTGACGGTTGTCACTGCAGCCAAGTTTCATCGTTTAGCGGATCGGACATTGTAATGGTCCGTCTTCCCTCCTTCCTTTACCTTACTTATATAATTCGAACATAGATTCTGAATGCACCGCGCATAAAAACCTCTGCCCCCCAAAATGACTGACACAAAAAACGTTTCAAGCGGACGATTCGTCATTGACTCATCGTTCTGATCAGTGCACCATTTAAGAAGTCAAAAATAGCACCGAGTGATAGGAACATGCATGCTTCGAGAGGGATTCGAACCCTCCCAGATTTCACCCTACCGCCAACTCTACAATATCGACGGTGGTTACTCCTTCCTAGGCCTCATAGCCAGTATTACTATTATCCCAGACCGGTAAAGCATACGTTTGCGCTTGACACGCCAACCGACCAGCAACAGCACCAACCTTGCGGCGGATACAAGCAGCTCCTGATCTCAAGTTTCCCGGCGTAACCATGATGATCCGTTCATATTTTTTGGGACACAGGTTTTTCTGGTACCATCCTTTCTCGAACGAGGACGTCTACACTTCCCTACAGCTAAATTTCCGAACGTCAGAATAACAAAATCACAGGTGCTTCTCTCGAGGGACTGCTTCAGCCGAACGAACATCATAATGGTCTGTCCTCTCTCTTTCCTTTCACCCCTCGACCTGATGAATTAGACCATATATTCCACATGAAAACCTGCGCCGTGCCCAAAATGAATGACAGACACAACATGTTGAACGAGGACGCCTCTTCCACACATTACTTACATTACCTTCAGTCCTTCTGGTTAGAGAACCAATTCTCCAATAGAAACAATCAAAAGATCGAACGTGATCCCTGATAATGCCTCGAGAGGGATTCGAACCCCCTCAATTTTGCCGCCAAGTCTACAGCGTGAACACTTGGTAATAAATCAACCATCAACTCTTCATTCGACCTCGTAGCCAATGGCGCGTAAAATCCACGTTTGCGCTCTCTCCACCACGTGCACCAACTAAAAAGCGAATCCTAGCAGTAAATATCGCCATCCCTGACTCTCTACCCAGGTTTCGAGCTGAGGCTCCCGAGTCATGACTGCCTATCTTACCGGGGCAAGGTCTGTCACTATGTTACCACCAGTGGGTTTAAACCTAACCGGTCCTATTGCAGCTAGGCCTTATCGGCAGATGGAATCTTGGATACTGACCACTGTTCTCGAATTAGCAGCGACAGAGAACCTTACATTCGTACCGCGGCACTTCCTACCTTGGGCATGGTCCCGGAATACGTCGTCTGATCATAAATTTTAATTGTACCTCCACCTTCTTTCTTACCTTCAGCTTCAATTTGTTAATCAGAGTTTAGAGCTCGAATACGAACGTTGTACCCGAAAAGACAGACAAATCATGTAAAATATGGAGCCACGTTGAACAACGAGGCCATGCAGTCACAGATCCCGCCTGCCGGCTTCAACCTTTGCTTACAGGTCCGCGTCCTATAATTTTCCTGTACAGCATCCCAATACTGCTGTATCTTATTTCTATATTCAGCCGACTCCGCAGGAAAGCTGTAACCAGTTGTCTTCTGTGATGACTCCTATTTCAAGTCCCATTTGCGCAGGAAATTGTGCTCACCATAAGCCTTAGGTCCTTTACGAGACCATAACGAAGGTTCTACTTCGCAGGTAGGAAAAATGCCCTCCAGTCAGTTATTCCCAAATCTCACCATAGAAAACATCAAGTTTGATGCTATAGCAGTTCGGTTCCATTCGCTCGCCCTCCTGGAAATATCTTGGCTCAGTAAAAGGTAGTCTACACTGCTTCTCAGGTCCAGTGATTGAAGATCCTAAAGTCGGCCTGCGCTTGACTTTGCGTGTATCAGAGATCCGTCCTCAGGATGGTTTTCTTTCTTTTTTTCTTCCTCTTTAAATTAGTCGGCTCGCTAATCCACTCTTAATTAACAGACGTTTCATCCGAGCTCATAGTACCCTTAATTACGAACCTCGAAGCGTCGCGAACACACCGCTCAAGGGATCCTCCACTAGTCTATCCAATGCACAGAAGACACATAGCCAAGGCCCAAGATTCCGCACGGGCGCCACATCAAGATCGTCAATCCGCAAAGTACCCTCCTAAACATCAGCACTTCGGATAAAGGATAAGGTCGAAACATAGTGAAAACCTCTCCACGGGACTAGCTAACGATAGATGATATGGGGTGTTCTACCTACCACTCCGGGATCGTGACTGATAAAGTTTGTTTTCCGCACAGGTACTACATCAACCGCAAATCTTCCGAGTCGATGACGCTCGCTTCTCCACGGGCACTCCTGGCAGGTGACATCAGTCATAATGCAAGGAAAACAACTGGAATAACGATGAAGTTCTGACCTAGGCTTTTCAGTCGCACCGGAATTCCTCGGCTTTGCCTTTAAGGACAATCCCCACACATTTCCTGTGGTCAAAAGCAAGGGTCAAATCTTCCTCTGTTATCCACCCATTTTCACCTGCTTTTTATCCGACCCGAAATAGCCACTGACCATGAGTAGGATCCGTCTCTAGTTAGGTCCAGCCGCCCCCTCGATGCCTTATCATGATCATGATCATCAGCCCGCTGTAGGATAATAATAAGCGAAGTTTCTCCGTCTGTGACCCACAGCCGATTTCCGAGTTTCCGAACCTACTAGGCGAGGACAGCTAGCTCATTTGAGTTATCTTGCTGAAGTCAGAAGACACAGGGCTCAAGTAAGTAGCCCCCCATCCCTTCGCTTTTCATTATGTTTTTAATTGACCATCAATTAAGACTGGCCGAGCCTAATAAATAACGCCCTCGAGGACCCATCAACTCCGTCGACCACTGGCAGTAATAATATCCCATATTTCTCAGGTCCCATGCTCGTCCTATAAAGACGCACCCACATCGTACAAGCTCTTGTATCGCGTCGAGATGTCCTCCCTCCTTCCATCACTCGGAAAGACTCTCGGAGCAGTGTACATCGGCGCAACGCTCTCATCCATGTCAGTCGGGTCTCTGCATAACCGTAACCGGCTACCTCGGCTAACACTCCCATCGGTAGCTTACTCGGAATAACCGCTCTCCAGGCTGTCATATATTACAAGAAGTTTCCCAATGACGCATGGTATTACAGATATTCCGTAGGTACTCCTTCCTTCCATTTGGACGTTTAATTGAGGTTTATTAGGTAGCCGCACTCTGGTCTGCTCGCCCACCTGGATTTTTGATGATCCCTGAATTGACTTTCGCTTATTCAGGATCCTCGATTTGCTTCATGTAGCTTTGAACACGCACGCAATATATTTCTACCTCATTGATTCGTTCGGCAATTATCTAGCACTTGATCACGTCATCTGGTATGTCTCGAATCCCTTTCACTCTTGTTGCACTGTTTGCCTCCACCGCCTGTAGGAGCTTTAAGGTGGCAATCTTTCGTTCAGTTTTCCCAGTGATCATCTCTAGCTGATATGTCGTCCTCGCAGCTCCAGATTTTGATTAATGTGCGTCCTTTGATATAATCCCCATTTCTGAGCTCAATTCCTTCACAAACAAGGTTATAATTGTCGTCGGCGTTCAAGCGTTGGTACCGACTCCACTCCCTCTTTGAATATAATCCGAAACCTTTTCTTGTTATAGACTCTACGCAGTACGACTGTGGAAAAGTTCGTCCGTTTTTTCTCCCTACGATAGCCTTAAACAAAGTGTCATTACCCTCAGTCGGACACCATTTTCACTGTTTCGTACCTTGGTTTGTTGTAAGTTTATTTTCATGTCAGTCCGCAGCCCATTCTCATCATTCCGCGACACAGGTGCTGGTTATTGCTGGTGGCTGCGGTAATATTCCTTCTCACATTCGTACTGGACATCTCGGTTGATATGTTTTTCAAAGCTACTGGGATAGGCGAGTCGAGTCATTCTACTGGTACTTCGCATTAGTCTCATGGAAGCACGTTAGTTATGACATACGATGCGTAAGCCAAAGACTCTCTGTGCAGTCTACTCCGATTAACACGATACTAGATATACATTATCACATGTATCCCTTCTTCCTACCATTTCTGTGAGCGCATACAGATAACGTATGCTCTCGATTATTCCTAACTCCGACCAGAAGACAGTCGACGGGACCTTTGCAACAACGACCTCTGTCGATTTTATTATCTCTGGAGCGATGTTCTATTACCTGCACAAGAGCACAACCATCACCAAGTTTGAGAGGTCAGCCCATTCCATCCAGGCTTCGTAAACTGCGTTCTCAAAGTTGTTACATATTTCAGTACGATATCACTCATCCTCTCCTTGATGCGCGTGGTTGTGATATCCGGATTAGTTACCAGGTGTGGCATCATCGCTCCATTTTAGATGAAAGTCTGACGATACCGAAGTACCTGCTCGCTCTTGGCTCTGATGACGGTACTGTTGGTACTTCTTTTCTCAGGAACAGAGGCTCATCTCTATCAAGTTCATTGCATTTCCAAACACTCTAATATTCTTCGCCATCGGATTCATTCTACCCAAATGTACGTCGCCTTCTACTTCGTCTTCATACCAACTAATGATCTGCAGTGTATATAAACTCGCTACTAGCAATGTACGCTTTCTCTCTAGTCTGACACGCAGCTAACTAACTTGCACAGGCTGAACGCGCGGGATAAGCTCGTCAAAGGATCCGAAAGTCATGGTACTCCACAAGTCCTTCGGCTCACCTCTGAGAACTATTCCGATATGGGAATGATGGAAAGGGTGGGTACAGCCTTCCCGTGCAGTGTATTTATTATGCTGATATTCTCTATGCAGGGCATTGACATGTCGCTTGCGGAGATACCTGGAGTAACAGCGCTGGACAAAATTTAAATAGTGAATTGCCATAGACTTTTATGCAATAAATATTGTTATGAAAACAAGATACTGACGGAAAAAACATCTGTTCCGAAGCGTGTACCAGCGCACGTGGCTCGCCATGGCAGGGCTGTGGACCCGGCTGTTCCGTATTGGGACCTGGAGCCGTAACACTACCGCCACCACTACCATTAGCGGTTGTTCGGATTTGGCAGCATCATGGGTTTCCCATGCAATGAAAAGTTAGGTATGATTAACACGGAGAACCGTTCAGCCGTGCGGGCCTCTCCGTCGAGTCATCACATCAAGTTTATCAGTATCTAGCTGAGTGTGCATACCTCTTGAATGAAACGTCAAGGAGCCGGCGTAAGCCAGGTGAGATGTCGAGGCCATGCTGATGGCCTGTGAATGCAGAGGTAGGCGGAAACAAAGAAATAACAATAACTATAGAAGAGAAAAATCCGAATAAAAGAAACCGGCACTTAGCCTTCCATCCTTTGTAGTTTGCGCAAAGATTTGATTGGCGCAGAAGTTATATCGTCTTTCTGTCCTGGGATCGACGAGATTTCCACCCTCTCTATATCAGACTCATTCTTAACATCCGCTGTAACCTCATCCATATCCATGTCCAAGAACTTCTCCAATGGATCATTCCAAAATCCCGCCGTGCAGTCCGGATCTGACATTTCGAGGAAATTCTGGGTGGGGACAAAGATTGGTGCAGAGTCGGGAATGACTACGGGTGTTTTGACTGCCTGCAAAGCGCTGAGCATGGAAACCTCCTTCTCCAGTACAGCGATGCGCTCGTCCTGTAATTGCAACTTTCGATACAGAAGCCTGAAGAGTTCGGGTGACGGAGAGGAGACAGTCAAGGCGAGAGAATCCCAGTTGATATCGATAGTTGCCGCATTCGCAGTGCAACATGCCCCCGACTGGGGTTGCGGCTTTACTGGAACAGCTTCATTATGGGTGGGTAATATGGGAGGAGGCGACATTTCCCAGGTCTTCGTACGCTGCCAAGATTCCAGATACTCGGAAGCATTCTTCCCAGAAAGTGGATTGTCGCTCGTATCCCAGAACCAATCACCACTGAGTTCCTTCAGCCCGCTCATCCACTGGATCGCTGTAATTCCATCTTCGACCTGCTCCTCGTCGAGCTTGAATCCCTTGATTCCTCTTAACACCAGTTTCTTCCAATCTACGCATATAAGCGTTTCGTTTCAGATATACGAGAGAGCGGAGCTTACCAAATTTGACGACATCCTTCCGATACTCCTCCTCGCCATACATCTCCCAAAACTCCTTCAAATGCTTCGGTTCGGATAACAACCATCCCATACGATACCTAACCAGCGCTGTATCAAAAATCGCACACCTCCAGCTCCTGCCTATACCCTCACTCATTGCTCGCCTCACTTCGCCCAGAAACGCTTCGCAGAGCCTCGATACGTGGAGGATCCCCGTCTTGAACTCGGCCCACTCCTTATCGTCACCTAAGACCAACCGTAGCGAACTCCACATGAATTGGCCCACGAACATCAACGGTATCCGGTATAGGTTCGGAACTACGGTCGTCGAGCCGTCCGCCGAAGTGATGGTAGCCCATTTCGAGCGGTGCGTGCGTCCTGGGACGGAAAACGAGTTGGTGATGAGATGTTTGATGATTTCGTCTTTGGACCACGACGAGGCGTCCAAATAGTCTACTTCTTTCCATCCTAACTCCCGTGAAGGAGAAGCGAGAATAGAGAGTGTAATATCGTCAAGTTGTTCCTCCTTTAGTTCCGATTTGACCACAGGAGCTGTAGAGTATTTCCGGGATTTGTTCTGCCGTATCCTGTGGCTAGGACGCGAGTACGAAGTGATAGATTCGCTCGTGATGCGAGTCATGATAGACCTGCGAAGCGGAAACAGGAGTCAGGACCACTCTAAGCCAGAGAAAGTTAGGAGATACTTGGGATTTTGAAGACCAAATTGAAGATGCGGGTATATTCGAAAAGCCTGTGTATTAGAAAAGAGTGAGAGAATCGTGACAGAGTCGTTAGAGATGCGGCGTCATGAATGCGGTGACTGTTGAGCGAAAATGAAGCACCTTGCCGAAAACGGCAATTCTGGTGTCAGCATAAAAAATGACGCGACAGTCTGTATCATGGTTACGTCCTACCGGCTATATCTTAGTCTTGTTACTCCGGTACAGTGCGCATCGCGTTCTGATGCGAAGAGGATAGAAGTCGAATTTGGGACTGGGGTATGGCGTAATTAATATCTGACTATAAAACAGACAATCAACGAGAAGACACCAGAAAGAAACCGTCAATTAAGTTGAAAACGATCCATTTCCTAGTCAAATAGCGGCGAAGGTTAATTGTTGTAAAAATGTATGGCCAATATGGACTATTATGCTAAGTACACCTCTAAGAAATTGAACTTTGACCCGGTAGCAAATGACCAGCCACCCCATGAGCAACGTCGTATATGAATGCTGTATCCTTTGGATCAGAGATAAGCTGCCTGTGGCCCGTGGCAACCCAGGCTCCGAGCTTGTACATATCTCAGAATAAATCCTATATCGTGGAATACGTTCTTTACTATATGAGCGTAAAACCGTGATCCCCGTGACATAATCTCTCACAGCTGTGGTATCATGTCAGCTCCCACCTCACTATCTTATTGAGAATTGGTTTTCACGGCTCTAACGCCACCTTCTATTTATACCTATTTTACCGCTTACTTTATACTTTGACATCTCGTACCTATTTTCTCCTTGACTCCGACCACCCACTGTCTCCATACTTCTACGACAGAATATACCACCTTTCGGGTCGACCACGACCCCTTCCCGAGTCGCCACCACCTAAACTCCAACATATCTTGGCATGCCTCTATGTAAATAGGATCGGCACCATATCTGTATCCATGTGTTATTTTCTTACCGCCGTGTTCTCATTGACTCTCGGTCTGTATAATCGTCGGCAATTCCAGAAGATGACCACTTCGCATGGATATATTTTCGATGGATCCGGGTACAGCTATTGTACCGTCTTGCATGAAAAACAGCTGTTGTGATACGACACCGGTAGAGGAAATAGTACTGGCATCACAAGATGATCCAAGGTTAAATGAGATTAAAAAAGAGAATAATACCTCATCCTTCATTCTACATACATGCTTATCCAGTCAAGAAAAATGCCAGCTAGACGCCCAATCCTGTACTTTGAAGAGAGCAAACGGTCACAAGATGATCGTCGTTTCGAAGCCATGCCATTGATTTAGCTGTCTAATTCATCAACAGGCGTCTTGACACAGATTAGAATTGATTTTTCGTTTGTTCTTAGTTCACGCGATAGCTACCCAAGAGGCAGAAGATTCGATCACTATCTCGACAATCTTCCCGTAAGAACTCACCCCTGACGCCAGACGAAGAATCCTGTCCACGATTAAGAGTGTACGTACGCAGGAGTGTCGTGGTGAGTGTGAGAGAGAGATAGAATAATGACCAGTTGATCTCTGCCGCGAATCCTCCGGTTTCGTCAATCTCACTGGTTATATTGATGAAAACGCTGCGGATTTGCATGGACTTTGTAACTGTAATCCGTTGTCTAAAAGAGGATGTAGTAACAACAAAGAGGCGCTTACCTATCCCAGCGAGGGTGCAAATGGCTGGAATAACGATAATGCACCACAGACGGCCCCAAAACATCCAACAGCACCATATCTAAGAAAAGCGAATTTTAGCAGATCACCACAGCTGGAAGGAAAGCCATACAATGGTAATATCGACAATCAACGTGGTAATTCCTCCGCTGATGCCGTCCACGAGCTGGTACATCCTCCACCATGGCCCAATAGCTTGCAGCGCGACAAAGACGCTGTAAAAATTGTCCCCATTCTGGATAAATGCGCGCCGTTGGTATACCCAGTCAACGCCAAAGGTAATTGTCGTGAGAAGTATAGAATCACGACGACTGTAAGCAGGAAAGCATTGTCAAATTTCATGGGAGAAGAAACTGGGCGCGATTCCCAATTAGTGAATGGAATAATGGAGGAATACAGACAAACGTGTATTCCATAAGGTAATTGCTACGATAAATGTATACAAGCCTACAGTAACATGGGTTAAACGGAAGGAAGACGAAGAAGTAATGGATTCACCTTGAAGTAACGATTCCAAGATTTCACGGTTGAAATTTAAGTCGAGACTCTCAAATATGACATTTCGGTCATCTTGAGACAGATCAGCTGGGGGATATTCCATATAGTTTGTTGAGTGGAGAGATGGACAGTTTCTTGATATATGGAACCTCTAAGGCACATCCCAGGCAATTAAAAAAGGAAGGGGACCTATGGAATCGCTGAGTATGTTTCAACCGGCACGCTGGGTGTTTTTTGTTTAACAATCTATCATGGAACTCGATGCCTAAGCTGTGGCGAAATCTTTTCGTATTACCCTGTGGCACTGACTACCTGCCGCTAAATCTGAGCGCTCCATTACCGAGTCTGCCGAGGAGTACTGTACCTTTCCACCTGGACCAACACCGTTTAAATCTATCTTAAAGGAAAACCACACTTAACGACTCCATAATCCAGTATTCTGATGCAACGTGTAATCATATGCATTAGAATTTAGGGTCGAAAGACTAACATCAAGAAGATCAGATATTGAAGGTGTCCCGAGGCCCAGCTTCGTGTTCACATAGCCTGCCAGGAATTACTCATCTAGTTAAATAAGCAGTTTACCCAAGCCAGAAAACTGAAAACAATTTAAGCTTTCAGGTTTGATGGTCTGGGCCGTATGAAGGAGTCAATCAACGAAACGGGCCAAAAGGAAAGCTTAGCTTACACTTTCATTTTAGCTTCACAGCATCATATCTGCACGATCCATCCCGTAATGCAATAGCATTAGCCCGAGCGATATGATACTAGGCTGTGTCGAAAGAAAACTTGACCTTCGATTTTTCCACTGAGAGCTTCGATAATTAGATTCTGACGAAAGTGGACTGCTTACGAAGCCGTAAAACGGATATATCTATACTTTGAGGCTGTGAGGGGAGTGATGGCTCGGTTCATGTGTGAGTGACACAGCCACCGCGTGGGAACCTCGTTTTCATTTTATCGACAATCAATCCGTCCAATGATGCTCCACAGCATCCTCTGACTCTCGTATATCGTCACTCCTCCTTGGTGAAAGCACTCTGAGAAAAGAATCTTAGCGAGATTCACTGCAGAAATGACGACCGATGCTTTCAATGGAGATAGTGATATCAACCTTACCCTGTTGGGCACTCAGTTTTGGGTGAGTTTGACTTAGGCTTCGAAGGCTTCTATATTGGAGTACAAAGCGGAGTTCTCATCATTGTTCATCCTGTACGATTAATATCAATTCTGGGCATCAAGTTGATGTTGACCATTTTATGACCTTCCGATGTTGCTTATAGGTGCGCTTCCGAAGTATTATCTGTTTCATCGCATATCCCAAGTCATGTATAAAATGGAAAACTTATGCCGGAAATATCTCTTCAAGTGAGACTTACCACTGTGAGGTTGTTCGCTCCACTCAAGGTGCGCTCTTCGTGATTACCATTTATTCATACATTCACCACTTATCAGTAGACTTGTGTCTTCTAGCTACCATGAGAGGCTCACAAAGTAAACCACAGACAGAAGAGTTTTCTCGTGCAAGTTCCCCTCACGCAAACCGCGATGCTCAATCTGATTCATCTAATGTGTTCGTACTTGCATTATCTCTACCTCAACTACCTTTTTATAATCCTCTCGACAGTGAACGTGCCTTATTAGACTGGCAAGAAGATAGCAACGGCTGTATCTCCAGTACAGGTACTCGGTTCTACATCTTATGGGGAGTCACAGTGATAGTTCTGGTTTTCATTGTTATGCGGCAGTGGTATCGGAGTAGGAGGGTTTGTAAGGCCACAAAGGAGGTTAATTGTCCGGTGACAGACGATTTGGAAAGTCGAAAGTGCCTCATCAGCAATACACGTGGATGAATTCCTGCAAGACACTGTGATTGTCTAAATTCTCCTGTAATTCATATTTCATCCTTATAACGTCCCGTTCTACTGCTAAGAGGCATCGCGATTTACAGAGTCTCGCTGTCTTATTTTTTTGGCTTTGGTTTTGGCCGTAATAAAAACGGTGGCAGAAAGGACCATAAATGACTAGGTAGCAGCAAGTTAACGAAACGACGTGCAGATTCTTCAGCTCGTATTAACCCATCCCCTTCCCCAATCAAGACCGTCTACGGTTCTACCTCGTACTATGACTGCTCTGTTGTCCAACTTGTCGGATTCCTGGGGCTTGACTCCGCCCTTTGATGTCGTTGCGTTCCATGATGAATTGGCTCGAACGCACTCTAGAAAGTGAGTGTCGCACGTCTTCGAATCACTGTTTCAGAATTCGTTTCTCTTGCCTTCAGATGGACATTCGTCATGAACGCCGACGCATCCATACCATCTACCAAACAGAACATGACGTTCACCTACGCATCTCTGGCGTTGGTTGTTATGGATACGATGAAGTATTAAATTTTGACGTCGGTCATCAATCAGACTCAGCATCGGGAGCGTTTTTACCTTCCAAATGGCTATGATCCGCTTCCCCCCGTGCCTATTTGTAGAAATCTCCTTTCGTAGTCTCGCCGTAGTGATGGGTTTTTACGAAAATCGATATTCTTAACCTTACGACCATCATATGCATTACGTACCACTTATTGTTCAGCTGAGTGGCCTGCCGATTTCGCCTCCTCGGAGGCCTTGGGATCGTATGTCTTGCACGATCTTCACAGATTCGCTGATAACTAAATCGCTCTCCTCGATGACTTCTGACATCTGGATGTACTTGCTGCGAAGTTTGTTTTAGTGATCTCAGCACTAGTCCAGCACCATAGACGAGTTGGCGGCTCCCTTCTTCCATGGTGAAGCAAAGTTCTTCCTCGTCCTTCCTCGTAGCTTCCGTCTCATTCTCCGAGCTCCAGCTGGAGAAATTATATCAGGATGTCATGGTTGAGAGGACAGATTACTTTGAGGGAACGCAGTTACTGATACTTACCGTGCTGTACGTTTTCTTCAGCCGATGGTATAGCCTGCGCAGAAATAGCGTTAGTTATCAGGGTGAAAAAAAGGGTGGTAGCTCACCACTCGGCCGCTACTATATTTTAATGACCCTGACGTCTTTGAATGCTTGACGTGATCGCGTTCGCGTTTTGTATCAAGTAGAAATTAAAATACGTTTGTCGTGGGAAATTGAAATCCTCTGAGCCACTGGCTGGATCGGCCCGTAGCCCTTTTCGCACTATGGCTATCACTCTCGACGACCTGCCTGACGACCTCTTGATCTACGCCATCGCGATTCTCTCCGTCCCTGATATCTTGTTTCTCCGCCAGGTAGGTGCAGTTGCTTTCTCTCCAGGATCAGTGCTCTTACATGCTCCTTGCGAATAGACTTGTACCCGGTTTAACGCACTCACAAGGCTAGAGATCATATGGATCAACGCATTCAAATTCAATATCCTCTCCAAAGATTACCCCTGTCCCGTCGATGACACTGATTTCGAACAGCGCACATGTCACGCCTACCGGCTCGCGACTCGATGGCTCGCAGACTCTCCTCTGATTCCCGTGAGCCAGACAAGCTTCAATGGGTCGCCTGCACAAGAGATAAAATTCATACCAGGATGCCAAAACAAGTGGCTTCTAACCGTATCCAAGGAGATCCCACGATGCTGACAATCTGGGATAACGCGCACAGGCAGAAGTGCTCAGAGTGGTCACCCAAAGGTGAGTTATTCGTTGGGGTGACTCTTAATGCGGATCCCGAGTCTGATGTGAGCGTGGTGGTCACATTGAGCAGGTAAGCGTGCGTTACTCTGATGAATGACGGCTAACTTGTGTAGGCCACAGACAATCGTGCTCCTCCATTTGGACGGCAACGGAAGCTTGCGCCAAATCCAGGACATCGACGTCGGCTTCCGCCCAGTCAGCATGACTGGTGACATTATATCCTTCAGCGACGATGTTTCCAAGACATTAATATACAACTGGAAGACAGAGGAGCGTGCCTACCTCGAAGGAGGCGACATGCCGGTAACCGTCCCATACCTGTTCAAATTACGCATGTTCATCTCTTACACTCACAGAATTACCACTGCAACCATGTCGTCTTTGCACCAAACACCGTCGTTGTCGTCTGCATCAACACGTTTAGTGTCTACGCCATGCCGCCCCTCCTCAGACAAATCAACACGGCCATCATGACAAACTGTTTCGACTGGTTCGATCGCACCAGTGCAACACCAACATCCCTCCTCATATTCTCTGAGATGTACAGACCCCAGACATTAGAGCCCAATTTGTTCCAACTGTGCTCCCTGGCCTCTGTTCCCCCAACCCTCCTCTTCGAAGGATTATCCCGCCATCGCGTACTCTCACATGTCAACATGGTCCTTGGCAAGCGGGGTACGGTGGTATGGATCAGCCCTGAAGAATGTGCCACGGTGGAGCATCGTGGCTGCAAAACACTAGTCACCGCCTGTATTCCCTGGTTCGCTCAACCCCACCGCTCAAGTCCGCATTCGCGAGCTATGCTCAAATGCCCCCAAAAACTGGACTGCGTTGAATTACGATGAAGAACTCGAGAGGATCGCCCTTGGTTCTCGGTATGGAGAAGTTACTATTACTCAGTTGTAGTTCAAAATATATTGTTCATGACATACTGGCTATATCGTATCCGATTCCGGGGTTCGAATCCCTTTCAAAGGACTGTTAGGACATTTTCTAAGCTTTTTGCTGGGCTTTAGTTTCGGTGGATCCATGCCCTACGGAGGTGACGGCGCTTTCAGTATAGTGTCTTCCAGTTTCCTACCGTTTACGTCCTCCCTATCAGGTACATATCTTCTATTTATCGGTATTTACTGGCGTTTTCAGCAACTGGGAACGTTATAAAGAAGCTACATGCAAAGGTTACGACCACCCATAGCTTCCAGCATTGCAATAACATTCCGTCCCCTCATTTTCCAGTTACTTGACGGCTTTTCCGCAACTATTCTCTAGCTAAGCCGGATATCGAGATCTTCAGAATCTGTTGCCCTATCCGCCTCGTGTTCTGGCAAGTCCCACCGGCGAATAGTCGGAACTTGACGGAGATATGCGATGTTCATCTGGCTTCGTATCTGTCTGGTGCCTTTCTACAGGCAGCACATCCACTTCACGGTACCTTGGCGACAGACGTCCATTACGTCTACAATCAGGTAGTGCGATGAGGCCCCTCGAGAGAAACGCACGGTTGCTGCTAGAGTCCTTAGTCTGAACACAGCTCTTGTGGCATAACCCGAACCAACAACCGAGTCATAGACTCGGTTCTCTATGGTGTGACTGGGGATATGACGGTAACAGTATAGAAGAGCGATCCATATGTTGGATGGCTTACCGCATATTTATTCGATAGGGAGACCATGTGTCGGCCATGACCATGATACTGCTACTCAGATTGGAATGGCCTTATCGTGACTTCTTGATTTCATTTTATGGTTCGGACTCCAAGGAAGCTGAAATAGTTAGCACATCAGAACCAAAGTCGACTATGCTGCAGGATTCGTACTCATCTCAAGCTCGAAATCTCTGGCAGCCTTACCATTGATCTTTTCCTGCGGCTCCTGGTGTGCGCTAGGCATATTCAAAATCAAAATTAAAATCAACTGGGAAACTGGAGACAAAAATACATCCACAGATGTGGGATGTATGTATTCGTCTACATGAATCAACCACAACAGTGCCTGTGCTGTATCCGTGGCATCACAATTCATTAACTCATCTTAAATCTTAAGGCACGTGGAAAATGTCAACAGATAAGGAAAACATCGGTGTCGGTGACTCTGTTTTCTGAAGGAGAAGTGATCTTTGCATGATGCTCTCAGGTTATCCCCTAAATTTTCACGGCATTCTTCATCAAAGGAAGAAAGGCATAGATATTTCCCAAGCCCTCACCATAAATGCTTCTGACAGTCCCTTCTTTAGAGTTGTGAAGAACGGTTCCCGAGCCTGCATCTCAGTGCTATTTTCTAGATGACTGCTAGTACTTGTTCCTATAATGATTTGACCCGCCCATTTATAAGCTGAGCAGACGTCCCAGAGCTCTCTAAGTAGCTCCTTTATACCCCACGATGTCCTCGCAACAGTCGCCAGCTATTCCATCCCTCGGTAATACTTTCGGAGCTCTGTTTGTTGGAGCTACCATAGCAGCCATGTGGGTGCCTTTCTTTGCATCCACAAACACCATTTCATTTCATCCACCTGATAGTTTATTTGGAATAACAAATCTGCAAACGCTCATTTACTACAAGAGATACCCCAATGACTGGTCTCTCTACCGATATTCTGTATGTCACAACTCCTTCGGACATTGTATGGCACTGAATCCCATGAGATAGGTCACATTACTTTGGTTCATCCATTTGCACCCCATAAGCTTTGATGGTGATTTATTAACGCGTTCTTTGACAGGGTACTTGATGCTGTTCACCTCACATTAAGCACGCATGCTCTCTATTTCTATCTGATTGATATGTATGGAAACTTGCTCGGTGCCCTAATAGGAAATGTCATCTGGTATGTCGCCGGGGTACAGGTACTCATCAATTCTACTGAGCCATTGTCATCACAGGAGTATGAGGGTGCAAATTCAGTTGAGGTTCTGATCTCACAGCTCTAACTATAGTTTGAACTTCCAGTTGCAATTAGTCCTAAAGGTGTGTTGTGACGAAGCCTCCACTCTTTTCCTATCTGAAATTTTCTCCCAGGTGTGGATTGTCATGTTTGTGCAAGAGTAAGGACAAAGTCATTTTAACTGAGGATGTAAAATTTCATAACTCAACCTGTTAGGCTATACGCTATCTGACTGTGGAAACATGCATTTCTTCCCAGTGGTCATCACTAGTCATGGCAAAGCTTAGTATATTCTTAGTTGGACAGCATTTTCACAAAATCCTGCCTTGGTTTGTGGTGAGCATGGCTTAAATGACCGAATCTCCAACTCCAACTTACTGTTGGACAGCTTCTGGCTGTTTCAGCCTCAGTAGGTAATAGCTCGTTCTCGCTTCACCTATTTTCCTTAATTATGCCCCCATTTCCTTTAGGTGCTGGAATATGTAAGGCACTCCTGTCTCTCTCAAGCTGTGGTCTCACTGATAAACATTTGTCAGTTGGATCATATGACATGTAAGAATTATATTGTGGCTGCATGTATTTCTCAAAAACAATTCTTTACAGTTATCGTCCACCGAATTTGGTGTCGATCTCCACAATCAATGTATGCTCCATACTCTGGAAAGTCATGGATTCTGACTGTGTGACATAGATGTCTATTTACACATTCTATTCCATTATCATCACAGCAGATATCATCATAGCTGTCATGATGTGCTATTACCTGCATAAGAGCAGAGCGGCTATGCATTTCTCTTCGTATGTTGATTCCATATGAATACCTTCGAATTGTTATTTATTTACTTGCACCAGCATGGCCGACCTACTTCTCATTCTAATGCAACTTGTTCTAGTCTCGGGTGTAGCTACAAGGTGAAGATATAGGCTTTAGCCTTGTCCCCATTATTCCTAATGACAATGACAGTGCATGCTCATTGTTCTCTATTGTGACAGTCCATTGATTCTCAACTTGATCCCATCCCATTTTCATCGCAATTGATTTCATACTACCCAAGCATCAGTACTACTCTTTATCCAACGAAGCTGGCTAACTAATATCCACAGTCTATATAAACTCGCTGCTTGCCATGTGCATCAACTGCTTCCATTTTCCTGCCAGACATTTACCTTTGCTAGGTTTAATTACCAACATCAGCATCCATCTGGCAAGTCAACCACCAAGCCTATACAAAGTTCGATTCCTAGAGTCATCCAGTTTTCATCTAACAGCTCAGAAGGTCTTACAAAAGATGCCGTATGTTCATTAGCCTCCTTGTACTGGGTAAGTTCATCATTGACTGATTCAGAACTGTTTCCTTCAGGATATCAGTCTTAGTCCACTCTCTGAGATCCAGGACACCTATTCTTTAGACAAATTAGGATGTTCAAAAGAAGCTTCTGATTCTCAGGCCTAGTTCACCTCTGTTCCAAGTTCCAAATCCTGTTATACCTTGCCAGTCGTATAACTGGCATCCCTAGTTTATGGATCTGAACTCTTTCATGTGGAGGGGAAGCTATTTATTAAGGTTGATATCCAATTACCATTCTACTATAGACACTTTTGTATCTCTAGTGGGATAGCTTTGGAATCAATATCATTGGAAGAACACTGTAGATATGAATGTTCAAGGATGGTGAGGTCCATCTATCATTTCCATGCTCTCCAAAAGAGTGTCAAGTCTATATGCCCCTCACGAGAAGACACACCACTGTAAGAAAATTGTTGTATATGAGATTTGTAGAGGTGACGTTCATGAAGTGGCACTCACATTTCAGAACCATTAGGGATCCGCACCGTACCAGTATTTATGGTTAATATGGACGGACTTATACAGGTACCATACCCGACCCATCACCCATGTGGACTGCCCCTGGATGGTACAGAATACGGTACGGAATTGGTCCATATTAACCCATAAATGTACGGCTGTTTACGGCTGTCTATATGGGTGGAAACTATGGCACAATTTTGCACCAATGTTGGCATCATCATCCCCCTTATAGTCACAAACCCATGCGATCAACCTCCCATCAATTGCCACATTGATTGCTCTCTCTTGAGCCACCACCTTCTCACTCCTCTTGCTTGCTCCTCTCAGCTCCGTGGATCACTACAACACAGTATCTTTCCCCTTATCAACATTAACACTTGTAGTCCTCCATTCTGTTACCTCCTGATGCAATAAACTCATATTTCCAATGGTGTAGCAGATGTCTCATTCAAATATTTCTACAGTAGCTTTAGCACATCGTTTCTCCTGTTTCAACTGGCTAATCATTTTGCACAGTGGCATAAATATCCTTCTCAGCCTCGGGAGTTGGTGCCAGTGCACCGCAACTTTAGAGTCAAAATGCCCCCACAAAGCAGCGAGACATGGGGCATTCTTCTTGCTTCATCTTCTCATGCCATTGCTTTTCATGCATTCAGATGGTTCTTAGTCTTGATGATACTTCTCTTTCTTCCAGTGCTTGGTATAGTCTCCATTGTTCCCATGCTTACTCATCAGCTTTCAGTGAAGTACCTGCAACTTATGGGTTCACTAGTGGGTGCATTGGTGCTTTCCTATTTCTATCTTGTTGCCACTCTTTTTATCTATGGTGAGCTGACGTGTATATACTTGTGTCTTTTGTGATACTTACTAGAGCACCCAAAGCAAACACAGTCTTTCCCACTTTTTTTTCACTCGGCAAACTCTTTCCTGGACCTCGCTTGCATTACCGACACTCTCATGTTTCGCAAATGCATTTGGATCGGTTTCAGCGGCTCTTAAAGGCTGGGATCACCACTGTTTTTGTGACAGGCACTAGACAAAATTCTGAGTCAGATCAGGAAATGCAAGGTCAGTCTCGCTTCAATCCTACCAATGTCAAATTCTCATCCTGCAGTAGGTTTGGACTCTGCGAATGGGCCTGAGACTAAGACGGTCTTTGTTATGGGAGCATCCACTCGTACAATCTCTGTTTGTGAGTTTTCCGATTGCTCTCTCTTATGACATTATAAGCTAAAGATCATTTCAGTGGTATCAAATTTTATGACTGTGAATGAAATCCTTGACCATTTGTGCCAATGAGGTCTTGTTCCTTTATGTGATCACCTCCTCCAAACACATACCCTTCGTATGTCTGGACTTCGGCACCACATACATGGGTGCGAGACCATTGCAGACCTACAAGCAACAGTGATGACCCATTTTTATCTATGTGAACGTGTAATTGGGGGAGGTATGTGCTCATACCATCGATGCAAATGTCTAATACTGACAGAAAAAACTGTAGCCTCACCTGAGGCATGTGCCTTGGATAAGAACAGGAGGTTGAAGGATGCTTCTGAGATAGATTGGTATGAAGATGGTGATGATGCAACTCCCATGGTAGCAGCAGGACCTTCAACTGAGAGGAGTGGTACGTCACGCTGTCAATCTGGATTACTACCCCTTATGAACATGGTGTTTGTTAGGTCGTGGTCAACGAAAGAAGAATACCAAGAGGCTCAAGGCATCAATCACTGTTGAGCAGCAATCTGATGATGGCTCAGATAGAAGACGGCCAAAAAAGCGCTGTTGACCAAAGAAGGGTAAGAAGAAGGCTGTCAAAGATGGTGCTGGTAGTGGGGAGGAGTCTGGCAGTGACTATGCAGATACGTCGGGATTGGAGGAGTCTGATTTGGAGTCTGAGGTTGAGATACCAAATGATGAGGTCAGTGATCTGCGAACTGCTGTATCACCCACTAAACTTTCCTTACATTTTAGCTTGCTGATTCACTTTCATCAAAAACTCTTCCCCAAGGCTCATCACATACCAAAAAGCCACCGCAAAAGAAGCGCAAGAGTACGAATACCCCAGTGACCCATGGAGACCACGACAAGATGACTAATCCAGTTATCGGCAAGGACACTGAACCTCAAGCATCACCAACAGATGTAGGTGGATTATTTGTCTCTGTACCTTTTGTATTCATCCATATCATATGTAGAATTCACACAAAACAAACCTGATCTATCATTTCTATGAAATATGGCCTACTAATGCCCATGGCGAACCCGGTAATAAGGGAGACACTCATTACAAGTGCTGACATGGTACAATTCATCATATATTAACAATTACTGCACGAATGAAGGGCAGCCTGAACAGTGAACATTCTGCCGATCTTGATTGCTGAACACAATCTGATATATAATCTAGGACTCATCACACACCTGAAACGCCATGCACCTGCCATGTACCAGCTCTATGAGATCATGAAGAGTTGCTCCGACCCTCCAACTGAAGAGGAGATTCAAATCGCATCTGCACAGAAGGTACTGGACCCTAAGGCAGCTGCACGCTATCTTGAGAAGCTGTCCAAGGCATCTGGAGACCTTGATGCAGCATTCACATGCGAGGCAGTACAAGCTGCAGTACGTTCCCACTTTACTAGACTTTACCGCTATGCTGATGACTGTACACAGGGTGCCTGGGACCAAAAGAAATTTGAGACACTCTTGATTGAGTGGATCATTGCATGTGATCAACCGTTTGAGGAGGTCAAATGTCCGGAGTTTCGTAGACTTTTAGAATATACTCATCATCCTTCTCTGTCACTTCACATACCATCAGCAGATACCATTCAATGGAAGATCATGAAAATGAGAGATGAGCTTACAAAGAGTTTGCGAGTTTTCTTCAAGGTAAACACTGTTTCACAATTGAGTGTCCTGAGGAGACCTAATCTCTTTCCAGGAGCTCGAGTCTAAGGTCTCCATATCTCTGGATGCATGGACGTCGCCAAATGGTTATGCATTCATTGCTATTGTTGCTCATTATGTCACAAACAAAGGAAAGCTAGGTACACATCTAGTCTCTTCAAATATTGTGTCATGTTCGCTTACAAGAATATGTAGAGGAAATATTAATTGACTTTCAAGAACTGGTTGGTGAACATTCTGGAGAAAACATGGCTGAAGTCATCTGGGACACTTTGCAGAAATATGGCCTTGTTGGTCAGGTTAGTGTGCTATCTTGGTGACCAGATTTATTTACTGACGTCTCAATAGGTTATGGCATTCATGATGGATAACACTACAAATAACAACACAATGGTTATGGCGATCGAGCAAAAATGCAAGGCACAAGGTATTCCATTTTCAGCAAAGGATTCTCATCTGTGTTGCATGCCTCATACGGTCCATCTTGCGGTCTTAAAGGTATGCCTCTGTTATTCTTTATGGGTCCTATGTACTGGACTAATACACTTGTCCCAGCTTCTAGAGGGCATTGGTGCAATTTCCAAGGGAGATGGACAAAAGGCCAAAGAAAGCCGGATGGCATCCTACCAAGACTCCATTTCTGCACCACTAAATGCTGCTCATGATGAAGAAGCAGCCTTGTTTGACGAGGTTGAATCGGATTCAGATGAGGTCGATGAGTTGGATTCCTGGAACAGGCTGTCTGGGATCCAAACTGTTGTGTCAAAGGTATTTTGTTTGTTTATAGACCTGGTAGGCAGACATTCATGCAATTCAGCTTTGAAGAATTGTCTGAGCTGTGCGTTCAAGTCCTCAGCAGCAACAGGCTTGGTATCAGCAAATAGCAACCGCAACAGGATCAGTTGTTGGCTCAGTTTCTGCTGGTGCTCATATGCTGATTCTTGACATTTGGACACACTGGTCATCTACTCATCAAATGCTTCATAAGTAGAATACATCTTTGATGCCTTGCTCATGTGCTGATAGATCCTAGGTCGTGCATTCAAATATCATAATACAGTCGATCAATTTGTTGCTATCAACAAAGATTTGCATGCTCTCGAGCTTTCAAATGAAGATTGGGAGGCTATCTCTATGGTAATGAAGTGGCTAAAGACCTTCTGCTCAGCAACCACTCAAATGTCGATGACCACCAAGCCAATGCTATCCACCACTCACGCAGTTTTCTGAGGCCTTCAGGATGACATCAAGAAAATCATTGCTACTCTCCCTATGTCAACACCTCCGGAACTGAAGCAAGGCTTGCTGGATGCTCATCGCAAACTCAGCAACTATTATTATAAGTATGATGAATCTCCCTTCTACACGTGGGCTGCTTGTATGTCATCATCTTTCATGTGTATATCATGTTCTAACTGCGCTTTTGGCAGTATTGGATCCTAGGATCTTGTATACGAAGGGTCTCAAGCGGGACTACAAAAATGACCTCGACCTTGATACGTACTTTGAAAGCTTGAAGCAGCTATTACAGGATTACTTTGACTGACATTATCCTCCCATGACATCTGATCAGCTTGACACTCCTCTGTCATCCCCCGGACCATCAAGATCAAGGCAAGTTGAAGGTTCACCTCAAAAGGTGGACTTTACATCTCGCTATGATGACGATGAAGATGCTGTGGTAACAGTAGATGAGCTTGAACACGATTTCTCACTCCCAAAAGAGAATTTTCGGACCACAAATCCCATCAATTGGTGGTATATTCGTTGCCATGATTTCCCTCGACTTTCATGCCTTGCTCATGATCTATTGTCAATTCCTGGTGTGTAGTTCCCTTAAATCTATATTATAGTTGCTGATGGTTGCATCCAGGCTCTGCAGTCACTGTAGAACGTGTTTTCTCAGGGAGTAGGGACACCATCTCTCTTCGCTGATCATGCTTGAAACCTGACACAATTCGTACTTTGATGCTAGTGAAGCATAGGCTTTGCCTTGTGCAAAATGCTGTTGAAGAGCTCCTAGCTAATGATGAGGAGGAGGAAAACTTTGCGCCGTAGTTATATAGCTAAACTCGTTGAATACAATATCCAATCTTGGAAAATATATGTATGGTCATACACCCATTGATGAGCCACCAGGCTCTGTACGCTCAGAATTCGCGCATTTTACCAGATAGCTAATTCCCCAGCCACCACACAAACCTACTATTTCAATCCCAGCAATATTGCTTAATGCCACCAATTATCCTTCCCCACTTGTACCCCACATCAATTACGTGCCCCTTCCATTAATTCTGCCAGTCTTCTTTCATTAATTCTGCCAGGCACCTGATTGTCGATCTCACGGATTTAGAATCCCATCTGATTGCCTAGCACAGCCACAATTCCGTAGCACAGCCACAATTCCGCAGCTCAAATAGCAATTCCGTGGCATTAGCTCTAATGCCATGACCTTTCCTCAGTCTTTACTAAGGCTGTTATACCGCCAAGAGATTGCTGCAAGCATCTACTTCAGTACACTTGCTTCAATGTACTTTGCCACAGCAACACAGCAGCTCAAAATTCCGGAGATCGGTGGCATTCTTGCTAATCACTTCATCTATATGCGGTAAATCCATATGGGTGCTGTTACTTTCGAACCACAGTACACAGTAAAACCGTGTGGGTGCTGTTACTTTAGAACCTTGGGAACATGTGTTTGGTATCATTTCTTACCAATCTATGTACTACGGACTTACTAAGGATTCGCTTCAAGTATTCTAAATTTATTCCAGACTTGTAGTATAAAAGCTAGTATACACCATGGAAAATAGGGAGTGGCTAGACACAAGTTACTGGACACTAGCCATCATCCATGTTATCGACCACCATTATCGCTTGTACTCGCCAGGAGATAGACAATAACAACATAGTCACTCCAAGTTATACTCTCTGTCATGGCTTTTCTTCTAACGGTATTGGTGTATGCTCATATTGCACCAATACATGGAATTTGGTGTCCACAACTCGCTTTTATCTTTTAATCTGCCAGCATCGTTTCACTTTCACCAGCCAGGATCGTTTTCATCAGTTTTCACCTTCTACATCGCCATCGTTTTACCCAGCTCAGTTCAGGATCGTTACGTCCCCGTGTGGACTCAGATTAGGATCGTTATTGCTGCCAGTAGCATCTGTCATGGAATTTCAGTCAACAGCTTCAGTATAGGATCATCAGTCATGGTATTTGGTATCTTGCTGTCAGTTTTAGTATAGGATTGTCTCCATGTAGACTCAGGATTAGTATCAGTTTCATTTTGCCACCATTAACCTCAGTATAGTTTCAGTTTCAGTCCAGCCCAGTCCCAGGCCATCGTTTTGCCGTCACTAGTTCCCCCTCATATCATCGCCAGTTCATCTTATCTTCGTTTTACTGCCAGTTTCTCGTTTCTCAACTACAGTCTTCGTCTCTTGCCATCACAGTATTTGTTATCTTGCCAACAGTATTTCTCTTTGACAGCATTTTCTCTAATTCCATCAACATCGCCCATGGCTTTTACTAGTTAAATTTCCATCACTTCATTCACGGTTTGCTGGTATTCCCAGTTATACCGGATTCCATTTCTTCTCAACTATCGAGACCCTTCCTGGCTTACAGCCAACATTTTCTAGTACTCGATCGTTAAGGGTACTACTTCGCTGACTGAAAAGTTGCAGTGTATACTTGCATTCTTGAGGAATTCATCGCACGGAGGTGCACCAAAACACTCGCACAACAACAAAGCCTTTATTGCCGCTACATGCCATTTGCTGTGAACTCCTCTAGAGTTTTGGTTTTTGCCATTGCCATGGAAGTTTAGGCTCATCACCGTAATACTGGTATATACGGGGCCATACCGTACTGTACAGGCTCATCACTGCTAGAGTATGGTGACGGGTATGGGACCTCCATACCCATATGGGAACCATATTTTTTATGGTCATATCCATATATGGATACAGTGCAGATCCCTAGAACCATTCGCAAATCACCCTGTAGGAGACATATGTAAATGTAAGTCAGAATTTGTAAAGCACCGCAGGTTGCTGCTATCTGGGCTTTGGGAGCTTGGACCATCAATGGAATTTGTCCATAGTGGAGAGACAACAAGCATCGATTGATGGTCTCAGGTTGCTAATTCTTGTAAGTAGATCATCATGGGAAGTGTGGAATGATGCAAATCTTGTTTGACTGGAATGAGAAAATGGTGCAGGAGACAGTACTAGTGAAGGTCAAAATATTCAGTGCCATCTCCGACTGGGAGATGAGGGGTGTAGGAGATCGATTAGAGACTATGACTGGCCTTACATCATTGAGAAGTCACATAGATATGGCATATACATCAAGTCTCACATGGTCAATGCAATGATTCTAGATTGAGAAAGATTGTAGCTGTACATGCAGTACAGAGGTGAAGCAATCTCATCGTTGGTGGCTTGCCCACCAGCTTTACATTAGGGTAACTTTTTGAGGCACCAGTGCCTCTGGCAGATGAAGTCAATAGATGAATCAATAGCGCTTCAAGTGAAGCAGCCATCATACTTTAATGGGTCCCAGAGAACCAACTTTCCAGAATGTAGAATATTGACACCAAGTTCACAGCAGCTTTCGAACAAATTTCTTGCTTGATACAGTGTCAACATAGAGCAAAAAAAAAAAGGGAAAGAAAAGAATGGCATCAAAATAAATTTAGTCTGCAGCAGAGAGGTAAGTCAGTTTCCTTCTGACTCCTGTGTAGTAGTTCAGAACTTGGAAGTAGGAACACAACCAACATGATCAAGACGTGATCAAGGTGCTGCCAGCACAGCTTGTTCAAACATGGAAGCAATTTCATATTTCATTTTCCCTTGTTAATGAGCTATGGTCATGATCAGCCACACCATCAGTGAAGATGACAGTGTGGACCTCCAGTGCCCCAATGCTGCTGTGGTTCCCATTCAAGCTGTACTCGAGTCAGAAAACCCTACAAGGTGTGTCCATTTCCTGTTATTTGACAGTTTCCCCTCACCATTGCTCTAGCAAGAAACATTGTCATCAAGATCAAGAAATGACATGACATTTTATTACGGTTTTACCCCTATTTTCCTTATCTTATCTTATCCTTATCTCTCAGAACCCTGGACCTGCCTATCTTATCTCCCAGACCCATGATATTCTGCCGGCACACTCCTTACCCATATACCTGGTTGCCGTCACCCCAGTTCACCACTGCCACCCCCAGGTGACCTATGACCCACATGTGCCATCATGCTTCCCTTGATGGCATCATGCTTCTTAGTAGTTGGACAAGAGTCAACCGCCAGTCAAGGGTGGTCTACGGGATGCAGCCCATTCAGATGGAGTCCTGCGCAGATGCAGGTGATATGCACTCTTTACTCTCATTCATCGGGAGCACAGTGTCCTCACTCCTCATTCGTTGAAAGACGCACTTCTCGCTGCACGCGCCCTTGTAGACACTATTCTTAGTACGAGTCTAACATGTATTTAAGCTAGCCTACGCTGTGGCCATAGACCCCAGCTTCAGGCTAAGGTTATATACTCCTAACTCTTACAAGCTCCTTGCTTTCACTATAAAGTGATGCCTAACTTCTCGCAATCAACCAACACCTCTCTAACACTGAATCATCGAATGCGAGTGACAGGATAGAGATCAGCCTTGGAGTAGATTCGAGTTAGTGCTTAACATATTTTGAGATGTGTTGAACTTTATCTCACATAATGGTAGGCCCATTGCCGAATTTTACCTTTGGAATATTGCTCAGCATTGTTTTTAGGACCCATCACCTTGGACACTCGAAAAGATGGATATGCTTTATGATCTGCATATGGCATGTGTTGAATGCTTTGCTTTCCCTCGACACTGAAATTTTATTTTTGTATTACAGGCAAGATGTATCAGCCATGCCGTCTTTGAACCAAGTATCTGCTCAGTTCATCCAACATGGCAGGAAGGCAGCACCCTCAAAGAGAAGGTCACAGTCAGCATGAGGGTTTGAAGTAATGAGATTCAGTCGACCCTTAACATGTTTCTCTGATAGTTATGGTATATAGAATTGAGTAGTGATCATTCCTGCGAAACAATGATATGTATGGAGTGATCCTGAGCTGTAAAGTACAGACGGCGCTGTGTTGAATTGAACAAGATGAGGACGATATATATGAAATGAATCTGTCAGTGGAAAAAAAATAGCCAGGACTAGAATTAGATATAGCAAGTCTTTGTTAGTATGATATCATCGAGGCACAGTGGACGCACATACAGGAAATGTATATGCCCCAATTGATTTAATATTCATGGATTCTGTCTGCGACATGCAGAACAACGGCGAGGAACTGAAATGAAAAAGATGTCATGGCCTTGTCCTTCTGAATGAGATGCATTTAACTCATGACGAGAAGGCCTAGTGAGACTAGCATTTGAGGGCCATCGCATGCGCATGGCATATCCGAGTCCTATTCCAATAGTCATTCGATTTGTAATATACCATGCATTATGTTTGCTTGATTTCTGGTCGTCTATCTTCATTGGCTGTTGGTGCGACACTGAAATTATAGGCGTGTACCTTTCACATTCCCAGCAGGGATATGTTCATGAATGAAGAACTCATTGAACTATGAGTGGAACATGCTGCCCTTACCATCCCCTTCTCTGGATTTCTCTTGATGATTTAGCAGGGAAGATTGGACCTCCTCCTCCTCGAATCTCTCAACATTGGCTCAAGCTGGAACATTAACAACTTGTCAGACCTAGATGAAGCATCATGTCTAATCCGACGGGTGCCCAAGTTATGCCATGTCTGTTTCCAAGGTTCCGTGCATGAGAACTACTCTCTGCTCTTCCATGTAGCAATTGTCAGGGCCTGGCTCGGCTCGGCTTTGGAGGCTTGGGCTCGGCTTGAGGAAGCTCAGGCTTGTAAAATCATGAGCCCAAGCCCGCTTGGGCTTGGGCTCGGCTTGGGCTCAGGCTCAGGCTCAGGCTTGGGCTTCATGCACTGTATCAACAATAGGTAGCAGGTCAAGTCACAGTAGATATTGTTGAGCCTGAATAGACATTAGCTAGTATTACATGAAGGTATCATCAAGGACATCATCTCCATCAATGAAACAATCAGCATCCAAAAGCCAGTCTGACGTAGTATTACCAATACCCTTCATAGTGTCATCTTCATGGGCCTGCTCTTCTTCGAGGGACTCCTCAGTAGCCAGAGTGTGTTGCTCCCAGACGTTATCATCACTGTTGCGAAGGGTGAACTTGAGAATCTGGAGCGCCTCGACAACATCTTCCCACAAGCAGTTACAGAGCTTATTGATGGTGATACCCCCAGCTGAGAATACTCGCTCACTTGCAACAGATGATGCCATAATGGGTAGATAATCGAGGGCTATCAGCCATGGAAATCACTGCCTGTGCCGTCATTTAGTTTGGCTATCAAATCATTCAGCATCAATGAGAGAGAAGAAAGGGCATGTACATGTATGTAGTCCCAGCACCATTAAACAGCCGTGTACTGGGTACCCTATAAATGACAGTGAATAGTAGAGTATGGATCTCTGCCAATGGAAACCAAAGACTTGCAGAACGTGAGTGAGACAAACCATAGCAGAAAGTAGCCAACTCACCTCAGATCACTTTTTCTCGCTGCCAATCAAAGGAAACCTCACCAGCTGGGACAGAAGAGTTCTAGCCCCCACACTGACTAGTGGAGACTGGATGAATAGAGGTGCACATTTATCTAACTAGAGAAAACTGAGCAGACACTGAGATAATGAAACCCACACGCATGCACCATGGCTCATTTACTGGTCACTCACACCACTATTCTTGCAGTTGTCATGCCTTTGAATGATGTAACAAGCCTGGTATTGCTCCTGCATTTGTCGTGTCCATCACAACAGGTAGTGGAGATCGTCAACACATCACATTGACCTGGAGAGCTTGAGCAAAGGGAGAGGTGACAATTTTTTTACTCACCCTGGATCACTCAATCATGAGCATCCCCTCCTCCAATGAACCCCGAATCTCCGATTCACATTTGAACAGTATCAGTACCGTGTTCGTCATCATTAGGGAAGACTGAAGAAGTAATGATTAGCACAAAGAAATCAGGACCTCATTCATTGGCTTACCCTGGTTAGCATTCAACCTGATAGAACAAATGTAGTGGAAGAAGACTGAAGGGATGTGCTGGAAGGAGAGAGAACCCAAAGGAAAAGTCGGCACAAGGGAGAGGGGGAAATGCATAAAGATATGTAGTGTAGAGACAGTAAGCAACAGCAGTAGATGTACATGATTTATTGATGGAAGAAAAGGGTGAGAATATGAGAAGCATCAGGGAAAAGAATGAAGTCGGCAGCAGTAATGTAGAATAAAGAACAGAGCAAAAGGTAAGGGGCATAAAACATGGTGAAGGAACAGCAAAAGCCATGATGGACAATGTGAAAAATTCCCATGATGACCTCAGTAGTGGTGGATCAGCAAAGTCCATGTTGGCTGATGCAAAATTCCCATGGGGGTTTCCCATCTACATAATGACCAATATCCTATATTCATAGGACTTGGAATTTTCCAATTGCCAGGGGGTGGTCTTCATCCATTGTCAGAGGCTTTTCATGAAGCTACCCAATGCATTCAATATGGTGGTTCTCTGTAGATTGCAAAATCATGCTTGCCTTTCCTCCGAGATCGACATGGGGATAATACCTGTCGACTAGATGATGACAGTGAACTCGGTGAGATTGTATCTCTGGATCGATGAAGTTCATCTGAGGAGTGAGGATGGACCGCTTTTGAGGACCATACTGAGCATATGGATGGTAGCGGACATGTTGTATGGTTTTGTGCCTTGGTGCTTTGAGAGTGCATTTATCATTAGGAGGTGTAGGATAAGTCCTAGTTGTGATGATAGGACCACTGCGGAAAGTAGAAATTCAGGGGGAGAAATACAGAACATGTGTAAAGAGTTCACAATGTAAATCCAGGAGATGAGATTTAAACCCCCAATGAAATTTAAGCAATGTTGTAGGTGTTTCACATACTCATTCAGGGCATTATTTTATCAATCACTTTCTCTGAAAAGAATGGGATAAAGTTGTAAGAGCACTGCATGGACTGTGTAATTAAACATCTGCTACAAGGCAGGTATACTTCAATCCTTTGTAGTTCGAAAGAAGGGGGAACAGAGTCTAGAGATGATGGCATGACATCTTCCTTTCATAATTATCTGCTACAGTCTCCAGACAAATCCTTGATAGAGGAATTTTAGAAGATTGGAAGATATTAGAAGGAAATATCCTTACAACAGCTTGGCTCTCACACCCATATCCTCCATTCCTCCAAATAGGGCCCAATTCTTGAATTTACAAGAATGATATTAGAAAGTTGGGTCCCATTGGGTGCACACATTTATTTTGTTCTCTTTCAACCATGTTTCATTGATAATTCTGCTGACAGCTTGGAGCTTACTTCTGGTCGATTCTGGATACTCATGGATGACTTGAAAGCATGTGGGAACTGAGAGATATGCTGTATTCAGGTTGTTCTGCAATATCAGAATATTATATTCATCTTCATTAAAGAGAATGTGTCATGCACTGCAGTGATCTTGGGCCACATATGCTCAGGAAAAGAGACCAAGAAAAAACCTAGCTGAGAGTAGAGGAAAAGGGGAGATAAGTGAGCAAACATAAATATGAACTAGGAAGATAAGCCCACTGACATGTAACGATGGCATGAACAATGTCAATGAACAAATCTTATAATCCCTCTTCTGGGCATAAAAAAAACTCAGATTGGAAGAATGCACAGGATCCTGCACTTATTGTGAGAGTCAGAATATTAAGTATATCAGTCATCCAATGAAGATTTTTGCAGGAGCAATTCCTTGAAAGATTGTGCGACAAGAGAAGGGTGGAAGAATTGGAAATTGACATGTGCACCTCATGTGGGGAATTTGATTGGTGTTATTTGGTAATTAGAGTCTTTCCTTACTTCCCTCACTTAGCGTGGATGCATGATCCTTTTCTTCCTCAGATGATAGCTCCAAGTTGGCTCGAAGGTTATCTGACCGATATGAAAGCAAACCAGTGATGTGCATTACATTGGTATGCTTCTGGTGACATCATAACTGATATTATTTCTAGATTACCATGCCCAACATCTTCTGGCATTTATTCAAGGCAAGCCTAAAACATGGTAAATCCTTCCCCCAAATGATCAACATCAACAGCATCTTGTCACAGAGCTATATATCGACATTCCCTTTGGCATTCGCTGGCCCTCATAGTTGCATATTCTCAGGCTGAAGAATCTTCTGGTTTGTAGGTGGTATAGGGAAGGAAGGGTGGATAGGGCAGATAGTGATGAGGTTTATGTGCAGGTTGATTAGGTGGGCTTGATGGATGGCAGTGAAGAAAAACGATGACTACCATTTGGTGTGGTAATGCATCCTTCCATGGTTGTCTAGTATGAGCATCCAGTTGCTACACCATGTAAGACTCTCCTACTACCCCAGAAATGTTTACTGACAGTAAGATCCCAGACGTGTAAACAGTTTAATGTGCTCATAATGTTCCACATCGATTCGCATGGACAAACCTTCTAACTCGACATTCTCTCCAATGACCACCTGTATTCCATCGATGATGCCGATCTTGAGCACTGTACGTGGCACAGCACCTCTCGTTGGCTCACACAAGACTCCCCTCACACCCACTACCCTCTCCCACCCACACAGTGTCACCTGTATCCAGAATTAAATTCCTCCTAAGCCACTGGCTCATAACTATATCCAAGAGATTATGGCTGGTCTTCTCCATTTAGCTTATTGCACACAGGCACAGATCCTTGGATGCACGTTATTTCACTGGAGTGAATCTCGACATGGAACATAAATCTGAAGTGAGTATCTTAGATGGGTAAATGCTCATCCATCTGGTGAATGATGGCTAATGCATGTAGGCTACAGAGGATCACACTCCTGCATTCAGATGCTAATGGGAACCTTACACCTGACATGAAATCCACTCTATCAGCATCAGCCTGTGCCCAGTCAACATGACAGGCAATGCCCTAGCTCTAAGTGGCAACTTCTCCAAAATGCTGCCCTACAACTGGAAGACCAGCAAATGCACCTACCTTGATGACTTAGGTGACATGGAAGTACCTATCCTCCAGTTCTTCTAATTATGCTTATTCATTTCTACATACAGTGCGACCACTACATCCAAATCATCCTCAAACCACCCACAATCCTCATCATCTGTGCCCACGTCATCTCCCTCTACAGCACCCAGCCCTCCCTCACTACCAACATGCACACCCACTCCTTCAGCTGGGTCCAATGGCACCAGTGCAACAACCACCTCCATCCTCATCACCATACTTTCCCTCTACTTCTTCTCCTCCTTCACCCCACCACTCACCTCCCCACACAGGCCCTCTGATGCCTGGACCATCCCCATGGTTGTGTGATGGTCAAAAATGCAACTGTCTTCACCAGCCCACCGCCCAAGGTGGTCCTTGAACTCATTGAACCATCGGACTATGATGAAGACTGGTTTGGGATGATTGCCATTGTTCAGTTATAGGGGAATGTATGCTTTTTTTCTGTTTGGAGGATGTTCAACTGCCAGCATCTTTGGAGTAGGGACAAGCCTTACTGGCACCGTTCCCAGTGAATGGTTGTTGGATCAAGTATGGTATGGTGTTCGGCCACCAATGGCCTTTGATGATGTCCGATTATTCAACCAAATTGCATGCTTCAGTGCCTCACCCCACAAGTTATTTGGCAGTCCCATGGCATGGAGCATGGCTCGGACCTTTTTGAGGAGTGTGCAATTGAGTCTCTCGGCGACTCCATTGTGTTCAGGTGTGTCATGGACTGTGAAGTGATGCTGGATTCCTTTCTCAGCTAGGTAGTCATTGAAGTCATGACTCTTGTACTCCCCTCCTCCATCTGAATGCAATATTTTTATCTTGATGCCATATACCTTGTCCCATCTCGCCTCAAGATCCTTAAATGGCTGCAACATCTCATCTTTTGAATGGAGTAGCACAACACATTGCCTGTGAATGTGATGTAGTACTTCTTGTGCTGGGGTGGCTCAACAGTTGCAGGACCCCACACATCGCTGTGAATTTGGTCACCCACTCCCCCTGACACATTGTTCTCTCTAGACTTAGATACTGCTTTCTGTGTCATTCTACCATGTAGACATGATGGGCATTGATCCTTCAAGGTAGGGCTTCCTTCATCAAGTTCTAGACCATCAACTAATTGATTCTTGACAAGCTTCTTTGCCGCATTGACTGGAAGATGACCCATCAGACAATGCAATTCATCTGGTGTCACAATATGTGGTCCATCATCAATGTGATAGGCTTCTGGATGGGGAACCAGTACATGGAGTCTGTATAGCTCATTGACGTGAGGTATTGATCCAATTTTGTGATGCTTCTTGTCAAAGATGTGGCACTCCTCATCCTTGAAATCAAGGGAATAGCCTATTTGGGTGATGTGACCAACAGAAAGGAGTGTAACTCTGAGATTAGGTGCATGGAGTACATCCTTAATAAGGACCTTCGTCATCTGATTCTTCCCATTAGGAATCATGATATGCATGTCACCCTTCCCGAGTGCTTCAAATTTCTTCTTGTCTGCTGCCATTATCCCTCGAGGTTTGATAGCTGTATAATTCATCAACCGATGATGTGATGGTGTTATATGCTGTGTAGTGCTGGAGTTCAACTTCATGCTCATGCTCTGTGTCAGCAACAGCTGCTGCAAGGTTCCCAGAGGTAAGTGAGGTTATTTCTCCAATGAGCTCTGGTGTACTGATGTCTAGTTCATCAGCTTCATCATCACTGTCCTCATCTTTGCTACCACTGACATCCTGGAGTGGTGGCAGATCTGAGAAGTCTTCTTCCTCCACAAACCATGCAGCATCAAACTCCTTGTCTGCCTTTGCCAAGTTTGCTTGTCCATGGCCCTTCCTCAGGCCTTGGCCTTCTTTTCCTCCTCCCTTTGCCCAACAATCTCTTGCCATATGTCCCTTCCGGTGGCAGTTATAGCACTTCACCAATTTCCTTGACTTCTTTCCGCTGTTCCCACTGTAGAATGCAGCTTCCTTCTCACCTTTCCCTGCTGACCTGACCTTCCGTCAGTCTGCTTCATTGTTGATGCCCTGTAGCACCATGTCAGGATTGAGAGCCTTGCCAAGGAGTGTCGATGCCCCTGTAAGCGCAGAGAGATATGTTTCGAATGAGGTGGGGAGTGATCCAAGGACTATTGTGACGAAGTTATCATCCCCTGGGTCTGCTCCCATCGCGATGAGGTCCTCATGTATGGACTGTAGCTTCATGAGGTGAGTCTTCACATCACCTCCTTCTGTGCATCGCTCATCCTGGAGCTTCCGGTGCAGGCCAACCATGACCATCTTCGATTTCTTCTCATACTCCAACTTTACCTTCTCCCACATCGTTTTCACTGTCATCTCACCCTTCACCTTCAAGAATAATGAATCCAAAATGACTGAGGCGATTCCCTGCTTGATTATGGCCTGCTCAGACTTCCAAATCTGGCACCTGTTTGCAGACTCATTCATTGCCTTTGTCTCATCTGCTGTGGGATTCTTGGGATCTACCACAGCTGGTGCAGTCAGTTCTGTCACAGTCATAACATCCTTGAAATGGTTGCTCAGACCTGCAGCATCGACAGCAAAAAGGAAGTGGTCACGAAAGAAGATCCAGTTCATGCCATCAGCCTTGCATGTGAGGAGCTTGGCAAAGTACTCACTGAGTTTCACAGTGGATGATAAAGTGTTGGTGGACATGATTGATTGATAGCGAGTCTATGCAAGATGAGTATGTTATCGTTGAGATTCAGTTATGGCCAGGGCCCATAACCTATTAGCAGCAATAGAGTGAGTGGAAGGATAATCTATCTATAAAGCAGTATGACTACAAGGCTTTTATACCTGTACAATTATTCTAGTATATTCTATAAGTGTCCTAAAATTATAGCTAAGTGAATCAGGTAGAAACTTTGAGTATTGATGCAACTTTGCATGTGTGGGTAAGGTCCGTTGACTGGTAGAAGGTTAGCACGTCAGCTTGTTCTGCTAACAAGCAGCCCTCAAGGAACATTTCCAGCCCCCCAAAACCTTTGCATTTGAAAACTTTGTAGCATATTTATCATAACATTCTAGTAAAATTGACACCACTTCTTTCTAACAGCTTTTTGCTGAAAGAGATGGTACCAGATCTTGTATGACTTGAATGAATTGCATTTTTACTTGATTATTATCACTATTGCTTCTAATCTTCCTGATGCAACAAGTTCTTTACAGGACTTACTTGGCAGACTGAAGCCAGGGTCAGAAGTCTGTTATGGAGGACCTTATACAAGCAAAGCACATCTGGCTATGTCATGTCCTAACTGCTTAATGATCCAATGCTCAAAAGATCCCTTTGTTAATACAATGAGGCTTGCAGCCTTGTGTAGCATAAACTAGTTGTTCATAATGCTCTCCTTGAGCTCATTCAGGCAGGGCCTGCTTCATCTCCATCTCACCTGGTGGTGCTATCCACATGCCAGTGTTCTGCCATACTGACTGGAATGTTTGCAGCCTTATGTACAACAACCCAGGTGTTCGTAATCATTCCTCAGACTTGATTCTTTTCATGTTGTCTTAACCATGACATGCTGTCTCTCACTGTATCTACAGAAATATTTCTCCTATCAATGATGCACCATTCATATCCTCACATTCATCAAGTAAACAGACCATGATCAGAGTTCACCATGGCAGCAGTGAGTCTGTTCGAGAGGAGAGGACAAATGGGCCTATGTTTCTCAGTCAGAAGTTCTAACTCAGGCACTTGGCCCCAATGATCTTTGCGTAAAATGAGATGGTTACCAGCTTGGGTATTGAGTGCAAAAGGATGCTGTGAGAATGCTCAACTTTAATTATCACCCAAACCACATCATCCATGCAACATTGTGCAATTTCCTCTGTTGTGTGTAGTTGGCATTCACATTGTTTTACCTTCCTCTTACCGGTGCAGACACTTCCATGCCCTTTCCTTAGGATTTGGTGGGAAATGTGTGAATCCGCTTTAGGTTCCATTACTCCTTCAGTGGTTCGCTATGCTGCACAACCTTTTTGGGCAGCTACAGGTGGGCTTCAATGCACTAACAACACAGATGGATTCAGAGTTTTAAGCATTCCATATGTGTGAGTATAAGTACGTGTGAAGCCAAGAACTTGCATTTGACAGTGAAACTTTATCAACTCGGAGAGGAGGGAGATTTACAATGGATGACAACTGAGACCTTCACACTTATTGAGGAGTTTTCCTGTATTCATGCTCATTCGCACCACAAGTATCCATGTCTCCAAGTATGCCAATGGAGCTGGTAGGGTACATTCAAATCAGTGCCTTCTTCTAATAGCAATGGGCTCTATGCTTTGACCAGTGATTAGTTGTCCTCGGCTAGTGTTAAGGAATTGCTTACTTCAAGCAAAGCATGCACTATCTGTTGATCTGCTATAATTACGAGAACATGATGTTAGTACATTGCTTCCAAGTCATTAGTGAGATTCCAGGGACATACCTTTTTCGAGGTGATCACTAACTCAGTGCCCAGATCTCTGGGTCATTTGTATAGCCCTTTTACTCATACTCAGGATTGAAATTATTGGGTTTTAAAAGTATTCAAGGCAGGGTGGCATGCAGGTTTAGGACACTCAGCTTTGAGTCACTGCCTCATTGTAGAAGTGACGAGCAGTCTGTCAGACGTGAGTTTGTCATGTTTGTTTAATGAACAAAATTCTCAGTCATGTTATACATATGGTACCTGATGATACTCATCAAGCACACTAATGGGGGTCCCATGGGGCAAGAAGAATTTAATGTTGTCACATGTCCCAAATACTCCATTCTCATGATGGGTTAAGGTAGGGTGTACCCTATGTATAACATGACTGAGAATTTTGTTCATTAAACAAATGTGACAAACTCACGTCTGACAGACTGCTCATCACTTCTACAATGAGGCAGTGACTCAAAGCTGAGTGCCCTAAACCTGCATGCCACCCTGCCTTGAATACTTTTAAAGCCCAATAATTTCAATCCTGAGTATGAGTAAAAGGGCTATACAAATGACCCAGAGATCTGGGCACTGAGTTAGTGATCACCTCGAAAAAGGTATGTTCCAAGTTCTGTGTATACAGGATGTGGTCTATGCAACCTGAGCTTTTCTGAGTGGCTGTGCTTTTTGATTACTCTCTGAGAATTCACCGAGATTCCCCTTTCATCTTTCACATGCTGTAAGTTTGTCTTCGTGCTTACAGTTATTTACCGGTCATTGCAACACCATGGTTCAATGAAACACTTAGCCTCTTGCTCTCCCTCCCTTCATCCTTCATCATCAACTTGTATTACATTGCTGATGTGTATTGTATCTTCATGTTCTGCAGTGATTCTTCATATGTGACATGAATAATATTCCCGAGAAATTGAGGCTTCTGTTCTAAAAATATCTATTTTCTCATGAACTCAAAATCTGACCTGGAAATGTGTGTCCTCCATCTGAATGTAATCACCCACAAAGGCCTCAATAATGTTAATGACCTTCTGAAGAACCTGTGTGACAGGTTTGAGACCAAGCGGCCATTATCTGAGGAGTCTAGGGCATAAATAAAAGTGCGGTTCTGCCAAGCCATCACCTTTGATGGACAGTCTGACAGTCCAATGCGTCCATTATTGCCCTGCTGCCTCTGAACTTTATTTCTCCTCTTGTTCAATTTTTTACTATGCCTGGACATGCCAAATCAAACTCGAAAAAGTGTCAGATTGCTCACAAATGCCATGACCAGCTAATGGAAAAGGCAGTCATTGCAAATGATTGCATACAAGAATGAAGCTTGTCAAACTACCTGGTGCTCCTCGGAAAGGTGCAAGAAAAATCTGCAAAGATTTTGAGGCTGTATATCAGAGAGAGACTGGAAAGGAGATCTCACTTTTCTATAGCACTCGAGCGATTCCGAGTAGCTGACTAATGAGGTTTGGGTACATGGGCCAGACTGTTTCAATGACTCAAAATAGCCTAGAATACCCATGCCACGATAATGCTGTGAAAACGGACTTGTACTCGCACCTTTGAGCATCTTTTTTTTACTGTATCTTATTGTTGTATAGTATTACACATTCTTACATTCAAACCTAGTCAAAATTTCCAACCAATTGGAACCTACAGTAAATATCCAGTTTTGCTGTTTCATTGACCGGTAAATAACTGTATGTGTTTTTCTGAATGATTGTTACTGGGCATTGATGCCCTTCTCAATGCGTCTCTTCTTTGGTCCAATCTCTCCACATTCCCTCTCTTTTCATTGTCAAATCATATGTTTTACTGTCATTCTATTTTCTCTATGATGAAACGTCTGTTTACACATGGGTTGACATTCCTAGCTATGTCTTACTAAGCACTCTGTGAAACTAATATCCCACCTTGCACTTGAGGCTGGTCCTCTGTTTGTCAGCTGCATTACCTCTCACCTTCATCTCTGCCTTGTCCATAATCGCATTCTTATGCATCACTCTGGCTCTCTCCTATTCTCTTGTCAGCATTTTTGAACTGCAGTCATAACACATATTGTGCTTACCTTGGTGAAACTCTCATTGATCATTGCCACCATCCTCAGTTTCAGCTTGAGTTTTCTTTGCAACTTCTTCATCAATACAGCGATGATAGAAAGTTGCACTTCAACTATGTCTCCTATCCTAAATATCTGTGGCTCAGTCATTATGAATCTGTGTCAATTGTGGTATGGTCAGTGCTTTCTTGCTTCCTCCATAGCCTGTCAGGATGTACTCACTTTCTCTCCCCATTCTCGTCAACCTTGCTCATGTAGAACCAAACCTTCTTGTCCTCCATATGGATGAGATTCCTCTTGATACCAGCTGCTGCGAGTATTCCCTTGGGGTCCATGCCTGGCTCAAACTCAGCCTGTTCTTGGGGGTGAGTCTTCATTGTCTCAAAATACCTATTGCTTATGTCCAGTGCAAGGTCACTGTCAGTATTGTCAGGGACCACTTCTCCCATGCTCTGTCAGCAAATTGTCATTCAAACATTAGCTGTGCCTCCATTATTGAGTCAGCAGTATCCTTGAAAGCATCTCCTCCCAACCTGATAATTTGTACGTATTGCTGTAGAAAGGCATAATTCTCTTTTCTGGTATTCAGGTAAGCCATGATTCCTCTATGCGGTGGATCCTAGACTTACATTGGTACCTCTGTTACAGGTGATAGATCCTTCTTCACCAGTATACCTTGCAGTTTGAAGACCACTTCTTCCAGTTGGTTGTCACTATCAGTCTGGACCATGTGCCAAGTCCTCTCCCTGTCCATGCTTATGACAGTTGTCTTGTTGAGCCATTTGTTCTGTTATCTGCCAGTGAGTCTTCTTCTTGGGTATATGTCGTTTTGTCCTTCTCACCTGGGGTTTGATCGCAAGATGGTGGGTCATAGTCTTCATGCTATCTATGATGTATTGCTGCAGTGCTTTACCTGGCATATTTATGTATGTCTCTCTGTCACTTTATCGAATATTAGGATGCTTACCTGCATCTTTCCTGTTGTAGTGCTCATCCATTCTCTTGTGTTTGTGCATGTCAGGGGGAGGGGGCCATCAGATTGATGTTAGTTTGTTTCTTGGCATTTAACTAGTATCATCCTGTTCTCCCCTCACCCTATGCTTAGCAATCTGCCAGACATTCAGCATACTTGTTTGCCAGTTTATCTTGTCCTGTTCTTTTACGTTTGCTCTGTTTTCAGCCCTCACTATCTGATCTGTTGTAGTTCATTTGTCCAATATTTTATAGGTTCTCGCTTTCATCCTCACTGTCTTGTCCTTGCTGATCTCTGACCCTCTTCCTTCATTTCCAGCTGTTGCTTTATCATGTCTGAATCACATGTACTACTGCTGCAATCTATGGCAATCTATCATATGATATTGCATGTCCACAGATTTATCCCCCATGGTCATATTGGAGCTTCGAATGGCTGTATCTCGATCTTGCTCCACTCTGTAAATTATGAATGGTATGATGTTTAAGTGCCTAAATTATGCTCCACATGTGCCATGGCCTGGTCAAGTTGTCCATTGATGTTGGGATTCATCATTATGTCTTCATTGCTTGCGTATCATTAACTGTACCTCTGTGCATCAGATTTTTTGCATCCGTCCTTGATTCAGTTCGTCTTAGTGTTTAAAACAGGGTATTTTAACTGTGCCAGTCACTGTTTATTCATATCATTGGTGTTAACGAGCCCCAATGGTGCACTGTGTCTCTATGCTGATCCCTTCTTCCCCTCATTGACATGATGTAACGTTCTTATTACAACTTTACCCCTATTTTTCCTTACCTTATCTTATCCTTATCCCTCGGAACCCTGGACCTACCTATCTTATCTTTTGGACTCATGATATTCCGCCGGCACACTCTTTACCCTGGTTACCTGGCTGCCGTCACCCCAGTTTACAGCTGCCACATCCTGAATGACCGATGACCCACATGCACCATCATGCTTCTCTTGATGGCATCATGCTTCTTAGTAGTTGGACAAGAGTCGACTGCTAGTCGAGGGCAGTCTATGGGATGCAGCCCATTCAGATGGAGTCCCATGCAGATGCAGGTGATATGCGCTCTTTGCTCTCATTCGTCGGGAGTACACTTCTTTTAGTGTCCTCACTCCTCATTCGTTGGAAAGTGCACTTCTCGCTGCACACGCCCTTGTAGACACTATTCTTAGTACGAGTCTAACATGTATTTAAGCTAGCCTATGCTGTGGCCATAGACCCCAGCTTCAGCTAAGGTTATATACTCCTAACTCTTACAAGCTCCTTGCTTTCGCTATAAGTGACGCCTAACTTCTTGCAATCTACCCAAACGCCTCTCTAACACTGAATCACCGAATGCGAGTGACAGGATAGAGATCAGCCTTGGTCAGACTAGAGTTAGTGCATAACACTGTTAGATACTCAAGGTACAGCTATGGTTGACTTTTCTCTTCAAGAATGGTTGTTGGCAGATTGTGAAAACAACCTTGTCAGGCAGTCTTGCTTGACTGTCAGTTGCACAAAACCTCTCAAAATTGTAACCCTGTTCATGATAGCACCTCCTATTCTGTGTATTGATATAGGAAACACCTCGCCAGATTGCATCAACAGCACTATTTCTATCACAGTTGACCGATCCCCTCATATGTATGATCTCATGGGTATAATATATTTTGGGAGTGGCCATTTCATGGCTCGATTTGTGGATAAACATGGTGTCGTGTGGTTTCAGGATGGGGCTGCTGCAGGGGGATCATTTGTGAATGAAGGTTACCTGTGTGATTATTCAAAACAGGGATTGTTGTTGAAGGGCAACAGGAGAGCAGGAATAACTGTGTATGTATGGCGAGACGACACAGCCTGGCAGTTCTAGCTGCTCTTAGTACTATATATCATCAGACTGATTTCATAGCAGGGAATTTATCACCTGAGAATGGTGATAAGTGTGTTATACTGGTAGTTTCACAAGATAGGGGACATTTTATTGAGCATTGATGCTGCTAATAAAATTTATTTATTGCCATTTTTGAAAATGATGACAGTAGCGAAAAAAAATAAAAGTTTACTTTTGGCCATGTGAGGCAATGATGTCATCAGGGCAAAGAGCATTGAGAGGCGATGTTCCAACTCTCTCTTTCTCCCTTCTTTCATCCCTCCTCTGTCAATTCTTCCCCATGTATGCAATGTCTGATACAAGCTCTCAGCACTCTACTGAACATGAAGATAATGATAATGAATACCCTAGTGAGTCCTTATATCTGCTTGAATCTAATTTACTAACCATGACCAGCATCTGCCTACAATGATGGATGCAGCATTCACTACAAGGTCAAACTCATACCAAAATTTCCTCCTCTGAGGGCTGGCAAAAAGCGATGGTCAAATGCAGTATGCAAGCCTGTCAACGCAACTTTCTATGCCCACGAACTCTCAGCCTTGGGTGAAATCCTTGGCTATGCTATCCAGTCTGTGAAGCACAATGAAAGGACTCTTGATTTCAAGGTTGTTGCTGGTGAATTACATGCAAAGAACTTTATGGCTATGTGGACAGTGCCCTGCTCAGCAGACAAGGATATGCCTCTCAATTCCATTGACGCCTTTGAAGATATGGTCAAGCAGGCAGAAAAGAAGGTGAAACCAGAAGTTGCCTTGGAATTGGTTGAAGATGTATGTTACTTCATTCTTGTAGCACATATATTCACTTTCTACTACTATAGAATGGTGAGGATGATGATGAAGACAGTTCTGACAATGAGGAAGAAACTAGCAGATCAAAGAAGAAGAAGACAGGCAAATCTGTGAGTACATATTGTTCTACTGTATTCCTCGCCTCACCAGGACTTTATTAGAGGCCTGAACACACAGCACATGAGCTTGAGATTGAGGACAAAATTGTGAACTTGCAGATGGCACACCTGTGTCATGATGTTGAGTGCTGTAACTATGGGAAGCTTTGCTGGCCAGACACAATAAGCGGGAAGCATATCTTTCTCACTGCTACACACCTTGATACTTGGGCTGCTACTATAGTGAGTCCTTGCCCCGATTCTTGCAATGATGCTTTCATATTGTACAGGTCGAAAAGGTTTCTCAAGTTGATATTGACCATGTGCCAGACACCAGAATGTTCCAGCTTGGCTGTACTGCTGTGGATGATACCCTTCAGCATTGCAAGGTGATATCCACAATGCAGAAAATCAGTGGAAGCATTCAGTAAACCATTAGTTATCATTATGTACATGCTTCAGTCAACATAATAACCTGAATGTATAAAGAATTCTCATGCCATGTCACTGGTAATGATGTCGCAAGCTTGATACAGTTTGAAGTACTGCACTCTTGACTGGTAGAAGCTGATGTCTTGAGGATGGAGATGTGACTTAATTACTGACCATGCCTGCTCAATGGGATTGTATTCAGGGGAGTAGGGTGGAAGGAACTCAATCCTGCAGCCTGATAGCACAGTTAACATCATGGCAACAGTCTAATGAACAGATATCTCACCATATGCCCTAACCAAATTTTCAATCTCTTCAGAATGATGAATATGAGCATTATCAAGAATTAGGACACTTCGAGGACCAGGATAGGGAGTCATGAGTGGAAGCTAATCATGCAAGGATAAGCTGAGATAGTAAACATGCAAAAAGCAAGACAAACCATGCTTTCACAGAGATATGAGATGAACTTCTTATGGTCAAAAGAGCCTTCTACCACCTTCGTAGCAATAATACCATCATTTAGCGTCAATGCCCCACAAATACTGAAGCACTTGTTGCGAACAAATGGCTGAGTGACAGGTGCATGCTTTCCCTGGGGGGCCCTGGCTCTATTATGACTTTACCCCTATTTTCCTTATCTTATCTTATCCTTATCACTCAGAACCCTGGACCTACCTATCTTATCTCTCAGACCCATGATATTCTGCTGGCACACTCTTTACCCAGTTACCTGGCTGCCGTCACCCTAGTTTACAGCTGCCGCATCCCGGATGACCAATGACCCACATGCACCATCATGCTTTCCTTGATGGCATCATGCTTCTTAGTAGTTGGACAAGAGTCAACCGCTAGTTGAGGGCAGTCTATGGGATGCAGCCCATTCAGATGGAGTCCCGTGCAGATGCAGGTGATATGCGCTCTTTACTCTCATTCATCAGGAGCATACTTCTTTCAGTGCCCTCACTCCTCATTCGTTGAAAGACGCACTTCTAGCTGCACGTGCCCTTGTAGATACTATTCTTAGTACGAGTCTAACATGTATTTAAGCTAGCCTACACTGTGGCTTCAAACCCCAGCTTCGGCTAAGGTTATATACTCCTAACTCTTACAAGCTCCTTGCTTTCGCTAATAAGTGACGCCTAACCTCTCACAATCTATCAACCCCTCTCTAACACTGAATCACTGAATGCGAGTGACAGGATAGAGATCAGCCTTGGTTCAGATTAGAGTTAGTGCTTAACAGGCTCGCATCTGAGAATATGTGTGGTCATCCTTCAATACCTCATCCATTGCCACAAGATATGAAGCTGGGTACTTGGCAATGCATCGTATGAAGCTAGCACATTTGTAGGAACACTTTTCCTTCACCATCTTTGTGATTTTTTTGACACTATAGCAAGCATCTTCAAATGCGTGGTTGATGGTAGTAAGACAGACAGTGATGTTGTGATAGTGTTGAAGACGTTCTTGATATTCATCAAGGAACTTCGAAGGATTGTGCCAGGCTAGAGAGAGAAGGTATGCTATATTTGCAGCAAGAAGCTTTCGAGGATGCCCATGACTGAGAGCTTGTTCCTTTGTGACATCTCCAGTGAGTCGGAAACAATGCTGGGTGCGATAGAGTGTTGATAATAAGAACCTTGTCATGTGTAGGATTTCCTCTTGCTCTCATGTGGAGAGCAGTGATATGCCTACAGGGCATACACACTTGAAAAAGGCATGTAAAATTCTATTTTACAACATTACAAGTTGTATCTCTACCTATACTAGTAAGAAAAGACAAGAAATTGGGAAGTAACCAGTGTAGTAAACCATTGGGACTTAGCCATACAATATCTACACCTCAGGTGACGAGCCAGTGACCTGATGACTCAGCCCAAGTGACTGAAGGTCCAGGTGGGTCGACGCACATGGTACCAGCTGACCCAGCATCCTGGCACTGATGGCCGCCTGATGGCATCAGTCCGAAAGTAAGAATAACAAAACAAAGAACGATCACGTATGGCTTTACTTACCTGGCAGCTTCCCTAGTCTCTGAGGCAGACGGTTGGCTCACCAGGTAGATGAGAAACAAGAACCATAACACCAGGGGCTCTGCCCCGGTACAGGTAAAACTTAGTATCATGAGCCAGGACACCAGGTTGCGGCACAAGATCATGATCGGGTTCACCTGGGAGCTGGGATATGAGCTCATATCCACCTGGCTCAGTCAGCAAGTGCAGTAATAGTACCTGGAAAGATTTGAAATATAGATAGGGTAGAATAGTATAAATACTGTCCATGTTACTAGCGGGAAGTCAGGTTTCTGGCCCCCGGAACACTACCAAGCAAATTAGTATGGGTTTTGGTTAAGAGCTTCGAGTCCTAGACTCACCTGGAATAGTATTTAGTGACCTGGTCACGTTTTGTGTGCAAGAACAGTTCAGAAAGCAGTCAGTTCAGAAAGATACAGACAGAAAGTCAGAAGTACAGTCCAGAATCCATGTTAGTACCAGTAAAACTGCAACCAGGCAGACAGTATCAGTTCAGACACTGCACCAGGCAGTTAGTATGCATTCAGGAAACTGCACCAGGCAGCCCGTTGGTATCAGATTGTGTTTGGTAACACAGAAAGTTCAGATTTGTGTCGCTTCAAAATATTGCAATCAAACAAATAATATTCATTGTCAACCCGGAACTAGTATCCACAGTACAAGTATCAACCCAGTGTAACTTACCCCTTTGAACTGCAATTATTGAGTGTGTTAGGGTGTGTGTGTGTGTAGCACTTCACATTCCTTAACATAGTTAGTACCTTTCAGCAGTTCACTTGAGATCATCACTGATATGGTGGTAGACCATGCAGTACAAGGCTAGGGGGCTGAGTATAATGATGATGGTCAGAGGGCAAAGTGCATGCTGGCATGCATGACATCATTGCCTCACATGGCCAAAACTAAACATTTATTTTTTTCACTACTGTCATCATTTTCAAAAATGGCAATAATGACTTGACAGAAATAAATAAATAAAAAAACCCAGAGGACTCAGTCTTGCCACGCTTGCATTGGCCCCCATCTTCATCCCTGGAATCTCACTAATGACTCAGAAGCAATGTACCAACATCATGTTCTCATAATTATAGCAGATCAACAGATAGCACATGCTTTGCTTGAAGTAAGCAATTCCTTAACACTAGCCGAGGACAACTAATCACCAGTCAAAGCATAGAGCCCATTGCTATTAGGAAGAAGGCACTGATTTGAAGTACAATTATGATCCTCATAATCGTTGTCATAATCATTTTGATAATCGTCCCATAATCTTCTCATCCCTCCTCATATTCTGAACTTTAATATATAAGTTTGATATATAAGGCCATGATTGCTACCAATGTTCACAACCAACCATCTCTTCACGAAACCATACGTTCCAAATGATGTCCTATCAATACCAGTCTTTCGGAGCCCCACAGGAAAATAACAATAATATAATGGAGCAGTATGTTCAAATTTCCAACCATTTCAAAGGCGTTGTCATTGATTTGGTGAGCAGTGGGGGGAATCTGCCTCTTGATCTAAATCTTGGCCATGAGGCAATTGCTTCAGGCATGCAGTATCTGTATCCCATGCATCTCATGCATTCAATGCCTAGGTGAGTGATTGTAATGGTCTCAAAGGTGTCGCTGTTGATTTGATGAGCAGTGTGGGGAATCCGCCTCTTGATCCAAATCTTGGCCATGGCATGAATGGTTCAGGCATGCAATATCTAATGCATTTGAGGCATTCAATTCCTAGGTGCATGGTCATAACAGTCTCAAAGGCGCTGTCTCATCCTTTTTCAGTGAGATGGTCCCCAATGGGCAAACCTTACTGCACTCCTCGATCATTCCAAAGGCATCATCATTGATCAGACCTAGTATGCCACCTACCATTGTTTTGCTGAAGCATCGTTTACTTTGTTGCTATGAGTGTGAGAACTACTTCTATGCTTTCCATGTGGACAAGCACATTCATGAACACCACCATTCAGACCTTGTTCATGACAGCAAGAAGACTGGATGCCCTTGTTGTCTCAAAAATGTTACCAATTTTCCTAGGCATTTCCTGACACACTACCCCACCATTTGCATGGCTGAGTGTTCATGGTGCAGCTTTGCATCGAACCGGTGATACGCTAGCCACGTGTTCACACCTTGATTTTGCGATTTTGTAATAATACTAGTGCATATCTATCCCTGACTAGTCATAACTAGAGGACTATAGCGGAGGCTTCGAGCTGATAGTCAAGCCAGGAAGCTACTAGTTGAGCCAGGACTTAGGCATGATACCACTAGTGGGTCAAGCCTATAAGCCGGCATGACTAGTACCTCGAATACTAGTACAAGTCATTGAATAATGGTCACTAGTAGACGAGGGTAGCTATGAGAGCATCCAACAAGAAGCAGAATACACAGATCTTGTGAAAGTACAGTCACTAGTGGAACAATCCGAGCAGGAATGCCTAAGATGGTTTGACTAGTTGCGTGGCAGTCTCTAACGGGACTTAGAAATGAATTAGTGAAAGAAGCCAGCAGCCCAGATTTGACTAGGGTGATTGAGATCTATTCCGGTCGGCACTAGTATAGCCGGGTTCCGTCTTCGATCACGATCGAACAGCTACTACAGGCACGAACGCTGGAATCGGAGCTTATCCGTGACACTAGTGGAGCATTGTTGGGCTGAGGGTGCGGAAGAGGACCACTTGCAGAGTTCCCGGACCCACTAGTAATCAAGAAACTACCTCTAGACCACGTATTGCGTGATCATTCACCATTTACTCGTGACTAGCCAAGAAATTCTTACCAATAATACCCTTTACCCAGTTTATTTATACTTCGATTGTACCTTACTAGTCGGTATATAAGCAGTAGAGTAGGTGCACGTGCAGGCAGGCAAGCCATCCCTGTGATTGTGACCTACTAGTCAGTAACTAGTGCCCCAATTAAAGGCTTTTGTGCTTAACCTCGACGAAGCGGCAACTAGTCGCTAAGTTACCCATAGTATTGAGTGAATAGAAGTGTTTTTAGAGTCCACTGTTGTGTCCTGCCTAGGCTCAGAGTGTTTCGAAGTTAGTTTAAGCGAGTTTCTCGAAGTTTAAAGTATTATTCTTAGGCCAAGAGTGCCACTAGTCAGCCAAGAGTGCGACTAGTCAAGTGTCTATCACTTGTAGGAAGCAGTATAGGGCCAAGAGAGCCACTAGTTCGAAGCAGTTTCAGTCAGAGCGAGTGCAGTAGCTCCAAACAAGTCACTATTACATTCAATTGTGTCTTAACAACCCCACTAGTGCGAGTAGTACCTTTGTATAGCTCACTAGTAACGAATAAATGTCTTTATAACAACTTCCCTTGATTATTGAAGTCTGTAGAGTGCTTCTATCATACTCGAAACGCCCAAATTCAATATATTTGGTGATTTGTGTAGAGTAGTAGAGGGTTTGGTGTTTGTGGTGTTCATATCCATTCACTAGCCTTTAGTCACTCGCCGTTACCGAGCACATCACTGGCTGGGTAATGTAGTATACCACGTGCGGTCCAACAGAGAAAAGGAAGTGTGTGGCAAAGAGGTGGCAGTGGCGGTGGTGTTGGTGTTGGTGGGGAGGTATGAGTCATCCGAGGATGGGCCAGTATATTCCCAGTTGTTATGGATATTGGGTATCTGCTAACTCGGTGCATGAGTCAACACATGCCCGTACTTAGCCTTTTAAGTTCTAATAGTAACTCGCTCGTACTTTCTCATATTTTCTCTTACTTTCCCTATTTTTCCTAAGAATGCTAGAATATTATGGAACAGTGTAGAATAATAATGACTCAAGCTTTTTGCTAGTACTGTACTATTTCGTTCAATTCAAACGTCACACATCACGAAGGCCCCATTCGAGTATGAAAAACTACTGTTCATCACACGTCATGGGAGGCTCGTTCAAAACTGATTTTGCACCACGTCACCAGTCCAAAACTGAAAGTTCCCCTAACTGGATAAAAACTTCATGTAAAGGTGAAAATTCTGCCAGAAATGCTTCTCCTTTTGATCTTTTCTGTAAAATGTTCCAAATTTTCATCCTAACACTGTACAATTGAAGCTGACTCCGAATTTGAGGTTCAAATTTTTTCGTCCGTCACGCATCCCCAATGCTCCATTTGAGTGTTCGAATTGGTCCAAACATGTCACGCATCACACCAAGGTTTGAATTGAACGAAATAGTACAGTATATACGTGTGATTATATCATTGTATTAAAAACTGAATCAATCAACTCACCATCTTTTGCATGAACTCTTAGCTATGCCTAGCACTTGCTTTCTCTGACAGCCAGTAATAGCTTCAAGCTTACCCTCGCCGGAATCCATCATTTTCCTGATACATTCTTTCTAATCAATCTTACCTCACTTCGATCACCACTCCTTGCCTTGGCGAGAGATGATGTCAGGACACTTCCTTTCATAATCATCCGCTGTTGTCTCCAGACGAATCCTTGATAGAAGAATTTTAGAAGATCGGAAGATATTAAATAAAATGAAATGACCGCACAACGGCTTTGGTCTCATGTGTGTATCCTCTAGTCCTTGAAATAGTGCTTACTTCTGGAATTTTCAAGAAGAATATAAGAAAAGTGGGTCGCATGGGGCACAGACACTATGTTGTTCTCTTTTGACCACGTTTCTTTGATAATTCCACTGACGGCTTGGAACTTAGTTCTCGGTTTTGGCGACTCGAAGAAATCTGGATATCGAGAAATATGGAGTATTAGGGGTTTGCTACGAATCAAAAACATCATATTCGTATTCTTTGGGGAGAACGTATAGTCCGCTGTGATGATCTTGGGCCACATACACCCGGGAAAAGAGAGCATGAACAAACCTAGTTAGGAGTATTTAAAAACTTGAGGTGAATGAGCGAACATAAACACGAACTAGGAAGATCAATCCAACGTGTAACGATAGCATGAACGAAGCATGAACAATGCCAATAAACAAACCTTATAAATCCCCGGTCGTAAAAAATCCAGATCAGAAGCATTCCCGGGATCCCACACTTATTGTGAGAGTCAGGATGTCGAGTATATCAGTCATCCAATGAAGATTTTTGCAATAGCAATTGAGAGACTGCACCGAGCTGAGAGAGCGGAAGAATTGGAAATTGGCATGTGTGCCTCACGTGGTGAATTTGATTTGGTAATTCCGGTCTTTGCTTCCTTCCCTCACTTAGCGTAGACGCGCGATCCCCTTCTTCTTCAGATGGTAGCTCCAAGTTGGCGAGATGGTGATCTGGCCAAGATGACAGCAAACCAATGATGTGAGATACATTGGTACACTTCTGGGGACTTCATAACTGATTTTATTTCTAGATAACCATGCCCAGCGCCTCAAGGCCAGCCTAGAACACGGGAAATCCTTCCCCAAGGGGATCAACATCAACCGGATCTCGTCGCAGAGCTATATATCATCGTTCTCGTTGGCATACACTGGCCCTCACACAGTGCATGTTCTCACGATGGAAAATCGTCTGGTTCGTAGGAAGGGAAGAAGGGACAGGGTCGATAGTGATGAGGTTCGTGTGCAGTTTAATTGGGCGGGCTTGATGGATAGCAGTGAAGGAACTTGATTGCGCGAGGTCGGGCTTACCACACTTCCTGGCACGCATCACTGACAGTGAGAACACAGACGCGCAAGTGGTTCCACACCCACAAGGCTCCAGACCGGTTCACATGGACAAACACTTTCAAACTCGATTTGCTCTCGAACGTTCAACGTCGTTCAATGACTACCCGTATTCCATCGATGGAGTCGATCTCGAGCACCTCGCATACGAAGACTTGCGGCTCACCTCCTGCTGACTCTCTCCCCTATCAGAAACCACCTTCACCGGTTCGCCAGTATTCTGTATCTAATTCCTCCTCAGTCACTGGCTCCTAACAGGTTCTGGTCTGGGATCTCGTGTGCGGGCACAAGTGCTCAGAGTGATCCCCCAGAGGCGTGTTGTTCACAGGGGTGAAGCTCAAAGCGAGTATCGCAACGGCGTTGGATGGGTACGTGCTCGTTCATCTGATGAATGACGACTAACCTATGCAGGTCACAGATAATCGCGCTCCTGCTTTGGAATGACACGAGAACCGTGCATGAAGACAACTCTGTCGACATCTGGCTGCGCCAAGTTAACATCATCAGCGACGTCTAGATCTAAGCTCTCAGCGACAACCCCTCCAAAACGCTGTCCAACAACTGGAAAGCCGGTGAACACGCCTACCTCAATAGCATACGCAACTTGCAGGTACGGTTTGTACAACTATTATAATCACGCTTCTTCATCTCATCGACTCACAGTACGACGACCATATCCAAGCTCATCCACAACCCACCTGTCACCCTCGTCGTCCGCGCCCGCTCTACCACTCCCTACAACACCCTCCCTCCCTCGCCGACACCAGGCATGCCCCGGAGTCGACAGCACCAGCGTGACACCCGCTTCCGTCCTCATCTGCTACGGAAAAAACAACCCTCGGTATCCGAACTAACCTCCCTGTCCCTCGATTCTCTCACCTCCCGACGCGGAGCCCTCCGATCTCAGGTCCCCCGCTGTGGTCGTGCGATGGTCAAACATGCCGCTATCACGGCCCCAGTCCTCGTTTTCGTCAAACAATTGGACGGCGTTGGATTATGACGAAGAACTCGGAAGAATCGCCCTCGGGTCGGGGTTTGGGAGGATTACAGTTGTCCAGTTGTAGTCATAATACATGTCCTTCTGATGTACTGGATGTGGCGTCCAAAACTAGGGGTTCGAATCCCTTTGGAAGGGTTAGATTTTCTTGTAATTTTTTTCTTCCTTGAAAATGAGCCTAAGCTTGATTCAGTGTACCCATCATGCCTCGTGCAAGTGATCGTATTTTCATTACTAGGTCATCTACCTTTCCAATGTATGACCATTTACGTGATTCTTACAGGTGGCTAGTTTCCGCAATGAGCATCGCTATGAAAGGAAACTGTAAACCATCATTCAGAGATAATCCTTCGTGAAGCTGTGGTTTTATCATGCTGGTTGTCTGGTTTCAAGTCCCGGTCGGAGGATCTCCAATGGAGGTAATGAGTAATTCTTTTTGTATCGTTCTTGTTTGAGCTCTTATACAACGGTGAGCACCGTAAAAAGGCTTAGGATACCACAGACGATGTCGAATTGGTCACGTCCTCTTGCTCGGAGTATCTTTCGGTTTTCGTCGTACTTTTCTTACAAGACCCATCTACCTCTCTGTCCATTTTTGATTCAGTTTACTCATCCTACCTCATGCAAGTGATTCGTATTTTCATTACCAAGCCATCTACCTTTCAACTTTCCAATCACTTGCATGTTCTTCAAAGGTGGGGTGTTTCCGCAACAAAAGAAATTGTAAACAAGAATTTAGATATTCCTTCGTGATGTTGTGGTCTTATCATGCTGGTTATCTGTGTTCGAGTCCCGGTCGATGGATGTTCCATAAAGATCTTTTTTTACATCTTGTTCGACCTCCTTATCGTATAAGAGAAACTCCAAGCAAGACTTGAGGTACTTCATCGTGACGTTGTGGTACAGTGATTTATCCTTCGTTGCTCACCTGGGTTCGAGGACCCCTTTTTGGTATCATCTCGCTCCAGCTCTTATCCAACCCTCTCATCCCCATTCTCGACTCTCCAGGCTCAGTTCAGGTACCACAGACACAGTCATGGCTCCTAGCAATTGGTCACGCCCTCATGCTCAGCATAGTCAGGTTCCTGCTTCGGATTGACTGCGGGTTAGTCGCATTGTCATTGCACGACCTATCTATCTCCCTTTCCATTTACGTCTTCGGTGAAGGCACCATGAGCATCACTAGTGTTGCCGCGACTCGGCTCAAAGTGACTTAGCCGATACAGTTATTTACCGGTCAATGAAACAGCAAAATTGGATATTTACTGTAGGTTCCAATTGGTTGGGAATTTTGACTAGGTTTGAATGTAAGAATGTGTAATACTATGCAACAATAAGATACAGTAAAAAAAAGATGCTCAAAGGTGCAGGTACAAGTCCGCTTTCACAGCATTATTGTGGCGTGGGTATTCTGGGCTATTTTGAGTCATTGAAACAGTCCGGCCCATGTACCCAAACCTCATTAGTCAGCAACTTGGAATCACTCGAGTGCTATAAGAAAGCGAGATCTCCTTTCCAGTCTCCCTCTGATATACAGCCTCGAAATCTTTGCAGATTTTTCTTGCATCTTTCTGAGGAGCACTGGGTAGTTTGGCAAGCTCATTCTTGTGTGCAATGACTGCCTTTTCCATTAGCTGGTCATGGCATTTGCAAGTAATCTGGCACTTTTTCAAGTTTGATTTAGCATGTCCAGGCATAGTAAAAAATTGAGCAAGAGGAGAAATAAAATTCGGAGGCAATGGGGCAATAATAGGCACATTGGACTGTCAGACTGTCCATCAAAGGCAATAGCTTGGCAGAACCACACTTTTATCTATGCCCTAGACTCCTCAGATAATGGGCGCCTGGTCTCAAACTTGTCATACAGGTTCTTCAGAAGGTCATTAACATTATTGAGGCCTTTGTGGGTGATTACATTCAGATGGAGGACACACATTTCTGGGTCAGATTTTGAGTTCATGAGAAAATAGATATTTTTAGAACAGAAGCCTCAATTTCTCGGAATATTATCCATGTCACATATGAAGAATTACTGTAGAACATGAAGATACAATACACATCAGCAATGTAATACAAATTAATGATGAAGGATGAAGGGAGGGAGAGCAAGAGGCTAAGTGTTTCATTGAACCATGGTGTTGCAATGACCGGTAAATAACTGTAAGCCGAGTCCATTTAAGCCGAGTTTGAGCCCACCTTAACGGAGTCGGCTCAAGCTCGGCTCAAGTCGGCTTAGCCTGAGTGTTTCCAAATATGGGCATGCATCTTCGCGCACTTCGCTACTGTCCTTTCTCTGTTCATATTTTCGCGTCTTTCAGCGTAGTATTTAATTGAAATCATAATCTGATGCTTTTGAATGTATTTGGTGTCCTCCAAGGCTAATTGTTATTGCCGACTGTTTACCTGTCCTCAACTCTAAGCTAAAAATTTCAAACAGGCTTCGAAGTAGTTACCAAGTAGAAAACCTTAAATAGTGCAGCAAATATTGCCAGGTAAGTGCTTTTTTACACTTATTGACTAGTCTTGAGACTCTCTGATGCTCGGAGGCTTGTCTAACCAAGTCATGTTTCAATGATTCAGCTATACCAATATCTGAGTAATTTAGGTCCATTCAAGGCTTCTAAGACTTCCTTTGTTGCAGTTTCCAAGTCTTTGCTACAACTACAACAAAGTCATCTCAATTGGCTGCTCTGGCTCTTTCCCCAGTCCTCTCATGTGAAGATTTTGTAGAATTTATTAATATTGCTCAATTAGATTAATGCATCAAATATAAGGCAAACTTGACCCTCACAAAGGTTGTATTCACTCACCAACCAAGTTAGGTATTGATTTCAGAAAGAATGTTGGCCATCATCGAGCAATAGCATCTTTCGCACTTCTGATTTCCTTATTTGGTTTGAGTCGGGACTCAAGCCAACTCACGGCAGCTTGAGCCGACTCGACTAATTAGAATTACCAAAGTCGGTATAAGCCTAGCCGAGTCGAGTCTAGCCGAGTCATGGCAACACTAAGCATCACTATAAAAGACAACCAAAATAATCCTTCGTGACATCGTGGGTCTTATCCTGTACTACGTACTGGGGTTCGAGTCTGGGTCGAAGAATTAGCAATCTCCTGACAATGCTGTTTTTTTTTCCCTCTTGTTCAAGGTCTTATCCGAATTGTTCCTCCGTATTTGGCACCCGAAATGGTACGGAAAACAAAATCCTGGCTTTTATCAATCGGTCATGACCTCTTGCCAGGTCCTCGTTTCGGTTTGTTGACACCCCCTAACGCAATATCTGTTAGGTTCTCTCGACGGTCAGTCATATCATCATAAGGCTAAGGCATATCTTAGTATTGAAGGTGCTTGGGAACAATGGGAAGGAATTTCACTGTATGTCCTTCCCGCTTCTTGTAATACTCTATGAAATGATGAGAGGAACCGTCAGTATACCGAATTTACTGCATATGCGGCGCTTTTGTCTGGAGTGCCACCTCCTGTTTTGCAGAAAAGTCTTGTGGTCAAGCATCGTCATACATGGAAGCTTCACGAACTCCGCCCCCTGGCTATGCTGGCTCTTTAGTGCCGACTACTTATCGATGAATTTGACCCCTTATCTCCCGCAAACCCCTTGAGGTTGTATTTTCCAATCTGAATTCATATCAAAGATGATCACGATGGACTTGAAAGTTGAAGTTCGCTGAACCTGGTGGAAAAGAGCCTCTTTATTACCAGAGAGCACATCGTCTTCAGCTAGACGAACAGAGACTCATCTGTGACATCATCATAACAAGTGAGGTACAGTCAATGAACTCTATTATTTGCTATATATTGATATTGCTCCCCATGGACATTCAGCACAGGGAGAATTCAATCTTGTCGGTAGGGTTCGCCCATGTGACGGCTTCATCAGTCTCTCTAAGGACTACGTATGTTGCCAAGTCTTGTCAAATTCGCTAACATTTATCTATACCTTATCTAGGTTGATGGCGATCAAGGAAAGTAGCTCTATCGGGGGTACCTTATCGGGATTGCTGACGGTAATTTGGCGGGAAGATGGTGTGACACTTTGAGCCCTGTCGCTGTGCCCGGCTATGAGGGTTGCTTCATGATGTCACGGCGTCTATGAGTCATTCTGTTATGGACGGTGTGCTATTACTGTTGGAATGTCAAGTGTCGCGCATCATGGTGCAGTCGACGTCGGGATCTTCAGTGGGAAGCACCGTTCATCTGTTCTCCTCCTCGGCTTTCCTTATTACATCATATTGCTTCTATTAGTGTACACGGCATGTAGATAAATAGGTAGACGAACGACGATGACCCTCGCCTGTTTGCGAGGGTTCCCTGCTATATCCGGGTGAGCGGCTGGAGAATTACCGCTTATCTCAACAATTACCCTACAAATACAGTGGTATTTTGTCCATATTGGTCATCGGGTTATACGGTGGCAGGTGGCAGAAATTTTCTTTGGACCTACAGACCAGCTTCGTTTTTCTCATCGCGATGAAATAAACAGTGTGTTTCATCCTTAACAGCGCGATTTTTCTGTGGATGAAGGAAGCTGTCAATGATGTGTAGCGCTTTGACGTGAGAGGATCAGCGCTGATGTGTGAACAGGGCGCTCTTTGAGCGCTCTCATTCCTAATTTGGTAAAAAGACTAAGCACATCGCATGTGAATCGTGATGGTAACATTCAGTTTTGATGAAGAGCGGCGGAGTCAGTAGAACAACCAGTAGCGAAAGCTGAGAAAACTCCGACTGCCATTAGGCTAAAGGACCTATCTTTTTGTCACTCCCGCTCTGTCGAAGCCCAAAATCTCCGCTCTCGCCAGTCTGTTTTCAATGTGGCAACTTGATCTCATGCACGACCAGCGACACTCGGACCTCGCTTATAGGACCTTAGTGAACTTTGACGAAGAGATAGGTTTGGATTTCTAGTCGAATTGCAGACATGTAATGTTGTCATTAAGGACTGAATACGGGAGGAACCGAAACGATCGAGCGATCGTGTCTAAAAATAGTGCGGGTTGTGTAGATCGCTCGAGTTGTAGCTCATTACAAAATGAACGTTCACAGCGCTTTGGGGCCCGAGACTACCGACATCATCTTTGAGCAGCGCGTGGAAAGAATTATTATTATTATAAGTCTCTTTCAACAAAATTAGTATACTAAAAAGGGTCTAGAATCTAGTGGTAAATGGTATTCTACATCTTCTATGTAATAGCTTAGTTGACAAGCGATGTTAGATTAAGCAGCAAAGATCAGGTTTACGCTAGAAACTAAGAGCCAAGGCAAATGATGCATCATTTACAGACCATTATGGGATAGTAGTGAGGTGTGCGATTCTATAGTGTCCGGAATTTAGATTCAAGATATCTTCAGGGTAGTTGGCTGGCGAAAATGCCTAAGGGATGTAGAGGGTGGTGTTCAGTGTGGCGAGTCTGTTATTTTATTTATAAATGAGAGGCAATCTGCGTTGATAAAATTCACTTGCCATTACAGAATCGTTGTCGGCGTTTCCAGGAGGGTTGGCAGTCATTAACCATGAAGAGATACGTGAAGGAAGCAGCGACAGCAAAGAGATCCAGAAGAACTTGAAGAGAGACAGAGGAGAACCGAACACAGACATAGAGTGTCAGAGATGTAAAAAGCCACTGTAAGATCATGAAACAGGAAGAAAGAAAAGATTGATCTGAAGTGGAGGGATAAGACGCTGTGGGTATCGGCAGCAAGGGATGTCTTACCGAATGCCAGAATCATTATTTTCTAGTGCAATTTTGACACATAGATCTTGCACCGTTAAAAAGCGACGGTTGTCCTCCTTTATCGACACAATATGCAGGACAGCGATACAATGTGCTCCACATGCAGGTGCACTTTGGACACTGATAAACATGTGTAGTGCACATAGAGGAATACTGTTCGATGGTACGGAGGTAAAGCATCGTTACTACCTAAAAAACCACTTTTTAACGAAGATTGAAATCATTGGACTCACAGTTATAAAGCGCCCCGTTCTACCTAGCTTAACGCCAAAGCAACAAAAAAGGAGAAAATGCAATAGTTAGACAGCATTGGAGACAGTGATCCATTGTGGGGGCGAAGGGAAAAATGAGGTTTGAGAACACGATGCTAGTCCGTAAATCACAAAACTGGAAGAACACATACACCCAACATATACCACTGACCTGGAAAGGCAATAAACGGTTGATGTAAAGCTCAAATAAGGACCCACGTGGACATTCAAGGAGTGGTTCATCTCAGCCCGGCGCTGTCCATCAAGTAGGATGCTGTATATATTCAGGAACATCGATAGATTTGTTTTCCTGAACATGAGACAGTAACAATATCTTCAAAGTATCGGCTATTAGTACTGGTGATGTGGCGGGAAGGTCAGGCCCATCCACGGACAGGGCAGCGGACTGCCATGCCATCCCACTGACTCTGAGAACGTGGACCCACGATGAAAGTTCCTCCCCATGCGATAGCACACGTTTGTGAGTATACAGCTCCAGCGTTTATCTTTTCCTGATGTTGTGTAGCGCTTTTGACAGGGGATGGCGACACTGATAGTGAACATGTCCTTGTTCGAGACGGGCATGTTCTGCGCGTATTCGCTCCAAAATGGCACATCGTTGGTCAACATAAGTCAGAGCATGAGCTTGAAGTCGACCACTTTGTCGGCCTAATCGTAAGTCAATGATCAAAGATGTTGCCTTGTATCTTGACGATATCACAGGAAATTCTTATCAGCATTATTGATTTCGAGCGAAGCTCAACGGCTTTTTCGGTCCGTCGAAGGAATGGACATTGTCTGGTACCAACACCGTTACGACCCACAACTTTTAAACTTTGAAGTCACTCATCCGACTTGGGAGCGCTTTATCGATGAGCGCGAAATTTAAATTACCGAGTGAATATACTTTCGAACACACGTTATTCGCTGGGGTGGTCTGATTCCAGCGACGCTACATCAATATCGCGATATTCACCATCGTTAGGGGTGCAAATATACGGCATAGCCCTTACCTAGATAGGTGCGTTCATTGCTCAACAACTCTGGACGCCACCTGGCTACTGACAGCTGTAAATTAATAGAAGTGTCCAATGATAATTGCGCTGGGAGGCGAATGTGATGTATCTTAAGAGCGTCTTTCCATACCAAAACAAGCTTATTTGAATTTCCATCCAGCTTGCTATGCTTACTCTTATACCCTGTCGACACATGTCAGAGCTTGTTCTAACAGCTTACTCGACTCGTCTTTTATTACCGACTGTTTCCCAGGGGATCTAAACAGCTTACAGCTAGACAAATCGCCTGCTGGCTTACATCCATTTCTCGGAAGGACCGCCTCCCCGTCTCCATGCTTGCTTTAGTATCCACCGTGGCGTAAACATGTCCTGGATCCAGTGTTGTAGGGCCACCACACCCAACGGGCGGTGATTCCAGCAGCGATGATGTGTCTGGCTCCTGAGAATCTGGACTCGAAGTCGAAGACTTGGCCAAACGGACGCCGAGTGCATGGTACCTATGTGTGAATTACCTTTATATGTTCAGGATTTCCACTCTTTATTCATGCCAATGACCAGTCCCAACATCTATTTTTCATCGGCTGGGTTCGTCTCTTCATCATTCAAATATTTTGTGCTTGGACTCCACTTGTCGCATAGCTTCGTGCAGGGTATTCTTTTTGGCTTATGCACCTTTTTTCTCCCTTGAACCTTATTGATGCTTCTCTGAGCGTGGCCCACATCTAGCATCGTTATGCATCAGTGGTTATTAGTCAGAATACCCATGAACATTAAAATCGGTACCGACCTTCTCGGGTTCGAAGGGCATATCCCGGGTCCCAATTCTCCTGGCGCCACTTGTAGAATGTGACCACACTGTATAATTCTCTCATATCAATATCCGTGTTTCGATGCTGAAATCTAGATCTACACTGCCGCTGAACCTAATAATCTGGTTGCTATGAATTTTGGCGGATCAAATTTTGTCGGACCAGGCGCGCGCTTGTTACAGTGTACCTGGTACGTGAATAGGAGTCCGAATTTCTGCGAGTCCCGGCGGCCGAGCTCGGCCATAATGTTAGCTGCTTCCAACTCGTCGGAAAATAGTAGTTGAGGTTGTAAGACACATCAAACAGGAGATTTCCTAACACCTCGAGGTCGTCGAAGCGGGACGCTGTTTCAGTGGGGTCAACCCTTCAAGATCACTTTCAGGACGCGTCAAGTCTGAAAAAGCACTGATACCTTTCACATCTGTGAAAGGAACAGCGTAACAGAGAATGGCTTACCGTTGCAACATTGGCGAGAGTGATGCGAATGATGCCATGATGTCCAATTTTGCGAGAGTCATGAGATGTGACTCGCGGACTCGGAATAGCAAGGACTCGGTAGCAGCGAAATAATAATTATGTATGGAGATGCATATACTCGCCGGTTCTTGAGTGGTTCATCTTCTTTGTGTGAAGGTCCTCGAAAGGAGAACAAGAGTCCATCAAGAATGAGAAACTCGATATTTCTGAAATACGGCCAAATTCCAATCCCTGCGTTCCCTTCAGGCTCATCGATTCGGGCCAATTTCATGGGAAGGAGCGTGGTTGGCGGTAAAGGTACTTGTCTGTTCCCTGAAGTACGATAGTATCTCTTCCAGTCGCTCAAAACAATCTTCAGATGTTCTCGGAAGTCTACTTTGATGATATCAATACCCGCGGACCTGCACAAACTGGACATAAAACGTAAGGTTTCCAATGAGGAGAAAGTGGCGATGAACGAAAGGGAAACCAAGGAGATGGACGGCGCCTCCAACTCGGCGGCCGGCAGAAGTGGCGAGGGATGGCCGGCAGAGGGTAAGAGTCTTCGCGTATGGTATGTTTAGTTTGGTCAAGGGGCTGGGTTTTGGTGGTACAATCAACCATGTGTAAGGAAGTGAAAGGATGAAGACCCGGAGCAGAGAGCTATTATTCCCTAATCACGTCAGTCCTATTATACGCCTTTCTGTGGCACAAGTTGTCTCGACACAGCAAAGTGAAACAAATGTGCACCAGGTCAATGCCACAATCGGAGTAGACCAGCATGATATTTTGTCACAAAAACATCAGGTGGGTGTTGTGGCTGTTCCAAAGTTTCCCTCTCAGAAAAGAGGGGTACGCTTGGGACTTTCTGCTATGGTACTCAGTTTATCATGAATGCCGAATTAGGCGCAAGAGAATAGCCTAGCACCAGAAACTGTGAGCAACTGGCCGTTCCGTAGCAAGGAAGCGATGCAAAGGCTGTGAATCGGTGGTATTTCGTGGATAGGTTTCAGCGCTTTGACCCTTCCTTCTATGTCTGGAGACTATGTTCAACGAGGCGCGAAAAAGTGTTTGAAGCAAAACGCACCACAGGGAAATGTCTGCGAAAATATGGAGCAAGCCTCCAAACAGCGTGATACCATCCCAGATCCGTGCCAACTGAGTAGTCCTGCTCAAAAACAGTTCATGAGAAGTTTATACCAGAGAAACTACGTCTAAGTGCACCGCTGCATGACAAATTACAAAGGACATGGTGGTGAGGATCTAAAAAGAGAGTCTGTAATCGACCGGGCCGTTACGTTTATTGACCAATTATTCACGCAATCATTTACATTTAAGCTTCATATTTTGCAACGCTCATTGGAAGCATATGTAGGTACATACGGATAAAGTTCCGGTCATTTCTGGAACACGAAGCGATGGGGACATTCTACAAGCACGTTCATGGAGAGACTTCATGACATATTGTCCGCACTTCCAGATGTTCAATACGTGCGCTTGATGCTAGATCAAAGGCTAGATTTTTTTTTCCGCACCCAATTATCCGACGTCGAGAGCTGTCGAAAGACAGGATATCTTAAATACGCTGTTCTAGATTGCCTTGATATTTTAGACACAATTCCCTGCCACGGAGGTTTTCTCCACCTGCACGGGCGAGTGCTTGAATGAAAGGAACGTACCTCCTTTTCCACGTCTCAGAAATACGAAGGTTCTTCATCGCATCCACTGTAGACTTTCGCTCATATGTACATTCCAGGTTGCACTACGCAGACCGGAGAATGTCGTATGCGAGTTCCATCTCCCCGCTTGAAGAATGGTGAATACCCGTTTGGAAACGCTCACGAGGGGGTTCTGGAAGGCGTGCATTTCTCAGAACCCGATACTTACAGATTAGAGGGTGAAAAGATGAGCGCGAAGCGCAAAGAATGAGATTTGGTCTACTCTTGACATGTTTTATGTCACTAGTCATATGATATCCAGTTGACACGGTATTATTCCTGCGAAACAATGATATGTATGGACTGATCCAGGACTGTAAATAATGGACAGTGCTGTGTTTAGTTGAACAAAGTGAGGAAGAAAAGTACGAAACGAATCTGTCGAGGAACAAAAATGGCTAAGACTAGACATGGATATGGCGAGTCTCTGTTAGTACGATGTCATTGAAGCATAGTGGATGCACATACGGGAAGTGTATATACTCCAATCGTTTTAATATCCACAGATTCTCTCTACGACACGCAGAACTACTTGAACGAGGAACTAAAATAAGACAGATCTCAGTGACTTTGTTTCTATGAACAAGATGTATTTCGACTCACGATGAGGAGACCCAATACGATTTTCCTCCATCCTCAGCGATGGTCCCAAGGGCTTATCAATGAGAGGAAAGGCGTTGAATATGGCGACTGTAAATCCATGCTTACCATTTCCTTTGAGAGAGACATCAGGATAGGATCCGCAAGCTAGACAGCCGAGGGGGAATTTGATGAGAAAGTATCTCCAGACTGACGGAGCTCACTTGAGGAATGAAGATGGACTGCATTTGAGGACCATACCGAATGTATGGATGGTAACGGACGCGCTGTATTGTTTTGTATGTCGGTGCTTTGAGAGTGGATTTATCTTTGGGAGGTGCAGGGTAAGTCATAGTCGTGGTGAGAGTACCGCTGGCGTTTTGCTTGAATGTAACAGAAAACTAGCGGAAAGTGAAATTTCGGGGGGAGAAATGCGGAACATGCGCAAACAATACACCATGGAAATCGGGTAGATGATATTTAAACAGCGGATTAAATGCCTACGATGCTGTACTAGGCGTTTAACGTACTCATTCAGGGCATTATCTTAATGATCATTTCATATGAAAGGAACGGGATAAATGTGTACGAGCACTGTCCGGAATGTGTAACTAAATACCTGCTACAAGACCGGTATACTTCAATCCTTTGTAGTTCGAAAGAAGCAGGAAAGGGGAATAGAGATGATGGAAGGACACAATCCTTTCATAATTATCTACTGCGGTGTCCAGAGCGATCCTTGATAGCAGAAATTAGGAAGATCGCAAGATATTAGAAGGAAATTACCGCAAAATGCCTTTGGTCTCACGTGTATATGGTCCACTCCTTGAAATAATGCTCACTTTTGGCATTCGCAAGAAGGGTATTAGAGAAGCGGGTTGCGTAAGGCACACACATTTATTTTGTTCTCTTCCGACCACGTTTCTTTGATAATTCCGCTGACAGCTTGGGACTTAGTTCTCGTCGATTCTGGCGACTCGTGAGTGACTCGAAGACATCCGAAAATAGAAATATCTACACTATTAGGGGTGTTCTGCGAAATCGGAATATTGTATTCGTCCTCATCAGTGAGAAAGTGTCATTCTGTCGTACACTGCGGTGATCTGGAACCACATACCTATACACCCGGGGAAAGCGACCATGGACAAACCTAGCTAGGAACAGATTGACAGGGGAGTTGGTGAGTGAAATTAAATACAAACGAGGAAGATAAATCTAATGAGTGACGATGGCATGAACAGCCAGGCAACACCCGGGTCACAAAAAATCCAGATCGGAAGAGGGCGTGTAAGGCCTGTGATCCCGCATTTATCGTGAGAGTCAAAATGTTCATTATATCAGTCATCCATTGAAGATTTTCGCAGTAGCAAAAGATTGTGCGACAAGAGAGGGAGAAAGAATTGGAAATTGGGCCTTTGTACTTCACGTGGGAATTTGATTGCTGTTATTTGGTAATTCCGGGCTTTGCTTCCCTCACTCAGCGGAGACGCGCAATTCCTTTCTTCCTCAGATGGTAGCTCCAAGTCGGCAGGAAGATGATCTAACCGAGATGTAACCAAACCAGTAATGTCCGCTACATTGGTACGCTTCTGGCGACGTGATAACCGATTTTATTTTCAGATTACCATGCCCAACGCCTCCCGGCTTTTATTTCAGGCCAGCCTAGGACACGGACATCTTTCCAAAATGCGATCAATATCAACCGAATCTCGTCGCTCAGCTTTATATGGATGTTCTCGTTGGCGTTCGCTGGTCCTCACATGTACTTGTTCTCGGGATGAGGAATCGTCTGGTTTGTAGGAAGGGAAGGAAGGACAGGGTCGATAGTATTAAAGCCGATGCGCAGTTTTCTTAGGTGTGCTTGATGGATGGCGGTGATGAAAAATCATTATACCAGGTAGGGCTTACCACACTTCCCGGCACCCGTCACTGACAGGGAGCACCCAGATGTGTAAGGCGTTCTGCGTGCTCACAAGGCTCCACACCGCTTAGCATAGACAAACACTTTCAAACTCGACTTACTCCCCAACGTTCAACATCACTCAACGACTACTGTATTCCATCAAAAAATCTGATCTCGAGCACTCCGCCTGCTCTTCTCTTTTCCAATTCGGCTACACCAGAGAGTACACCAAGCATAAGTCGCGTTCCCTCACCCCATCTCGCATATGACGACTTGCGGCTCGCCTCCCGCTGGCTCTCTCCTCCATCTGCATCTGAAACCATATTCACCGGGTCGCCCGTATCCGGAATTAAATTCCTCCCAGGCCACTGGCTGCTAACAGGTTCTGGTCGGTCCTCATGATCTGGGATCTCGCGTGCGGGCACAAGTGCTCACATTGTTTACTGGGGTGAAGCTCAAAGCGACTATCGCAGCGGCATTGGATGGGTACGTGCTTGTTCGTGTGATGAACGACGGCTAATATTCATGTAGGCTACAAAGAATCGTACTCCTGCATCTGGATGACAACGGGAACCCTGCATGAAGACCATACCATCGACACCGACCTCCGTCCAATCAACCTCACAGCCGACGGCCTAGCTCTGATCGATTCGATGACCCTCCAAAATGCTGACCTACAACTGGAAGACAGACGAACGTGTCGACGATACCAATGGAATGCCTACGTCCGCTCTCATCTGCTTCGCAAACAACCCTGGCTTCCGAACTCACCATACATTCCCTCTCATCCTTCGCGCCGCCACGATCTCCCAACGCGCTGCCTTCGGTACACAGGCCGCCTCCATGATCGCGTGATGGTCGAACACGCAGCCCTCTATGCCAGCCCATTGTCCATGTTCGCGTTCTCGAGCACATTGAACCACTGGGATTATGAGGAAGGCGGTGTCTGCGGAGATTACCATTTTTCTTTTGTAGAAGAATATGCGCTCTTAGTCTGTTCAACTCCCGCACCGGAATAGGGACAAGCCTTACCGGCACCATTCGCAGTGACTGGCTGTTGCTCTGCGAACAAGTATGCCTCGGGAACCGTCTGTCGCCTTCCCAACGCATGCACATACGGGTACAAAGCGAAGCCTCCGAAATCACGTACATTCACGCACGGACCCTTAACGCGTTTCCGTGGTTCCTTCGGTGCTCCGCCGACTACTGCTCGCTCCTCTCAAGAAAGCCTATATACACCACAGCGTTGTCATCAGGCGAAGCATGGACGAATTTTGCGATGCACTTTGCATCGACGTGTACTCTTCCTGGGCCTCCCCACGGCGAGCACCAACCCATTTCTCTCCTCTTCTTCTGGACCGAGTATTTCACTTGTGTACGATCCTGTCACTAAATGTGAATGGTCAGGACGCTACACGAACGCGTCCAAGTTTCGCGCTCTTTCCAATGACTACCCCTTGGACCGGTCTCCAACTGCTCTAACGCCGGGAGGCGAAACGACGTTCGCCGACTTACCTACTTCTGAGGATCAGGACAGCATCGACAAGTCAGTGTGAAGGATCTTGATTGTCTGCGGTAATGCGCGGATGGTCGGGTTTGTCGGGTGTTCCTAGTGACGTGGTTTCGTTGGATCAGTAAGCACTCGTTACTGTTGTTGGAAAACGGGGTATCGGTTCGTTCCCAGTGTCACATGCGCGGTAGCAAGCCAATAGTATTGCGCTTGGCTGAGCTCTGCAAACGCATGAGGATCTACTCTACAGTACCTACTTTTATACTAAATGTACTTTTACTAGAACTTTCCACGCTTTTCCTCAGACTTCTTCCTTAATAAGCAGACTCGGCATGATGCCGGATTGCCAAATCCCAACAACTGTGATGAAGATGTCTATCTTATGTCGTTTGTAGAGAAACGTGCTCCTACGTTTCGACGACAAAGAAACTGCACCAAATCCACTCTAACAACGACAGTCTCTGCCCTCGCTGGCGACTTGCAGGTAAGCGTGCTCCAGCTCTTCTAATTATGCTTATTCATCTCTTCCGCCCGCAGTACAACCATTGCATCCAAGTCATCTTCATCACACAAACCATCTCGTCGTCCACACTACCTGCCCCTCCCCGACTACTACACCCCCGTCGTCCTAGCCCCAACCACCGTGTCTACGACACGCCACTCCTTTCGCTGAGTTTATGGCATCAGTGCTCCATCATCCGCACCCAACGACCTCTCTCCATCCTCATCTGGTCCGAGAACGGCTTGAGCCTCTTGCTCCAGGTCTAAATTATCCCCTCGTGCATCATCAATGAACGCCCCCGCCTATACATTCTCCTCCGACTCTCGTCAGTGAGACGGTATCCCATTGGTCTCCACTCTAATACGCCGATATTGATCCATTCACATATTCGTGCTGTGGATGCAGACGGGGAGGAACACAATAGCATCACAACACTGGTCGCAGTCATATCTCGGGTCCGGTTGACTCTCTCAATGATGTGAGTCGACGGCGGTGTGAAGAGCTTCGAAGGGTAACATACTCTTCCTGGTGTAGTCGCGTCCATTATCATATGTCACGGGTTTGGATCCCTTCCGAAGTAGTGGTTTGGCCTGGGATGACGGGAATGGTTATGTTCAGCATGAGTATCTGGTATGCTGCACTTGCTGTTTCGGTGAAAGGAAATGCTCACGTGTTCAAAGGTTCGCGGTTCTCTTCCTTCTGGCACCATCCTTCGCCCTCAATATCACAGTTCCCAGCATCGTGCACAATGGCGAACCGACCAACCTGTACCTTGTTCATTCTCCCCACGATCCTTCCGAATTCTTTTTGAAGAAATTTTATGGCCAGTCGCTTTTGTCGAGTGAAGCGGTTTGGGTGAACAACTTTACGAGAAATGTGAATGCCTCGCTACGGTTTAACGAAAATGGGTGAGTCAGGACTTTGTATATCTGAGACTGTTGCTGATTCTCCGTGCTCGGTAGCTTGTTCACTATACATACCTATGCAAGATCAGAGTACGGATTCTGATTATTCTTTGATCAATGACTGAAAATGGTCTAGTCCTTCCATCGATGATGTCCCCCTTGCGCAGAGCCAGCCATTCGAAGTGCAGCGGGTGGATACAATTGCACGAATAACTACGACTAGTTCCTCCTCCTTGTTCGTCAACTCGCTTCCTCTTGACTGTAATGTATCCACTGATCGCTCTTCAGAACTTCTGAAGCTACCCAGTACACCGCCACCGCCATAGCGACTTCTTCGGGCGGATGTGGTATCCCCGTCGGTGCCATTATCAGATTCGCCATAGTATCTGTTATCTTCCTCATCACAAGCGCCCTGCTGCTATACCTATTCATTCGAGACCGGAAGAAGCGCGCGCAAAACAACTCGGACACAGAATCCACTCCGCCACCCTCGGAGAAAAAAGGCGACCATGACGTAAAGCCAGAACGCGTCGCGCCGCCTACCTCGCGCCGCATCCTCGGTCCGTCCGGAATTCGTTGATCTCATTGGAGGTCAGACAAGCCGCTGCTTTACGGGATTTGAGGGAGCAAATCGGGTCCCTTCGGCGAAGCCTGGCAGGCGCTTTCAAGTCTGAATCTCGGGTGGAGTTTGGGGAGAGGCTAGGTCATGAGAAGAGTGACTCGCTGGGAAGCCAGTTCCGGTTGTGGGTAGATCGTGGTAACCAGGAAACGCCGCCACCAGAATACTTGTCCCACCGGTCTTCTGTGGGTAAAAGTGCGGGATGACGGGAGTGTAATTTATTGATATCTTTGTTTATGTTTCTGCATTCGCTGGATGGCGTGTGCGTGGTCTTGGATCAGTACGAGATTGTATACCAGCTGAACCGTGTACAGGAGACGCGTTTTTTACTATACCAATTCAATATTTTGACGTGATGAGGGAATGTCGGCTGCCATGTGCGCAGGAATCAAACATGATTTTGTGAGAAAAAGGTCAGTCTTCGATGTTTGATTCCTCTCGCAATTGATGCAGCAGCTAAAAGAGGTACATCACGAGAAAATTCGGTCTTGGCATTTTGCAGGAATAAACGAAGAGACGGCAGAGGCGTAAATCTCGTCCAGCCTTGCTTGATGTTCACACACCCTGCCCTGTACCTCGATGGCATTTGTTTCCCGTCGAGCGCGCGTTCTCCGAAATTGACGACGGTAAAAACTTCGTCCACCATCCGAAGACAGAACGTAAGGTCATGGCTCTCACAGGCATATGAATAAGCGACCTTGTGAGTTTGCTGTGCTATGAAAAGCTTTTCATTGAGTACTCTCACGTCCTAAACCCGCTCCAGCGCCGCAATCTGGCTAATGATTATGGCTTCGCGATTCACGTTCAGCCATCGTGACTGCATCATGCGATCTGATGTCTACCTGGGTGCCTGTATTGGTCGAAGCCTTATCCACGGCGTCTGCGTTATTTCTCTTTTCATTGCCACGATGGCCTGGCTGCTTGATTTGCTTGCTTGTGTCCTTGCCGCTTCTCTCGCTGTATTCATACGTTCTCATTATCATCGACGGTCACTACCCCCAGGCCCACCAGGTCATTGGTTGTTTGGAAATGAAATCCCAAAAAAGCGGTGCGTCGTTCGTAGCGTATTTTGCTATAGTAGGCTTATTCTCACAGGGAGTTCTTGAAGTACGATGAATGGACGAGGACTTACGGGCCTGTTTTCTCTCTGACTCGGTTTGGGAAGGTGTACATTATCGTTGGCCGATACGATGTGTGTTCGCACTTTATGCTGACAAACATGAGACCGATGTTCGAATCTAGGCGGCTGTAGAAATAATGGAGAAGGGTGGTACCCAGACATCGGACAGACCAAGGGCCATTGCCGCATCTGAGACGTTCTCTGGAGGTCTTAGGTCTATTCTGCTCAATGATACACCTAGGTGGAGAACTTTGAATAGGTTAGTCATCTACGATGGCAAACGCAAAGCCGAGTTTAATATAACGTTTGTAGGGCTTTCCATGCACACTTAAAGACCAATAAGGCAGCGGCATATGAACCCGTACAGCTCCATCACGCAAAAAAACTGATTCTTAATGTCCTTGACGAGCCGAAGAGGTTTACAGAGTACACAAAGATGTACAGACTTTTTTCGTTTCTGGGTATGCATCGAGCTCATCTTCTGAACCAGATATGCAGCATCTGTGATTCTTACCCTGACCTACGGGAAAATGACACCTACAACATTCGATGATCCTGATCTTCAACAAATGATTCGAGAGGCAAACCGGCTTCGAATGACAAATCGCCCGGGAGCTTACCTTGTGGATACGTTTCCCGTTCTTCGATGGGTTCCTGGGTATCTTTCCGAACTTAAGAGGTGGCATCAAGATTCGCTTGCTTTGTGTCGTCGGTGTTTAGGGTATGTTCAGACAAGGATGGTCAGTGCATGGAACGCTGTTTTTTATTGGAAGATACTTATGTGCCTGTCCAGGATGCTGGGGAGGAAGTACCTGCATGTTTTGGGAAGGATCTCTTGGATAATAAGAAGATGTCGTTTGACCAAGCTGCGTATCTTGCTGGTTCGATGTTTGCAGCAGGATCGAATACAGTTCGTTTTCCTTTTGCCCGTTTTCTGCTAACTACTGAAAACTCTAGACCGAGTCTGCAATAATCTTCGTTATCATGGCAGCTACCTGTTTTCCTCATGCTGCGAAAGTTGTACAGAGAGAAATCGATGAGGTGGTTCCTCGCGATCGATGTTGGTAATTCGGCCTCATCAGGTGGATTCTTATTGAATGCGGAATAGGTAGGTCCGACGTTTGAGGATAGGGAGCGCCTCCCGCAGGTTATGGCGTTTATTTCCGAATGTTTTAGGTGGTGAGTACGTTTTTCTCGAAGGTGATATGCAGCTGCTGATAGAAGCTTCGAAAAGGCGACCGTTGTTTCCAAGTGGTTGGTCTTCCGTTGCTTATCTGCCGATGACGAGCTGCACGTACATTAGGAATTGCACATGCCGCTTCTCAGGATTTCATCTGGGTTAGTGCTCTTTTCGTTCTTTGGCTTCGTCTCACAAGCATGCTTCAAAATAGCAAGGCTATGTGATTCCCAAAGGAGCTACTATTATCGCATCGCCTTGGTATGTCTGTATTCCTATAACTTTGAACGCCCTTTGCTAAAAAAGCAATCACAGGACCATATTCCGTACCCCTGATGTCTTTCCCAACCCCGAAGTATTCGATCCTCAAAGATGGATACTTGACGGTAAATTGAGAGATGACATCAGGCAATTTGTTTATGGATTCGGTCGGAGGCAAGATTTCTTGTACGTCTAAGCCTTGCCGAATTGCTGATGTGGATGTATGCAGAGTTTGTCCGGGATCACGCGTTGCGAATAGGTGAATGTCCTTTATCTCTATTTTCTTGGGGGTGTTAATTTTATCGATGGCGAAAAGGTCGCTGTTCATTAATACGGCGCTTCTTTTATGGGCTTTTGATATTGTTGCGACTGAGAGGATTGACTCGATGGCATTTGCTGATGAGCCAGGGATGCATCCTGGAAGTTTTGGGGTACGCTTTGATCTGCGGTTGGGGAAGGAGAAAGAGGCTTGGGTTAGGTCGTTGATGGACAACTGAGCGAATGGAACATCAAGGATGGTGGTCATGGGGGTATGTCTATATTGAGTGCCTTGTTAGAACGAGATTACGATACTTTATAATAACAAGGAGCTCTACCCGGCTGCTATGTTTCATTGAAACTTGTGTATTTATAAGTTTGAACAGAAATCCCGGATCCGCCGTTCGAAAATTGGGATTTTAGAGTATCTGAATAGGTAGGATTGTAATAATAGACCGAAATGACGTAGGTGTACTTTGGATGTAGGTAATATAAGAAATAAAAAGTATTGGCTTTCCGAACCTGATCATGGATCCTTCGAATGGGATTCGAACCCTCGGTAGACGTTCAACACGGTGCATCACAAAGGCTCTTTCCTGGGAGATTGATGGATCTATCTTTGCTAGGAACAGGAGCAGTGTGTATGACCGAAACGAGTGCTGTATGGTATTGGTATTGGTAACCAGCACAAGGTCCCAATAAGGAACGGCTGGGCCCACAGCCCTGACATGGCGTGCCATGTGACGTGGCCACAAAGGCTCATGCCGTTGTAATCACACTGTTGAGTGCGTCTCGCGGATTAGAGTTTCTTTGTGGGGTTCCGAACAGCTGGAACATAAATGAATAAGGCAGAGTGAGGGACATATACCATTACCGACACTGTAACGGACCTGCTTTAAGAAATATAGATATCATCAACGTATTATAATTTATCCAAGCGGCTGAGGACATTCCCATCTTCGCAGATCAAAGGTATAGTAAGAGTGCATAGGAAGGGAGTACAAAGATGGGGGGATTCTCGCGGTAACTCTTGCAAGGTTTCCAATACACCGCAGTACAATAACACACCTCGTTTTCGACCTCACTTCGGCCGGTAGCAGCATAGAGAACAAAGCGGGGGCCGTTGGCGGCGTTCAGCCCATTTAAGCACTTCCATGGCAAGTGTATCGGAGGAGGTCAATAGTTACGTAGCAGCACGCCATTCGAGGGAACAGTTGTAATCCTCGGAGGCACAGGATCCATCATCATGTAAGGTGAGACAGTGTGAAACATACATGCATACGCACGGACCACGAGGAACGTAGCGACACAAAGCAGGCGGTGGGATCAACGGACATGAAACGCAAGCACTGGGGAACAAAAGCAACGAGAAAGTGCTCCGTCGCAACACACCATTAAAAAACAGTGCGGCGGCAGGAACGAATCTTGTCACCACCACCAAAACCAAAGCAACGAGAAACCAGACCGTCGCAGCACACCATTAGAAAACAGTGCGGTGGCAGGAGCGAATCTTGTCACACCACCGAAACAAAAGCGACGGAAACCAAACCGTCGCAACACGCCATTGGGAAACAGCGCGGCGGCAGGAGTGGACCTCGCCATTGTCACAGGAACTCAAGCAACAAGATACCACTTCGTCGCAACACACCATCAGGAAAATGGTGCGGTGGCAGGAGCCATACTCATTGCCACAACAAAAACCAATGGTGGTTCTCTGTATATATGATACGCATCATCCCATTTATTATAGGAAATTCACGTGGCAGGCTAGAGCGGTCGAAAGCTAGAATCTCCAAACACGCATTAGATTAAACACAAAGTCTGGAATATATGCCCTTCATGTCATACCGGCTACATTACGTCTAGGGTTCAAATCCCTTTCGAAGGATATGATTTCCAGACAGCAAATTTCTTTTTCTTCCTCACTGTTAACTATCTTATCAATCCGTCAAGCTACCTGTGTAGCTTCATGATACAGAAACTCCGCCAAATGTCAAGGAATCTGAAAATCTTCCTGTGACAAGGTGGGGGCTGAGCTTTGATTTTCCCTTTCGCTGCAAAGTTGAAGGCCTCTCTAATGAATTCGACATTTGGTGGTCAGGATAGCCTGCGGAATACGCATGAGGTCAACTACTCCATGACTGTTTAGAGGCCTGTCTGCTCGATTTGGCCCTTGGGGTCTGGGAACGTTATGCCTTTGTGACACATCGGTTCTGTGATCCGAGTTCGAACCCCACAATCGAAATTAAAGAAGACGATAATACCTCCCAATCTTTTACCAAAACCAGTGAAAACACATAAAAGTTGTCCCCCTGCTATTATTGGTGTATTGACCTCTTTCGAGCCGAGGGCAACTCACCATAGAAGAGATTCAAACGCTAGAACAAGTGTATGAAAGGAAAATGAAGGCGGTGTTGCCTGAGTGAACAAGAAAATCATCGTGACCACATCGTAGATTGGATGATCTAGCTCTGAATTTTCAATCACCCACAAACCCCGACTGGATGTCGCCGGAACATTGACAGAAATCTAACCTCGTTGCCTCCATACTCACAGCTCAACCACGTAATAGCACGAGATTGATACCCGTGGTTCAATCCCCAAGAATGGGCTGTCTTGATAATTCTAGAATTCAAGGCTTTTTTTAGTCTTCAAGACATGAAAGGTTCGCAAAATCTAGTCTGGGAACGGAAAACTAATTGCAAAGAAGTAGAAGGTGAGAGAGAATAGTAAATACCAAAACGGTTCCTCTCGATTCTGGTATATATGTAAATGTGAACACAGCTGACCTCTCTTCCAAGCCCCGGTGAATCAACCGATGGTAGACACTCTCTCACATATGAGAGGCGAGACTATCATTTATGTTTCGACTCTGTGTCGAGCAATGGACCGTACAGCTTGTGATGTCGGAGCCTGGAATATTGCCGAGTGTAGGTGTCAATAGGGCGACGACTGGGATCATTCGTTAGGCAAAGTATCGCATCGCTTTAGCGTTTTAGTTAACAGGGAAAGATCTGATGCGGACACACCATGCATAGTTAAATCATGCGACAATGCATTCGGATCACGTTTCCGTTGGTTCTCGCCGGAGAAGAGCTTCGATTATTAAGTGACATTGATATATGTATATTTTGAAATACCATTAGACAAGGACATGGATGAATACAGTACCTGGGCTCGCCTGACGATCAGCCTTTCAGGAAGGACATACGAGAGACGACAAGTTAATGCGTTTGCTTACTTCCCGCCTGGAAATACTTTTGTATCTGTTCTTTGAGTTCGACAGAGAGAAGACATAACGGTCTGAGCTCTAGCAGAAGTCGGGTTTTAGACTGCGTAATACAGGAAAAGCAGTTAGTAATACTTACCGCATTACACATATCTGCAGGGGAAATATATTTTCTCCGATTTCTAACGTGTGCGCTGAGCACCAGAGAATATTAAGCTATAGACGACAGATATTAGACGACGTAATTGTAGAAGGAATGCGAATGAGGATACCTTGAGTTGCAACACCATATGAATGACTATGAGGCATCTTTGATACTGCCCTTCTCACCGCAGGCAAAGATATAGAATTGGCGGTATGATGGCCTCGGAAAATACGCGGAACCGGAGAAAGCAGAACGGTCTTATCAATATTAGTGGCTAACAGTCGTGTTAAGGGTCTTACTACTGGCTTACTACCGTAGTATGTTAGCATTTTATATACCCAAAAGCTATATGTCGCGTATGCACAAGAAGTGGCCCTTAGCATGATAAACGTTACGGTAGAGATCTTGATGGGCACCGTACGCGAGGCTTTCAAGAAGAATCCTACTGCGGATGATATCGTTCGTATGCGATCCCTACTTGATCCCTACCAGAAAAAGCACAAGAAATAGGAGTAGCTTACCACTAGGCCGCTACTACATTTTAACAGCCCTGGTGTTTTCGAATGCTTGATTGATCTGATGAGAGCGTCGGCGTTTGGTATCAACAAGAATCGAATGTCCTGGTCGTGGGAAATTGGAAACCTCTCAGCCACCGGCTGGATCGGCCCGTAGCCTTCTTGCTCAATGACCATCACTCTCAACGACCTGCCTGACGACCTGTTGATCTACGCCATCGCGTTCCTCTCCGTCCCTGATATTCTGTTTCTCCGCCAGGTGGGTACAGTTTCCTCTCTTCATGCTCAGCGTTCTTACCTGCTACATGCGAATAGACATGTACACGGTTCAACGCACTCACAAGGCTGGAGATCGTATGGATCAACGCATTCGAACTCAACATTCTCTCCAATGATTACCCCTGTCCCGTCGATGACACCGATCTCGAACAGCGCACATGTTACGCCTACCGACTCGCATCTCGATGGCTCGCAGACTCTCCTCTGACCCCCACGAGCGTCATAAAATTCACCGGCTCGCCCGTATCCGAGATCAAATTCATACCAGGGACGACAACACCAGTGGCTTCTGATTGTATCAGAGGAGATCCCTTACCGTGCTGTCAATCTGGGATATCGCTCGCGCACACAAGTGCTCAGAGTGGTCACCCAAAGGCGGGAAGCTATTCACCAAGATAATTCTTAATGAGGACCCTGAGTCTGAAGTGAGTATGGTGGTCGCGTTGGATGGGTAAGTTCTCATTTCTCTGATGAATCGATGACCCGTCCACTAACTTGTATAGATCACAGAGAATGTTACTCCTCCTCCATCTCGATGATGATGGAACCTTGCACGAAATTCACGCCATTGGGATCGGCCTCCACCCAATTAGCATGACTGGTGACATCATAGCTCTCAGCGACCGCATTTCCAAGACGACGATCTACAACTGGAAGACAGAGGAGCGCGCCTACCTCGATGAAGGAGGCGCCATGCAGGTAACTGTCCCGTAGCTGTTCAAATCATGCTTATTCATCTCTTACACTCACAGCACAACCGCTGCATCCATGTCGTCTTTGCCCCGACCTCCGTCGTCGTCGTCCGCGCCCACACTATCAGTGCCTACGCCTCGCCGCCCCTCTTCGGACAAACCAACACGCCCATCGTAACAAACCCCTTCGACGAGTTCGGTCGCACCAGTACAACACCAACATCCCTCCTCATACTCTCTGAGATGTACAGACCCCGGACATTAGAGCCTAATTTGTTCCAACTGTACTCCCTGGCCTCTGTTCCCCCAACCCTCCTCTCGGAAAGATTATCCCGCCATCGCGTACTCTCATACGTCGGCATAGTCCTTGGCCAGCGGGGTACGGCGGTATGGATCAGCCCTGAAGAATGCGCCACGGTGGAGCATCGTGGCTGCAAAACACTAGTCACCGCCGTATTCCCCGGTTCGCTCAACCCCACCGCTCAAGTCCGCATTCATGAATTATGCTCTCATGCTCCCAAGAATTGTCAATGGACTGCGTTCGACTACGATGAAGAACTCGGGCGGATCGCCCTCGGTTCGTGGCTTGGAGAGGTTACCATTCTTCAATTGTTGTCCCAAATATATCGTATCCGATCCCAGGGTTCGAATCCCTTTCGAAGGACTGTTAGAACATTCTCTAAACTTTTGTTGGACTTTAGTTTCTGTGTATCCGTCTACTGCGGAGGTGAGACCGCCTTCAGTATGGTGTCTTCCAGTTCCCGACCGTTTACCTCTTCCTTATCAGGCGGGTATCTTCTGTTTATCGATATTCGCTGGCGTTTTCTGTAACTGGGGATCGTTATAAAGAAGTTACATGCAAAGGTTACGCTAATCCTTGTGGTGTTGTGGGCTTATCCGGTACCCTTTTGTCACACAAGGGTTCGATCCTGTCATGGAATTCATGATTATTCGGAACTTTTTTGTCGTTCAAGGTTTTCTGGTGCAAGATAAAGCCGTTTTTCGCGACCGCGGATAATCCTTTGGCATGTCGCTATGCTTGCTTCTAACAGGTTCAACTGTGAGCACGGAACTCTATGTGAGCGACGACTGTTTTTTATTGCACTCTCGTGGTTGCCGCTGCTTCTCAATCTCGCTTCTATTCACCGATAAGACGCTACCATCGAGTTCTTCTTACACATGCGTTCGCAACTCACTGGAACCTGTGTGAATGGCACCTCCGTGAATCTGGGGATTCCTCATCTTCTGAAATATTGAAGCGCAGCTGGCTGATATTGTTGTATTTAGAAGTGCATTATTCTACCGCCTTCTTAGCGTACTTAGTACAATATTAGTACTAACTACTAGCAGTGTAAAAATCCGAATCGAAGGAATACTCCACTTCTATGCCAGTTGTCGACACTTTTCCTTTGTTTCTCGCAGTCAATCCAAGGCCCGAGTTCAACATTCACGGGGTAACCGTGTTTTCGGTTCTTGGCTAGTAACCACTTGAAAAAAGGAATTGGGAGTTAAATATGAAATTGATTCGTGCTGGCTAACGTGCAAAATTCCAGAGACAAGTATATTGCTATGCCAATGTCCTTTGTATGATTGAAAGACAAATGCGACCCAGTAGATGACAATAGGTATGGAATAAAGATAGGCAGATACCAGGATTGAGTGCGCCGTTGCGGAATTATTTCACTGGCTCCGACCCCGGGACCCCCCTTCAGCGTCGGCAGGGCTTAAATGAAACAAGTCTTTTCTTCAAGGAATTCAGGGATATAAAATCGTCTTGTATCCGGTGTATCGGAACAACTGTTGCCTTCGGTTATTGCCATAAATTCGAGGAATGGATACGCTTACTTTATCGATTCCTGCTTCACTCGCCATCATACCTCGAGCATTGTGGCCCACGCCAGGTACCCAATCGACGGTAGTGAGATTCGGGATACCAGCCATATCTTCCAGCATAGCAATGAATTCTGTCCCCTTTCTAAATGCGTGCGTCCTTGCGTCTGTGAGTATGTGATCAGCTTCCAAACACAAGGAGAAAAAAAGAATAGAAAGAACATGTAAACGTGCCTGTGCTTGACATCCAGTATCTCCATTTCCATTATCTTTCTAGAAGGATTTCTCAGCGAAAATCTCTAGAAGGTAAGTCGGCACGTACCAGTCCCCAAGCGTAATTTAGCGTTCGGCTGCAGTATCGCTTATGCATCCGAAATGTGAGGAAGAATACGATCACAAAGAAAAACTCATCTCATATGCTCCTTTATCATTATCTACGACCCATTCAGGATGCAAGGTTGCGTCAACAACATCTGGGAGACATTTCCAACCGTTATCACCAGACCTGTGCACTACTGGGTCCAAGCTTGGTTGTGCGAGAGCAGAAAGCATCGGAGAAACTGAAAGCGTTCGGTGCGGCCCATAATGCTGGCGACCACATGTGATTTAGGGCATGGCACATGTCATTGGTATTTACGGTACTTCGTTTCCGTATTTATAGTCTTTGACCCACGATTATCAGCAGGTATACTCCGTTACACCCCTTGTACCTAGTGACAATGTGCCAAGACGTCTGGAACGGATTTACAGAGAGATGAGAGTCATGGTGCCTCACGCTCGAAAGCAGACGGCACTTTGTTAACGGCATATAGAGAATCGAAGATGGAATTATTGGGAGAACTGTTAGTACATGAAGCGATGAATGTGCACAGTTGGACCCATGACCGGAAGGCATATTCTGATTCCAGAGTAGCTCTCCAGGATGAGCCCAGCGGGTCGGTTGATATCTTTTAACCTCCTCCGCTTATCATTTGCATTTAGCAGCCGTAAGTGAGACTTACTCATACGCTGGTCATTACGCGTGTTATCCTTCTGACGTTATTCTCTCACTGGTGCGTGTTCAGATCATTTCTATCTCCGTTGTCGAACACCAAGAGAAGAGTGGACAGGGAGATTCGACCTGCTGAAATGACCGACCATCACCTTACCTCGCGTTATTGTTTTGCAATAAGACTGGCCAGGATCAGCCGTGAGAAGAACTTCAGTTCATGGAATTCTACCTTCGTAATAAACTTTGACATCTGCTGTCTAAGTCAGAATGTCGAGTACATCAGTCATCCAATGAAGATTTTTGCTGTAGCTATTGAGAGACCGCCGAGAGAGAGAGCAGAAGAATTGGACATTGACATGTGCACCTCACGTGGGGAATGTGATTGATGTTATTTGGCAGCTCCGGTCTTTGCTTGCTTCCCTCACTCAGCTAGACCTGTGACCGGTCCCTACATGAGCAAGCGTCGATGGTAGGGACCTGTACGGCTGAGTTTGAATTCCCTTTGATAAATTTAGGGAATTGCCGAATCCCAAAAAGGTCAGAGAAGGGGCTTCCATATTTAGGTTTTATTGGTGATCGTACCGATCTCGACGCGTTTCGACGCGTTTTCGTGTATTTTTCCTGTCCGTCATGTCTGCCAGCCATAGAAATCGATCCAAGTCTTCCTCAGGTGTATTTTACACCCCTCTCTCCTTGGACATGTCCTCTCAACTTCAAACTCCAAGCGAAACTTCTTCTGGCATCATTAACACGAAGCCAGTGCATCTCAAGGGACCCAGAAAGGCCAAAACTGCGACGAACGACAAATCCAAAACTATAAAAAGGCGAAACGAGCATAACCCCTCCTCTATGTTCTCATTCTCATCTGATTTTGCATCGCAAAGCTCAGGCCTGTAGATTGGGCCAGGAAGGAAATCTTGCAGCTCAAATCCATTATCATGGCGGTCACAACAGAAGGGAGCGAAATAGTGCAGAGCTTATTCAAACGTTAGCTCTACTGAGTAATGCAGCAGCAAGAATAATATATCATCAGGTGCATCGTCTTTTAAATACTTCGCTTTGAATTCTCGAATGCATACCGGCTCATGACCTTGAATGAGTCGTATTGCTGAAAGCGCAGCTCGTTCTTTCTTGTTTGATGTTGGTTTCAGTGGCGCTCGAGGCCTGTCGGGGTCTTTCTCGTCCATTAACGGATTGTCGAAGTCCTTGATGTCGATGTCGAGCACCCAGGGCTCATAGAAAATCACATAAAGACCAATCTTACCCATCCTTCGTATAACTCGCCCACCTCATTGAAGATCGTCACATTCATCCTGTGGTATGCCCATATATCCAACAATGTCCACGTCGGCAAAGTCGATGCCCTAGAGTTTGACATCAGTTCATGCCATCGGAACAGACTATGGAGACATACCACTGCTTCGGCAGACGTTGCACAAAGAATTTTGCACTTCCCATCTTCTCGTGCAAAGTCAGAATGGTATTTTTCGAGATACTGAGGAGACATAATGCTGTCGTAGTGTTTGATTAGACCTTGCGACTTCAGATTCTCTGGGAGCTTCCCGTTCAGATAGCTGGCAACACGGCGGCCAAAATTTCGATCGTTGAAAAAGAGAAGGATTTCTTTTTTTGGAGTTTGATATCCAAGGGGGAAGGCAGAAAGCAGTCGTAGTTCTCCATAACATCGAGGCTTTTGACCATGCAATGGGTCGCATATACCGTATTCGGCCGGTTGCTTGTGATACGAATGAGCTCATCGTTGGGCTTCAGGACAGCAGTCTCAATGGCCGAGAGAACATGAGGTGGCGACGTCGCTGTTAATACCTGCCAAGGAATGGAGGGAAGGAGTATTTTTATCTCATTCAAGCGACCCCAGGATGGTCGGAATGCGGGAACGTTGTACCGTGGAGTACCAGCAAAATAAATGAAGTGAGTCTCGTCTACGAAAACACGCCTGATTGTTTTCCGAAACGCCAGTGTCTGGATGAAATTGTGGTCCGACAATATAAGAAGAGCGATGATAAGGGTTTTTCCCGACCCTGTCCCTGCAATAACCGCCCAGTCCCTTCTTTCATACGAGGCTAATGCTGCTTGAAGCTGCATCTCTCTAGGTGCCTCCCTTCCACAGGTCACAAGGTAAGCCAAGAGAAAGAGACGGTAGCAGATGATCTGTTGGTCTCGTGAAAGCGTAGAGATGTACGTTGATGGAACGCGATCCGCATCAACAAAATGGGTGATGTACTGAGAGAGATCATCAAAGCCAGCATTCCTGATGTCGTCGAGAGATTCAAAGATAGTTTTGGAAGCAGATGTTGTTCCCATTTGGTGATTTAGGGTGACAGTGCATTCAACAAAGAAACGAGATGGTGGTAAACAAAGAAAACGCGTCGAAACGCGTCGAGATCGGTACGATCACCAGTAAAACCTAAATATGGAAGCCCCTTCTCTGACCTTTTTGGGATTCGGCAATTCCCTAAATTTATCAAAGGGAATTCAAACTCAGCCGTACAGGTCCCTACCATCGACGCTTGCTCATGTAGGGACCGGTCACAGGTCTATCACTCAGCGGAGACGCGCGATTCCCTTCTTCCTCAGATGGTAACTCTAAGTCGGCGAAAAGGTGATCCCATAGAGATGGAAGCAAACCAGTGATGTGCGCTACATTGGTACACTTCTAGGGACGTGATAACTAATCTTATTTCCAGATAACCATCCCCAGCGCCTCCGGCATTTATTCAATGCCAGCCTGGAACATGGGAAATCCTTCCCGAAGGCGATCAACATCAAACAGAACTCGTCGCAGAGCTATATATCGACGTTTCCTTCGGCGTGCTCTGGCCTTCGTAGGCGCATATTCTCGCGATGGTGGTTAGGAAGGGTCGATAGTGATGAGGTTGATGCGCAGTTTGATTACGTGGGCTTTATGGATGGCGTTGTAGAGAAATGACTATGCCAGGTAAGACTCCCCCCCTCCCCAGCACGCATCACTGACAGTGATAACCCAGACACGTGAATGTTTCAACATGCTCACAGGACTCCATATCGTATGGACAAACACTCTCAAAGTCGACATCCTCTCCAGCGACTAACCTAATTCCTGCGATGAAGCCGATTTCGAGCACCACACATGCCACGCCTACCGATCCGCCTCCTGCTGGCTCTCCTCTCCCTGAGACCACCTTCACCAGATCCCCTGTATCCGAAACTCTCCAAGGCTCCCGGCTCCTAGATGTATATAAGGGAAATCTGGTCGGTCCTCATGGTCTGCGTGATCGGATGCGAATACCAGTGACCAAAGTGGACCCCGAGAAGTGCGTTGTTCACCAGGGCCAAGCTCAATGCAGAACCTAAATCCGAAGCGAGTATCTTGGATAGGTTAGCGCTCGTCCATCTGGTGAACGATGGCTAATATTCATGTAGGCTACAGAGGATCGCGCTCATGGCTCTGGACAACTTAGGGAACTCTTCATGAAGACCACACCTTCGACACCGACCTCCTCAACGCCGACGACCTAACTCTGAACGACGACCCCTCCAAAATGCTGTCGTACAACTGGAAGGCGGGTGAACGTTTGAACACCCCTACCTCAATAGCATAGGCGACTTGCAGGTACGGTTCCTACATCTATTATAATCACGCTTATTCATCTCGTCCACTCACAGTACGACAGCCATATCCAAGTCATCCGCAGCCCACCCGCAACCTCGTCATCTGCATCCGCTCTATGACTGTCTGCAACACCTAACCTCCCTCGCCAGCACTGGACACGCCTACTCTGTCAGACGAGTCGATGGCTCCAGCGCCACACCCGCCTTCATCCTCATCTGCTGCGCAAACCACAATCCTGGGCATCCGAACTCATCACCCTCTCCTCCTCCCCTACCACTCCTACCCGACGTGGTATCCTCCGATGCCTAGACCGCCCTCAATGGTGGTGCGATGGTTGAACACACAGCTGTCTTCCCCCACCCACCACCCAAGTCTTCGTTCTCGAATCCATTGAATGACTAGATGACGGTCTTATCGGGCTTGGGGAGATTACGATTGTTCAGTTGTAGAGAAATATATGCACTTTGTCTGTTCAGGGGTTAGTGAACGGCCGCAACTTCAGAATCGGGACAAACCTCACCATTCGCAGGGACTGGTTGTTGTTCTGGGATCACGTATGGTCCGTCCTCTTCCATCTCATAGGGAGGCCGGATGTTCTTGGTATCAGACGCCAGAAAGGAAGAAGGGAAGAATCCCCGGACACTTCCATTGGCGCACGGACCTCGACGTATTTCCATGGGAACCTAGTGATCAACGAAACTGTCCTGTGCCGACTACTGCTCCTTTCGCTTAACGAATACTATATCTGAAGCAAGGACGAATCACGCCCAACTTCGGTCCCTACGCACTGCGCATCGGCGTGTAATCATCCTGGGCCTCACTACGATGAACGCCATCCCGTTTCTCTCCCTTTATTCTCTGCCAAGTGAGTATTTCACTTTTATACGATCCCTGGTTGTTGAATGTGTACGCTCAGGAGGCTACATGAACGCCTCCGAGTTTGGTGTTCTTTCCAATGACCACCCCTGGGACCGGTCGCCGACTACTCTAACCCCGAGAAGTGAGACAAGATTCGCCGACTCATCTATTGCAGTGGCGTGGGATGGGTACGTGCTTGTTCATGTGGTGAATGACTGCTGACTTACGTAGGCTGCAGAAAACCGCGCTCCTGCAATTGTGCGACAACCGGAACCTTGCATGAAATCTACTTCATCGACATCGGCTTCCTCTCAGTCAATATCACAGGCGATCTTGGCTCTCGGCGACGACTTCTCCGTGAGGACGTGTGTTGTCGGTAGTTCACCGGCGAGGAACTGGTTCGTGTAGAGGCTGATGCAGCGGGCACGTCCTCGATCACCGGACCATGTCAGATTAGGGACCGACCTTGGGAGGATCGCGCTCGAACTAGGTATTGGCCAGGTTACCCGTTGTTTAGCTGGAGTCTGCATCCATGTCCTTTATGATTATGTCTGCGACCGGTTCGAACGTCGATCACATTTGATAATGTCATTTTTTCTCTCTTGCAATCAGCTATGTACCCATTTCTTGCATACCGTCATCGTAAAGACATAATTTGTGATGAGAGAAGCAGAAAACGCAGACGCCTTCATTATGTGCACAAGCAACAGTCATCGGCTCAATACCTGGGAATCCGATCTCAGATTGCCCAGTAGCAATACCGGATTTGGGACTATAATACTTCTTCAACACGTCGAGCATCCACGCGTCATACCCAGACACGTGGAAGTGGAAGTACTTACACGATTTATAAACAAGAAGAGCGAATCTATGGCGGTTGAAAAAGTCAAGGTTCTTGGTAGTCGAAACACATATTGCGTTCGCATCTCGGTGGCGGTCAGTTATAGCTTAACGTGCAATAAAGACGGAGCACGATCTTGACGAAGTGCCACTCAGGAACCGGATTAGGTTCAAGAAGTGTCGCAGGATCTACCGTAGCTCGAGGTCTAGCCAGGTTAATTTTCAAGCTATACGAAGAGGAATATCCTGGTATTGAAAAACCCCACAGTTCTCCATCAGTGGTAAAGGCTCCTACAGTGCGACAGGTCACTGTATGAGCCACAGTGGCACTGTGCACACATTGAAGGCTTTTTGCAGGACTCGTGACCGTCAGTCATTGAAGTCAGTGTGTTAACTATATCCGACAGATTCCAGGTATCATTAGACGAATAGACGGACCAAGATGGAGACATTTCGTGTGCGGAGACTTAGATAAGAACTGTTGTGGTGGTAATTCGAAGACGCTAGGACTTAGTGCAGCTAACAAGCCCGACGAAGCCTTAACTAATATCATCTATTCTTAGAAACATGACAGGTATCTATATAAAGTCGCTTCTTTCGCCAATGTCACTCGGAACCATGAACATATAGCTCCAACTTCGATTGATCATGAACCGATTCATCCAACGTCTGCGTACTCAGGCCAATATTAGAAAGCGGTATCGTGTTGATAATCTGCATAGTCATTCATACTCAGTTTTTCGATAGGGCGCAGTCGCGCACGTACCCTTTCTTCATCATGAACATTGAATGTTCTATGAGGCACTGAGTCCGAGCTTGAACCTCCTTGCTTCTCTTTTACCTCCCGTCCATTGAACCTGAGTAGTAATCAATTAAATCTACATCACAATATAGCCTACTCACATTGCCAGTAAGGAATTAATATACACTGTCAATGATAGTTCGATGTCAGGTAAGTTGAAGGATGATAAGAAAGGATGAAGACGAACCTTTTGGTATCATGAATGAAAACCCTGCAAATATCAAGGTATTCGGCGAGGCAAGAAGCTGTTACACGTGCATCTTCAGATGTGTTATCCTGAACCTATGCAGATGCTCTACATACTGTTATGAGGAATTATCAACGAACATGCACTATATTTGTCTTAGTAAATGATCATCAAAAGAGAAATCAGATTTCACGTACGTCGTTGCGAGTCCGGAAATGAGGATAAACCGAATGATGACAACGAGTTTCACTGTGGTGCTAAATTTAAAGGCTTTCATTAGAAATTGACTCCAGAGGGAATATTAAGACATGCCTGGAAAATGTCGTAGCTTGCCTACTTTTCAGCAGGTAATAGCACATAGCAAGGGCAATGATTATGTCGAGTGTCGCGGCAGTAGCTAGAGCGCCGTCAATTGTTTGCTATGGGAATCTCTTAATAAGCTACACAGTAACATTCATGAGATATCCTTACTGAGATATCGCGGAGTTGGGAAAAATCCGAGATCATATATCTATAATCATGCCAGGGAACTGAGTTGATGAGAATTTCTGGATCAGGGATACTCCTTACACGTCATGGCTTAACACTGCGCTGGTCATGTCAGAGACCGTAGGAAGTAAATGGTTCTAATACATACGGATTGCGGCGGCTGAAAGATCGTATGAACGGTCAACCCTCCAGACAAGCACAGTTATCAGATTGGTAGAACATACCACAGCCCCCCCAAGACGACGAGTATCTGAAATAACCTTCATATGAGCGGCGAGTCCTTAAGATGAAATAAATAGACAGTACAATAAACCACTGGAACTATACGATGAAAGTGACGTCCAACTACAGTTCACATTAGCAATGAGACAGCTATGAAGGCTACCGGAGGAAGAAAACCCACGCATCCATAAACGTACAGAATACATGCTGTAGGGAATCAGCTTCAGTTCCGAGATTCCAGATGGTGCTTGACATACATATGGATGCATACGATAACCAGGTTCTGTGGATAGTCAGCTAGATCCTGTGAAGTAACATCATGACGGACATTGAACAAGATGACCAGCTAATCGAGCAAGGCAGTCAGTCGGTCATCAGAGACATTTCTTTCCATCACACCTTAAGGCTCCTATATTCCCGCCATTAGTCAAAGTGAATGTAAGGACGGAATAGATCAATGAGCGTACCAGACTATTTTTAAAAGTCCCAGATAGTTTCCGAATGATTCAATCAAGTAAAAGTATAGGACATGGGTACTGAGGGCAACTTGCAGCGTATCAAAGACCCTAGGAAGGATGTTAAGTTCGGAGCTTCCCAAGTGACATTAGAAGGACGCACCAGAGCAGTGCAACCTATGATGAATCGCTGAGATGTTATGAATCTTTTGAGGAAATGATGACAAGGGATCCGTACTGAATAGCGATAAAACCACCAGTCGTCTGGATACCGCTTGTAATAGAGAAACATTTGGAGATTCGTTATCCCATATAGACTATGGGTGGTGTCATTAATGGTGAGCCGTCGGTTAAGGTAACAATAGCGTACACCAATGCAACGGTTGATCCCAAATAAACAGCTCCTAATGTTGAAGCTAGGGACGGTATTGCGACAGAGAAGTTCGAGGTGAACATCACTATGAAAAAGAACAAGGCCTACATCCGCAGGATAATGTCTTATAAGTACTGCTGGAAAACAACATCAGGAATCAGAGCAGACACACCGATGGCCCGGGCGGTTGAATCAATTGTAGGACACAGAGCGGTACCAAATGCGATCTCGGTTCGATGATCAGATGCGAGATAGAACTCACTTAGGAACAATGGAATCTCTCACAAGCTTCCTTACCGTACCGTAAGCAGGAATGACATTCTTCCGTAGGAAGAGAGAATATAACCCTGCCTTGGCTGTACCCCAGGGACCATACCTTGTATGAAACAGCACTATCCGTCATTAAGACCAGGACGCATGATGGAAAAACGAGGCTATTTCGGATTCAATTAAATCAATCAATCATGATTCACACTATTCATTCCGATTTGTCTTTTTCTCATCCTTTAGGGCCTTGACTAAGATTATAACGCACTGGTGGATGGCACGCTACACCCACCACAACCATTTCTTAGGGTCCCGAACAACATCAACAAGCTATTCGCACTTTGAGCCGACTGGGCATGGCAGCCACAGTTTGAAACAGGCGAGATTGGTAGAATGGATCTGTCATCAGCTTGTTCTCCAACTTCCTCAGCTGAAAGCATGTGGTATATCTATTGGGTCCTATCCTCATCTCCCCTTTTATGTCTCAAATCTATCCTCCACACTGGGTGTCGCTCATTCATTCGGCTATCATGCATATAAGAAGTTAAGGCCCATCATTGTACAATCCATATCCATTTCGGACCTTGTCCTAACTGAGGTATTCTCCCCGGCAGGCGATCTTTATCCTTATATCAGAATTGACCCATATGGTGCGAGGCTCTTGAAGTTGATGGTCACTGTACCATTACGGATACGGCCGTAGGGTACATGACCCGGTACGGACACGGTTGGGTCCATACCCGTACCGTAATTTCCTAGTCAGGCCTCACAACGGCGCCAGCGGTCATATATATCTCCGTGATGATCCTCCGTACGGCCATAGGTATTGCATGTAGGTATTGCACCTATAATGTCTACGATGGGAGGTCAGTCATTAGCGAATATAGCAAAAATATCATTAAGTGGCATGCAAGCGTTTAAATTAGTCTCACACCTTCCCAATGCAAGTCCAACTCGCGCTACCAAATCGATACTAACTCAGCCTTATTTAAATGTATGTGCTACGGTGTATTTTCCATTGAGCGAGGTTGATTAGGAACCTGGCAGCAGATCACTCCCGAAGCACATGCCCTATCTGAAAACGTGAAGATTCCTGCTGATTCTATGTACAGCTTCCCCTGCGGTCGGATGCCAATTCCGTCGCTTATGTTCTTGTATGGAACCTGACTCTCAACTCCCGCAGATATCCGTGGTGTGGTCCCAATAAGGAACGACATCCCCAACATAACAAGCCCTATGCTCCACCTACTAGGCTACGACAAACACTCTTACCCCACCCTTAATCAAGTTGCTTCGTTACACAGATATAGACCTGTGTTCAGACGACGCACCGAGCTCCCTTCGCACCTCATGTGCCTTTTAGTGGATATGCCCTAACGTTTAATACTGTTGATGAAAGACTGACATTGTTTTATCTTCCATCAGGGATGAACCACAACCCCATCATTTTTTCAGTAGATGATATCTAATAAGTTGACTTCTCTCCTCAACTGTGCAAACGACGATAGAATCAGAACGCAGGAGTTGTATGATATTTCAGATCCGGTTTCCAAAGTGCGGTGAGGCGATTCGTGCTTACAGGGAAGCTACCTCACTGATCTTTTGTTCAATATATCACCATCACATGCTTTGAGACGTGAACGTGCATGAAGGCGAAAGCTACTGACAACTGCCAGGAGGGACATACATGACCAAAGTTTCATCATCTTTTCAGTTTCTTCTCATCCCTTCATATTTCGCTGTGTATTTCATGTCCGCTGAACTGGCCAAAACTTACGGAGCTGTAGCTCTTTGTACGTATCCATAAATTCTTAGCTATTTGGCATTCACAGTGTCACAGACGTTCAGGTGCGGTCGCCATCCAGATGATTCTCTACTCTTCAGATTTCTTCAGGGTCAAGTTCCTTGTCAGTCGCTCTGTTTGTCACCTATGTCGGGTTTGCTAACAATTGCGTTCCCTGCAGGTTTTCACCATATGATGACGTATTCCATCATCCACCCTTTTTCCAGCTTATGTTTGCAGGATCCTCGATATATACCACAACACGTTCTGCTTCATTGGCATTGAACGGACCGATGGCGAGGCTGAAATATCCCCACAATATCACGGTAAGGCATACCCCGAAAATCGATTTTATTAGACACCTGATGCTTCCGTCCTTCTGATTATGTTTACAGGCTTCCCTGTCCTCCCATCTCACAATATACTTGCTCCCGTTGTATAGAACCTGTGCTTCTTCGTCCGTAGGATATTTTGTGTTCTTATCTTTGTCGCCCAATCCCATCCTCCAGTTCGCAGACGAAATTTTTGATGCCCGTCAAAGGGGTTAAGACCCGCTTTTTTTTTTACCAATAGTCAAGAAGGACGAATCTCAATCACACCTGATCGCATAAAAATCACGATTGAGCGTTCAAGCTAAGTCCCGTACTTTGCGGTCGAGGTCTTCATGGAGAACTAGATGATGTTTTCTCGTTGTCCATTGTACAGCGCTACTTCTGTAATGGTTAACTTCCATGGTAGGGTTCGATTCCCCCTGGTGCAGTTCGCGCCACGTCCTCGATTTTTGACTTTGGATACTGGCACCACATGACATTAAATATATATACCGTCCCAGTCTACCGAGTCCGGACTGAGGTATAGCGAGAACACGACAGTTGACAGTAAATGTTCCATTTTGACGAGACTACTTGCGACTCTGGGGTAAGTTCAGCGAGCTGTGGAGACAGGGAGCGCGTACTGTCAATAATATGCTGCAGACAACTTTTCATACCTTGAAGGAAGGGCAAGTCGTCTACAGTCGATGTTGCAACGATGCGAAGGCTATCGCAGCACCGACTACTCGGGAATGCCGTGGGAATGGCTTAGTCACCGGCTAACTCGGCCCGTATCCCCACAGTTACCTTGGGCTCGAACGTCCATGAACATTACTCTCGACAACTTACCTGACGATGTGCTGATCTACACTGTAACATTTCTTTCCATTCCTGACATCATTCTCCTCCGCCAGGTGAGTATTTCCCAGCCCAATGATTCTAGGTACTAATAATAACAGACATGGAAACGGTTCAACGTGCTCACAAGATTACATATCGTCTGGACAAATGCATTCAAACTCGATATCCTCTCCAAAGACTACCCCGTTCCCATCGATGTCACCGATCTCGAGCAGCGCATGCACCACGCTTACCAACTCGCGTCTCGATGGCTCGCATCGGACTCGCCTCTGATGCCAGCGAGCGAGATAAGTTTTACCGGGTCGCCCGTATCCGAAATCAAACCAGGGCGACAACACAAGTGGCTCCTGGCCGTATCGAAGGGAATCTGGTCCGTCCTGACGATCTGGGATATTGCGTAGGGGCACAAGTGCTCCGTGTGGTCGCCAAGACGTGCATTGTTCACTGGGGTGACGCTGAACACGGATACAGATTCTGAGGCGAGTATGGCTGTGACGTTGGATGGGTGAGTTTTTGTTGTTCTGATGACGCATCGCTAACTTGTGTAGATCACAGGATCGCACTCCTGCATCTGGACGACAATGGAACACTGCATGAAATCCGCTCCTTCGACATCGACCTCCGGCCTGTCACCCTCACTGGTGATATAATAGGCCTCAGCGACGACTTCTCCAAGACATTGATCTATAATTGGAAGACGGACGAGCGAGCCTACCTCGATGAAGGAGGTGACATGCAGGTAACCGTTGCTAGTTGATCTAATTCTCGCTTATTTATCTCGAATAACAGTACGACCATTGCATCGAAATCTTCTTCACTGCACAAACCATCCTCGTCATCCGCGCACGCTCCATCAACTTGTACACTACCCCGCCCTTCCTCCACGGACAAACACACTCCCCTATTGCCTCCCACTCTTTCAGCTGGATTGACAGCGCCAGTGCAACCCCCACCTCGATCCTCATCCGCTCCGAGAGTGACAATCCCTGGGCATCAGAGCTCAATTCGTTCGAACTCTATTCCCTCTCTTCCTTCCCGCCAACCCTCACCAGCAAAATATCATCTCGACGGAGTGCACTTCGATGCACAGATGTTATCCTCGGCAACCGTGGGACTGCAGTATAGATACGGCCCCATGATCGCGCGATGGTCTCCCACTGGGAAGAACATGACAGGTGCGAGACGCTCATGGCAGCTGTGTTCCCCGGCCCGCTTAACCCCACTGGGCAAGTCCGCGTTCGAGAGGTGCACTCGAACCCGTTGAATAACTGGACCTCATTGGATTATGACGAAGAACTCGGGAGAACCGCCCTCGGGTCGGGGTTTGGGAAGATTACGGTTGTCCAGTTGTCGTAATACATGTCCTTCGTGACCTACTGGGTGTGTGACGTCAAAGACTAGGGTTCGAATCCCTTTGGAAGGGTTATATTTTGTGATAGTCTTTTTATTCCTTGCGCCTGAGCTTCAGATTGATTCCGCGTACCCATGCTTCGTGGATGTGATCGTATTTTCATTACTAGGCCATCTGCCTTTCCATTGTCTGACTATTTACGTGATTCTCACAGGTGGCTGGTTTCCGCAATAAGCATCGCTATAAATGAAACTGCAAAAATCCCTTTAGATAATCCTTCGTGACGCTATGGTTTTATCATACTGGTTTTCAGGGTTCGAGTCCCGACTGGAGCATGGTCAGATAAATAAACTTTTGTATCGTCTGTTTAAGGCTCTTATCGTACCCTTCCAAGTTCTTATCCAGTCAGGAGAAGCTTAGGGTACCACAGACACAGTCATGAATCTTAGCAATCGGTCAGATACCCTGCTCCGGTTTTAGTCGTACTTTCATTACAAGACCCATCTATCTCCCTCTCCATTTATGTCTTCATTCAGTAGACGACCAAAATATTAATTCTTCCTTACATTGTGGGTCTTATCCAGCGCTGCTTACTACCTGGGTTCGAATCCCGGTCAAAGAATCTTTAAGCATCAAGGCTATTTTTTTGTTCAAGTTCTTATCATTATCCAGGTCACCGGGGAAAAGAGCTTACGGTACTACAGACGAAGTAGTGGCTTTTAGTAGCAATCGGTCACATCCCTCTTATCAGGCAGGTTCTCGTTTTGGTTTGATGTCACCCAATAACACTGATATTTATTAGGTTCTCTGTCGTAACTCGTTTTGTCAGGTGATATCTACTCTTGAACCGCAGAGAACCAGTCAACGGCCCCTCTAACCCCCCCCTCTCTCCCTCAGTGGGAAGACAGCACTATGAGGCGTCTTTACTGGTATAGTCATCGGTGGAGTGACCATCTGACCTTGAGACTGTTTATTGCTTCGATTCGAACCCTGCTTGGCCGTGGTAATTGTTGGGATTTGGCAATCCGGCATCATGCCGAAGTTGCTTATTAAGGAAGAAGTCTGAGGAAAAGCGTGGAAAGTTCTAGTAAAATAGTATTCCCGCTACCTTGGTAGTGGGTCATGTGCAGTTCACTCCTGTTTGAACTTTTGGCGTGAAATTGCAAACTAGCCGGAAAGAAAGCCAGGGGGCAGTGCGCATCCGTTTGTCTCCGATGGGTGCCAGTCCAAAAAACACTACTGTTTGAACTTTTGGCGTGAAATTGCAAGATAACCGGTTTATTGACCGAAGACACTGTTCCATTTTTTTCCGCAACACTGCCATGGAAGCCGGAGGCAGTGAGCACTCTCCATGTTCCATGTCTGCCCGATGCGTCTCACTGAAAAAAACGCTACTGTTTGTGTTTTTGGCATGAAATTGCAAGATAACCGGTTTAGAGACTGTACACCCTCATCCGTTCTGTTCCCTCTGGATCACGTGAGGGGCGCAATCCTGACCAAGCGGCATGGCAGCTCTTTTGACCACCTCTGTCTTTAATTCCTCATGCTTCACTGTCTCGTTGGGAAGGAGAAGTACCAACTTACTCTCGCTTTCAAAAACAATCACTCTCGATGTGGCAGTCTCGTTCATGCTTCTGGAGGAATCTCTTCCATTACCGTTCACTGCAAGCAAGGACTTTTCATGACTCAAATTCCACTCGTGATTGGAAAAGAAAGTAATGCCGTTGTTCAACTCGGATTTGACTGGTTTGTAGAACTCGTCAAAAGTCCTAACTTCCGCAAAGGTGTGTTATATCAACTACTGTTTTCTTTATCTCGTTTTACCTGATTATTTCTTTCAAGGGAATAACAAGCTACCTATTATCGCTCTGCAGGCTTTGATTGATCACTATGTCGCAATGACAGGATCTTACCCTGAGGACTTCTTACCCTCGATCATCGTGACCTTGCACACCAATTACATGGTCACTGGTTGTCTTTCGTATACATCCTGCATGGATTTTCGCAATTTCGGAAGGCTGTTATTGGAGCATTTCCTCGCAGGCCTCTTGCAGGCAAGGGTGGTTTATTGTGCTCTGCATTCATGACTCAGTGTCGCACAGTCATGATCCGTCCATCTTTGCTCTCTTTGTCATGTTTATTGTCATCAAACGCAGTGCTATGGATGCCATCGCCTATGCTCTGTGCCAGTCATCGATGTTATTGGACTTTTGTCTGACAGCGAAAGCATTCATGTACAGAGTGCCCCTCCAGGAATGAGTGAATGCCACAATGCACATGCCCTACAATCCTCATCCTGACTACATTGTTCATCTTTTGACCTGGGTTTGAGAGACTTCGACGTGAAGACGTCATTAAAATCGCTTTAGCCCATGGTCTTGGCACCGAATGCAGTGTTGAAATGATACGTGCACGTGTCTGCGATCATGTTTTCAGGGGATCTTGTCTCACCTCTGTGCGTCGCCCCTTGCTGACTGTTTGTCCCGGTTGTTTGGAGGTTTTTGCGGAGCTTTAAAGAGTCGATACTAAAGATTTTCTTCCTTTTCCTTTTCTTCCTTTCCATGTAACCCACCTATGTCTCACTCTCAATTCACTATTTTCTCCGTTCACGACGAGCTTGTTTGGTACTCATTTGACGGTTATCTGTTTGACTCTATAGTGTCAACGTCGTGGCTGTCTTCCTGTGGGCTGCCGACGTCCCATTCTTTGGAACTTGTTGTCCATTGCCGAGGAGAGCATGGTACTGCTGTGTTAACCATGCGATTCCAGCTGTCCAGGATCCCTGACAATGACATCATTTTCGGTCATGACTTCTCGGCGTTGTATCATGAACTGTACCCGATTTATGGCTCCAGTTTGTTCTTTCTTATATTCTTTACACTGTTTTATTGAAGTATTTGTTGCAGTTGATGGTGTGTTGCATGACTCCACCGATGACGCCATTCCTGTTCGTCGTTTTGACAATGTTATCCCAAGGGATATCAATTCAGTGATTAATCCGTCTTCCTCGACCGTCCTGTCTGTGACAGGTGCTTCCGCATCCGTGTTAAATGGCATGGCTACTGGAAGTGGTCATAGTGCTAGACCATATGCATCCACCACCGCTGATACTGCTGATACTGCTGATATTGCTGAAGTTACCGCTGATATTACCACTGATACTGCTGATGTTACTGCTGATGGTTTGTCTGTGTCTGCACCTAGTCTGTTGCATCGGAGATTCAGATTCATCTGGTGTTGGATCCAGTATTCAACATCGCATTCTGACTTCCCTGTTTTTCAGTTGTATTGCTACTGGTCCTCAGTGCTTCTCTCTTTGTTGAGGACTTCGATGTTATTCATGTTATTGCTCGCAGTCATGGCCTTATGTATGATGACAGTGTTGACATCGTTACAATTAGACAGTCTGTAATACGGCATTTGATTGTAGGAGACTGCTATGAATCTCATAGAAGATTTAGAAAGCATGACGAATTTTTCAAGGACCCAAATGATACATTTGAGTGTGCTGTATTTGCATCTGGATTCACAGTCTGCAGTCGAACTCAGTTTACATACTGTTCGACATGTATTGAAGTTACACAGGGCAGTGTTGCGCATTTGACTTTATCGAAGCTTGGTGCTATAGTTGGGTCATTGGGCTTTAAAGGGTCCTAGACTAGGCAGAGAATGCTTAACTTTCTCACAGATTATACGCACACTCTTGGTCCACCTACTCGGGGTTTTCTGGATGGTACTCCAACACTTGTTTTGGAGCGCATGGCCAAGGCTCACGGAATTTTTTCCGGTGTTAACACTATGATCTCTGACTTGATAACTGATCTCAGTGAACATTTTCAGGACGGAATATGTGCCCATCACTGATGATACGATGTCTATGTGTGACGAACATTGCTCCCTTTCTGATATACCTCTTCATTCAGACACAGACTTGTTGCTTGTTCGGATGGAACGTATTGTTAAAACCCTTTCTTTAAGAGTGTGTCGTCGCATCATGACCAGTTATGGTTTGAACCCCTGATGTATCCACCACAAAGGAAGCCCTGTACTGTTATAAGGAATCACATTCATGGAATCCAAAAGGCAAAAAATATGCAGAGTTTGTTTCTGGACAAAATGCTATTAGAAAAGAGGTGGTTCGTGACATGGACAATGAGAGACAAGCGCAGCTGGAAGAAGTTCGGAGTCAATGGCCAAGAAAGGCATCTCTATCATTGAAGGAACGCTTACTGTCTGATTTTATGCATGAAACTGGGAGCGACTCACTACATATGTTTACATGCTCTTGTTGCGCTGCACATTATCATATACAAGACATTCGTCGACTGACTGTCAATGAAATTGATTTAATGTGCTTACGGGTCAACGGTGAGGGTAGGACAGATGTCATGAAATGGCCTGGCACTGACAATGATTTGCCATTCCAAACAGGCGAACTCGCTGGATTACAATTAGACCCAAGCGGAATAGAGGTTGGTGTCGATGGTATCTCCATTCTAAGCATGTGTAAATGTTGTGTCAGGAGCATCCGTTGTGGTCGTGTTCCACATCTGAGCCTTGCTAATGGGTTATATCAGGGACCGGTACCCCCCGAGTTGGCCAAATTGACGATGATCGAAGAGAATATGATCTCGTTATGTCATTCAAAGTGCACTGTAGTTCAGTTGAAAGAAGAAGGTGGTATTGAGAAGGACTACATGCAGCGAGGAATAAGAGGACATGTTATTGTTTATCCACAAAGACCATCAGAAATAGCAAGATCGTTGCCACCATCTGTTGAGGAAATCACGTCTCCATTATGTGTACTCTTTGTTGGTGCGTATAAGCCTTCAGATGAATGGCTCAGAACAAAGGCTAAACCCCTGGCTGTCAATGGGGCACACGTCTGGGCAGCTTTGAAATGGCTGAAAAATAATAATCCCCTTTATCGTGACATTGAAATCAATGAAACGGTCCTTCAGGAGTTAGATGACAATCCAAACTTGCCTTTTGTTATACAGCATATTTTGCCCAGTGCAGCCGGAGACACTCTGACATTGCGATATGAAGCATCTGTTGATAATCCCAAAGTACAATTGCCCGTACCTGACTCAGTGAATTTTGAGAGCATCATTATAGCAGACGTTGATTTTTCTTCCTCTTCGAATAATCTTAAACAGGCCACAATGAGGCACATCCACAAAAGAGGGGGGGGTTATATTGAACTTACGCATGATCCTTCACCCACAGACAAATTTAATAATCCTTTGTTGTTCCCGATGATATACCCAACTTTGTTTCTGTATGGCGTAGGTGGGTTTGAGGAGCCAAGTAGAAGGATGAGTCTATTGTTGTGCTCCCAAGTTAAACATTTTTTCAATCTGAACGATACAAGGTTTCAAGAGCATTATTCTTTTTTATTTTCTGCATTTAATATGCTTCAAAGACGAGAAATGTTGCTACACACAAGTTTGAAAGTGAAACGCAAGAGTTTCACGTCTGTTGCTCGAAGTTTCGCTACTGTTTCCCCAGAAGCACTTCATATGTCTCGGAGCGCATCTCTAGAGGTGATTATACAACGGCAAATAACCCAGAAGAGAAGGAGGCGTTGACATTGATGAAGGAAGTCAAGGCAGTAACTGCGACAGTTCCAGCTTCGGGTGCCTCTCGTACAGTCATGAGGAATGAGATTCGTGGTCTGATGATAGACCAAGGCTCACCAAGTTTCTACGTTACAATCAATCCCACTGACATCTATAATCTGGTGTTCAGTCTTCTGGCCAGTTCTGATATTGATGTGGATAACATACTAGGTGGAGATCTTCTGAAACATAGGGACCAAACTGTTCTTGTAGGCAAGAATCCCAGTGTCGCAGCGAGGTTTTTTAACATTTATATGAAAGCCTTCATAAAATGTATATTAGGTTATGATCCAAAATGAACCGACTTCGATGGAGGTGTTCTCAGACTGGTAAAGGCATATTATGGATGCGTTGAAGCCCAAGGACGCAGTACACTTCACTGTCACATGTTAGTTTGGCTAGAGGGATCGTTGAATCCCAATGAAATCAAGGACCGCATTGACAGGCAGGGCGACAAAGAGTTCAGAGATCGTCTGCTTTCATTCTTAGATGATGCAATCAGCAATTATATACCAGACATACCAGAAAATTCGGTTCCCATTCTTTCCGATGGTTATCATGCATCTGCCATAAGGGGAGGCATTGATTTACTGAATGATCGTGGGGAAAGAGACCCTGCACTCTGCCAAAGAGATCTGCATAATCTCGTAAAAGATTGTCAGATTCACTCACACAGTAAAACATGTTTTAAGTATTGTGGCGATGGCGAAACCCAAGGTCTGTCGGTTTGACCTCGATGAGAGCAAAATTAGAGTGGAATCTTCATCCAATTATGAAACCAGGTGAACTTTGTTTGAGATGCCTGAATGGAATGGTGAACAACTTCAATGAAACAATCTTACGTGCGATGAGGTGTAACATGGATATCAAATTCATCGGATCCGGTGCGTCTGCAAAGGCTGTCCTATATTATATCACTGATTATATCACCAAATCGCAACTTAAGACTCACATCGCTTATGCTGCTCTAGAGCTCTCTGTTAAAAAGTTGGGAGAATACAATCCCAACGAGGATGAAATCACTGTGAGAGCAAAGCATTTGTTGCAGTATTGTGCTTATACTATGTTATCACATCAAGAACTCTCTGGGCAGCAGGTCACGTCTTACCTAATGGATTTTGAGGATCATTTTACTAGTCACGAGTATCAAGGTTTGTACTGGGGTTCTTTCGAGCAGTACATTGAGAAACAAGATCCGTCTCCAGAATGCTCTGTTCGTCAATTGATCACATCACAAGACCTAAACCACAAGGATTCCATTTCGACATGCAATGTTGAAATACCTGTCAACATTTCGAATGATCCGTTGCAAAGCACTATGCAAGTGGATGCATGCCCACAGAGTCCGGACGAACCCTCTATAACCTTAGCGGAGGCAATGGACATATTTGATGACCAAGGAGGATTCGATTTCGAGATATCGGATGAAAGAGAAACCATCGGTCTGACATTTGAACAAGATGAACAGTCGAGTGATGATGATTCCGATAATGAGAGTGAACATAGTGACAACGGTCCTGATGATCCTGCTGAGATCGAAGGTGATGATGAGGAAGAGATAGTTGTGTCCGTGGATGAAAGTGGTGAGTTGATCCCACAGGTGAGCAGAGTCACTGATTACATTCACCATGGCCCTGCATTGAATGAATTATCATTATGGGAGTACACAGCTCGTGTTAAGAAAGAAAAAAGTAAGAAACTTGGTACAAAGTATTACAATGAAGATGACGAGGGCGATAGTGATGTTGAGTTTATGGCAGAACCAGAAATAGATCGGATGCCATCAGTCGAAACGCTAGCACAAGGCGACTGGGCCTCATTACAAGATGTTCTTGAGGACTGTAGTCGGAAAAGACCTAAGTTTACTTTCAGTTCTGAGCACATAGAAAAAGATACATACTATCAGGTGATTATACGACCAGAGTCACGGAAGGTACCTGTTCCTTTGGGTGCATCCATTCCCCGTCGTGACAAGGAGGAAGTTTATCCATGTTACTGTCGTCTAATGCTTATTCTTTTCAAACCGTGGACTTCCGCTTCAGATTTGCAAAATGCAGGGGAGTCATGGAGTGACGCTTTTGAAAGGTTCCATACGATCTGTGCTCGTAATGTCTTGTCTGTTATCAATAACATGCAAATCATGCACGAATGTCATGATAGTCATGATGATCATTTTGTGCGCTGTCATATTCGCATGCCTGGAAATGCGTTTCCAGGATATGGAGGTCACTCTCAGTTCGATGACGATTTCCAAGGTGATGAGGACACAGATGAAGCAATTCTGCAGCATCTTCAGAACCTTGACCGCGCGATGGGAGAACATATGGATTTTATGAAGAGGAGTGTACACGACAGTCTCCACCATGCTGAGAGCGTTGGAATGTTTAACAGAGTTTTTACAGAGCAAATCCAGTCGAGGGCTGAAAGAAACGGCATTCAGTCGGCCTCTGAGACAGGGGAAGAGTTAATTGATGAAGACGCACCTCATCAGGAAGCTATTTGGTTTAGTGAATATGAGAAACGGCGTACTCTGTTGAAAAATAGTGCAATGGTTAACACTGTTCCAGAACCTTCTCCTTCTAAGCATGGTTCTTTGTCTACCACCAATGTCAACGACAGCAGTGCGTTTCACGAAGCTTTCAACAATCCAATAGTTTTACCTCCTTTGTTTCAGCAAGACATTCCTGCAACCGATGCAGACAAGGAAGTAGATGTTGACACATTGATTCAGAAGTACACGCTGAATACAGAGCAGCAGAGAGCATTCCAAATCATTGCTGAGCACAGTATGCAATTAAAGCCTAAGCCTCTGAGGATGTTTTTGAATGGACCCGGCGGTACAGGTAAATCTATGGTAATAAATGCGCTCCATGATTTCTTTGACTCGAGGAATCAGTCACGACAGTTTAGACTTGCTTCCTATACTGGCGTTGCTGCGAAAAATATATCTGGGCTGACGTTACACAGTGCTCTGATGCTGAACCGGTGAGGAAAACATGGTTCTGTTCAATCAGGTTCCAGTCGAGACCTCGTTTCCATGTGGCAAGGAGTGGATTATCTTTTATTGATGAAGTGTCTATGGTTGGTTCGAAGATGTTGGTACAGATTTCTGCAGCGTTATGTGAAGCAAAGGAAGATAATGGCATTTTTGGTGGTATCAACATAATTTTTGCGGGTGGCTTTGCGCAACTTTCTCCTGTTGGAGATAGTCGAATTTTCAGTCGTGTCAAGAACAGAAGTTCGAGGGCAGATTCTGTTCAAAAACACGTACTGGGGAAACTGCTGTGGTTCTCGGTCAATGTGGTTGTAATTCTGCACAAAGTTATGAGACAGGAAGGCACTGAAAATGCTGACTTTGTCGATCTCTTGGGTTGATTGCGAACAGGTGTATGTATGGAGGCAGACTTCAAACTGCTGAATTCTAGACTGGCAAGTGTGTTAAACTGGATTGGAACTCAGAAGAATGGGAGAACGCACCTTTGATAGTGTCAGAAAATGCAGTTAAAGACGCATATAATGATCGAGCTGCTCGAAGTTTTGCAGATCGCACTGGAAGACAATTGCACTATTATTACTCTGTAGACGAGCATCATCAAAAAGTATTACCGATCCTTCTTGACCAGTCATCTGC